GACATTGCTTATTAAAACTTATTTATAGATATTTTGATACTCGTAATAAGTAACTGATATTTGCCGATCAACAAAATCATATCGATATGTATGTAAGGTAATATATAATAATAAAGTAATTAGTTTAACATGGAGGAGAGTTCAGACTATGGTCAAGTATGTAGGTATGAAATCCACACTTATTTTTAAAGTACTTACTTAATGCAAATTGAAAGGATTATGAAAACACGAAACAAGTATAAGATTTTCTAATCAATATTATATTATAATTTTTAGTAGTAATTTAATGTTTTTCTTTTTTAAATTTTTGTTCTGCTTAAATTTTGTTGTCAGCCTTTGTTAAAGTTATAAGCTTGAAGGCGATATTGAAGTTTGAATTCAGATTGTGTAAAAAGTGACCTTCGTAGTCTACTAAGAAATGTACACAAGACAGTGTCGCAGTGTATATGATATAATATATATATATATATATATATATATATATATATATATATATATATATATATATATATTATATATATATATATATTATCGCTAATAAATCTCATATTGACTACGTAAAACTATGTTCCACATTATCTGCTGTTATCGTGTTTACACAGGTCAATACAACAAACGTACTCCTCAAGCTGTGACTGTGTCATAAAATAGAAAAAAGAAATTATTCAAAAGTAATGATATAATGTACCTATATTACAGACCATACATTTTTATATCAAAAGTATAGTGAATTTTATATTTTTACTATGACAAGATAATAATCTAATGAACATAATAAAGATTATGTACCACAAAAACAGCAATTTTAATTGTGTTAAAATTAGTACGGAATCTATACAGGTGTAGGCACAAGAAATATCAAATTCAGTGCGGAAGCGGCGATATAGTGTAAGATACACACAAAAAAGTTGAAAAATCCTTTTTAAGTCGCTTGTAAATAAATCTGATATATGACTAACGCCGATATAATTGTATACATTACAATGCAATACGAAATGAAACAGGTAAAATCTATTAGTTATTACGGACAAGTTGTTCCTAATAAGGCCAGTTCTTTGTTCACTTAGATCATTATTTCACCTTGTGTAAGATCATGATGCAGTTTTTGTGTGAATCGAAGAGTAAATAAATAGATACTAAATACATACTGGAGACAGATTTGGACGGATATGAATTTTATAAATGTGGTCATTATCAATTTAATAACACTGATATTTAATAAAAAATCCACAAGTGTACAGTCAAATATCTTACTAAACAGGACACAAAATCATTTACGTCTTATTGACAAAAAATAACAGATTTTACGTTTACCACTCTAATAATAAAAAGAAAATACATTGTCATAATACTTAATCACCCAAAAAATAATAAACAGTACTGAATCAAATATAATGGCATGCATAAGTACGTAAATCTATTATATGTATAGATACTTTCGCATGACGCGTTACTGTGGGAGTATGATGTAATAATTTGTGCGCAATTATTTCTATAGACAATTCGCACACGAGGCGAGGTAATTGTAAGCGGCCATCCACTGACACGAGGCAGGGACGCGCCACGTGTGGCTGTGTGACAGACAAAGCGGCGCTGCGCGTTCAGCTGTGCCGCCTGCGGACACGGCTATATATTCCACATAGAAAAAGTGAAATAAAACGTGCTTAGAGCTTTTTAAAGGTGGATAAACAAAAAAAAAAGGTACAAAATTAGTTAGTGCCGAATAACATGCACATGCACAACACAGCTAGAATGCTTTTAAGGTGGATTGAGACGTTGGCGATATATTCTATATGGGAATCTAAAGATGAATTTTAAACCACAAACAAAGGCGAATATTCGTTCTTCCGTACTCCCCCAATTTTTAAAAGTATTCTAAAGATGGATTAAGACTATTAAAAAACGACAAAAGCTAAAACAGAATAAGAGCTAGAAATAGAAATTATTTTAAAGAAGATTCATTGGCAGCAAGATAGTCCTTAGGTGGATTCTATCAAGTTCATTCCATTCATTTATTTCTGTTTTTATATGCTAACCACTTACATCAAACTTGTTTCCCATTGGTATAGAAAAACGCATGGGTATAGTAAAGGCTTCTATTCAGATTTCTTTCGCATCCTCAACATTCAACAATTTTCTTCTTCATACAGCTTAGTCGTTATGATACTTTTACTTTCCATTGCTAAAAATATGATAAAGATATGCTTCACCTTTTTCATATTTTTTTTATTAATTCTTTTCAAAAAGCCAAACCAACTCAAAGTATTGTAGTCGGATTTACAAAAAAAAAAAAAAAATTGCCAATTATTCTTTCTAAACTTACCTGCTTGTTTTATTAGGTATTGTTCTGTACTCTTTGTTTAATCTACAACTTTAAATTTATTTTATGAATTGTAACGTACCTTAGCTTTAGTATTTTAAAGTTAAGATTATTAAGTTCTTGGTTATAACTGTAAGCAATTAATTTAATAATAAAAATAAAGTTAATAATGAGTCGCGATAATATTCCGAAGTAACGTATAGAGGTCAGTAGGGTAACCTCGCTACGGTGTCCACAGCAAATTTCTTAGTTTAAAGATAAAGATTTTACATTGTCTGGTGGGAGCGTTATCTATTGAGGACTAATCATTTTATTGATATCTCCTTGACCTATTACAGCATACAACTGCGCAATAACGTTAATTCAGTTCACGCGGAACTGTATTTTTATCTTTTACGTCTATTAGTATAATCTACGACAGTCTGTCGAATCGGTAACATTTTGGAACACGCATCCATTGCGTGCGTGGCTGGTACAATCAGACAGTACCACGCTATACCATGGTGACCTTGTTCGAATCAACATGTGCGAAGAATGGCAACTAGCGGCGACAGCAGCATTATTTATTTTTCGCCATGAAACGCGCGACTCTTGCGAAAAATTTTAGAAGAAATTTTTTCAGTATACGAGTACGAGTTTAGTGATTTATTTATAATTGCGTATACCTATAGATACTAACAATGAAATACTAAAACCTACTAGTAAATTAATGGATTTATGACTTACAGGTACATGAAAGAATTTTTTCTTATTTTGATAAGTAAGTAATATACTCGTAGGTTATGTCACTACACCATGATATCGTGAAAAATACGTAATTGGTTTACCGATCGTATTATCATTGGGTTATCAAATGAATTAAGGGCAAGGGTATTAGGTTACGAACTAATAGGGTCTAATAATATTGATCTAAGTTCCTGGTAATTGTTACATTCATCCATATACAGTTGAAGAACAGTAATTGTATTGTATGTTAATGTAAAATTAATTCCGGGTTGCTATCATTTCATACTTTGGTTTATAGTAGACCATTAATACGGAATTTGTTTTTTACACGATACGCACAATTAACTAAGTACGGGTCTGGTGAGTAGAATATTAATTACTCACCATAACAAAATAACAGTGTTCCTACATATCTACATGCAACAAAAGGGCAAACAATAATTTAAATCTAAGAATATAAGACAATAAAATTTTAAACAGCAACTAGTGTCAAATAAGGTGGTAGGTAGGCTGGTAGATAATGTATATAATTATATCATTATGTCTGTCTTTTGTACCATATTTTATTAGTCAGTAAAGGTTAAGTAAATAAATAAACATTGTATAAAAAAATTCAATGTTACAAAGTACAAATATAATAAAACAACACAGTAATAGACAGATGCTTATCGTGTTAAATGTTGTTTCGAGCTTTTCATAGAATTTTGCTTTGTATTTGTTCTTTGAAATAGAAAGCTGATTTTAAATTCAAATTTTTCAGATGATTAGTTAAATAAGAGAGGCGATGGGATTTCGACAGACTAAAAGTACACAATTGATTTTTGGTGTTAATTTCAATTTTTTTAATGTTTTATATTATCAAAAAGCGATTAGTGAGCAATTAATGATGCTGTACCTGCAGAGCTATTTAAGGACTAAAATTACTATTATAAATTATTTGTGTTTTGCTACTTGATCGCAAGTGGCACTATTTGTCAGAGAACATTTAACGCACTTAGCAATCGAGCCATTTTTTTTTATAACACATATAGCAATCGTTGTCAAAGTTTTTGCATAGTGTTTGTAAGAGCAAATAAAAATACAGTGTCGTCCCCTGGTGTTTTATATCTCACGAAAATCCCACCTATTTAAAAATAATAGGCAAACCAATTAGAGATTTTCATTATTGCCATTTAGCTAGCAATTCTAAAAATGGAAATTTAATCTGATTGTTGTGTAATAATTAGTGACTAGAGTTCAATATATTCTTGACGAATATTTTTCAACGAAGATTTTATTGCATTTTTTTTTATAGTTTCTATGCTTTTAGGCAACAAATGTGCAATATCCTAATTCAAATTAGATTCACTGGGTAGCAGAGTGGTAAACAGTTATTACATTCTTGCTTGAACGCCCGTATGAATCATCACCCTTGGGGAATGTTATAAATTGTAATAATTCGTAATTTTATGGAAAAATTATTTTAATGCTTTGTGCATTCATATAATAACTACAATAAGGAATGGTAGGTACTTATAATGAGCATTAAAATATATTTAGTTAATTGGCAATGAGTTTGGTAATAATATACAGGTCATTGAAATGCAGATTACAAAAAGAAAAAATCGTTTGGTTTCTCAAATTAGAACGTATTTAGCAAACGCTCGTCACGAGGGTAACTTTAGCCACTGTTTGGGAAACATGGCCACTGCGTGATGCTTGTTTATGACATTTACCAGATCAGTAAAGACTGAATATTCAGTTGTATTTTATAACTATACATAAAAGTACGTACATGTCAATATAGTAATTTATTCTTAAGCTATTATTAATTATATTGAAATGTAGAAAATATTGGCATCTTGCTAAAACAAGGAATGTGCTAAGATTTAGAGGATTGCAAAAATTATAAAATTAATTAAACCTATTTATGAATGACCTACACAAAAATTATAAACTCAACTAAGTAACTAACCTCCATAACAACATAGACATAGGCAGGGCTGTCCATGCAGTCGTGCATTGCGACGAGATTTGTGTGGTGAAGTGCCGTTAGCTCGCGTAGAATCTTGATCTCTTTTACAAGAATCTCTGATGCTTTCTGGATACCTTTCTTGGTTACCACTTTCACAGCCACACATTGAGACGGATTCTGTTAAAAAACGTATAAAATCAATAAACAGTATATTATTAACTAATAACGCTATTTATAATGTAATAAAAATAAAAATTCTGTTAAATATAAAGACAATAACGTATTCAAATAGTGGAACAAATATTTATGTTATTGCATATTAATTTAACACTTTCATTTTAGAAGTAGAAAATACTATTAATATTATAAATACGAAAGTTTATGGAATAAATGGATGGATGGATATATATTTATTACTCTTTCACGCAGAAAGTACTGAACAGATTTGAATGAAATTTGGTACATTGTTAGGTTATACCCTAACTTTTTTATTATTACTTTTTATTACTGAAGGGTCCCGTGATTGATCACGATCTCACTTGATGGAGAGCGATTATTTGGTCTAAGATGAAGCTGGGACCCATGAATAGCCTATTCATATTTCCCTAAATTGATGTAGATTATTATATTTAGATAAAAGAAAGATAAACAGGGAGAGAATTCGTGACACCCCTAGTTTTACAGGCTACAGTAGCCGTTTGCCATCAGTAGAAATGGCACTAATTTTATTAACAACGAAATCTTTAATCACAATATACCAACTTATGACAACGTCTATATACTGATGAAGCTAGAGTCATGAAGTTGCATTGCATAACCAGTTAGAAGTCAGTTCATAGACATTATTTATAATTACTAGGTAGTTGCTTTTGTAAAATGATAACGCAAGTGCAGGGAGCGTTACATAAGGTCGTCGCAGGTGGGCGAATAATATGTGCATGCACCAAGGTCCATACATTGACGATCTCATCACACGCGCAAACAATAGACAAAACCTTTGATACCTTACTTAATGATATAAATTTCTATCAGGCATATTTATAGTTTTTTATTACATCGAAGCTAATTTAATTGGGTATGTTAATCCCACATCCCACACAATTTGGACATCTCCAACCAAAAATTTCTAAAAGAAATTATCTCCTTTAGGAGACTTTTACCTACTTGTAGGAGGACTACCAGAAAAGTTGGAGATGATTTTTGTTGTGATGTATCACATCGACACAGGGTCAAATGTAGTGAAGCCTACTTATTTAGGTAGGTATATGTTTACTAGGCAAGTAGGGTTTGTCCGAGATAAGTATAATTGGAGTGACTTTCACCATATACAAACGATTTCATAATATTTTGACAATAATTTAAACATTGTTCATATTATAATCATCAATCGATAGGTAAGTACCTATATACTTTAATTTAATTTTTATTCTAGTATTCAAGTAGAATTTATATAATCTCATATAATATGTTAGCACAAAGAAGACAGTTTTGCATTTATTCAAGAGGGCTGAGATGAGACGGACTGAGAAACGTTGTGGATATCGGTAGTCTAACATTAGCTCGTCCTACATTCCGTAGGCTCGTGGAGCGATTACGATTTGACCTGATTTCATCATGTATACCCTTGCGGGATCACCTCTAGGTCATACTAGTCAATACAAATCTAAGTCAATTCAAATGTCGTGGGTCATTGGGATTAAGAAATATTGATTAGGTGTACTAGTTGATAATATATTATAATTGAATATATATATATATATATATATATATTACTAGCTGTAGATACTGCGTCTTATGCCAATTTTATGTTTGGTTGAATGGTAAAGGTAACAAACAGACTCATTTTCACATTTATAATATTAGTAGACTAAGACTTATAACATTTGTTGTTCTCAAGATTGTTAACCCACGAAGGGTATCTTAGACGACACAGTATCCACGTTATATCCACGTTATATCCACGGTACAGTTCATGTCTATTGGCGACGATTGCCACTTGTCATCAGGAGGGCCGTCAGCTCGTTTGCCATTCTAAGTTGCATAAAAAAATATCTAGATATACTAGATATTTTTTTATTCACTAGCTGACTCAGAAAACGCCATTTTGCCCTTCACAGCCATCTATAGGGTCAATTTTTTTATCAAGATACAAGTATCCTACTTCTCAAGTTGGAGTAAACAATACAAATTTATAAAATTTTATTAAAATCGGTTGAACATTTTTGGAGATTAGCGTGAACGAACATCGCGACATGAGATTTTTATATGTGTATATAAAAATAATAAAATTCTAAAAAAGTGATGTCTATAAACAGGGAATACTTAGAAAGAAATAATATAAGGGATCTGAATAGGAGCAATAGAAACCAAAACAATTTATCTTTAGAATTTTTCTTTGACTATGTGTATATTCCGGCTTCACGCAAAAAGTGTGTATTTAATATTTTTTCTATTTATTTCCTATTTTCAATATCGCAGACTGATTAATTTTCTTAAATGGTTTAAATTCCCGTGTAGTTCCCATAGGTAGATGTTGATTTTGACTTGGTTGACGTTGTTTCTACACGGAGGTGGGATTTGGACGAGAATTGAAACATATGTGAAATCCAAACTGGATTCATTCATAAGTGTGTCTGTCCTTCATAGTTACCCAAGGTAAGCGAAAGCACAACTTTAACTATTAGTTATAATTGTGTATCACAGTGATACATTACATTAGGTGTAAAATGACTGCACAGATAAAACGAACAATTATCAATTTAATTTATTTGTTTTCTGACCTATAAATACAAATAATAAGTAATAAATTAATAATAAAATTTATTAAATAGATAATTATTTAATAAATTTGATGAATATTACAGAACACCCAACATAAAAAAGTTATTTTTAGACAATGATTTCTCTAAATAATTTACTTGTCTCCTATTATAAATTCTAACAAACTAACCGGTACACCCGGTATTATGTTATCTCATAATTCTTAACGTTTTGGGTTCTACCTGCGGATGCGCATCGTGAGTGCCCTTGGTGAGCACTGTCCGTGTCATATTGTACGGTCACGCATTGTCCACTGAGCTTAGGACAAAGAGACGAAATTCTATCTACGGCCACAGAACCTGACCGCTGTTTATATTTGATCGTCAAGACTTGTTTATGACGTCAGTATATATAATCATTTTAATTGTTATGTACGAGTATATTATAATATTTCAGTAATTGTAAGTCTTATTACCTATTATTAGAATATAATAAAATACATATTATATTATTGAGATCAGACCTTTATTTAGTATAAATTATTTAAATATTTATATATTTGTTTAATAAATCGATTTTAATTAGATTTTCGTTTCAGGTTCCGATATTTACTGAGATCAGTAAAATTGTACCTTGACGATGTCTGTACTTGGGGAGACATTTAAGAAAAATTAATATGAGGGGTTCTTAATAAGGCCAATAGATACCAAAGAAATAATTTATATAAATTTCGTGTCTGTTTGTCTATATATTCATCCTGGCCTCACGCAAAAACTATTGCATAAAATTTAATAATATTGTTATTCCTGAAGGTCTAACTTAAAAAAAAAAAACTGGTGTTAGTTTAATCTTGACGCACCATCTGGAAGTGGTCTATTTTATTAGGGGACAAAAAGCTAATTTTATATATACTTGTACAGGCTCGTGATATTAGGTACATAATAGGTATATTGCTGCTACGAGTTAATTTTGTAGGTTCTTTCAAAAGAAGCAATATTTATAAACAATTTAACAGCAAAAATGATCCATTACTATATTGATAATTCACAGTACGTATGTACAAGTTTGCACTGATGAGCTCATCACGCACGAGATAAATAAAGGTCAATACCTTGTGAACAACAAAAAAAAAAGCTAAGTCATGTTCTATTGGGCGTTTATGCTTTTTATATAGAGAATACAAAATGCCTATCTGATAAATTTAATATGAAAGATATATAAGCTGCTGATTTAAACCCCTTCAAGTTAATGATAATAAGAGGTAATTTTAAAATGTAAGACAAAAATAGACATTTTGAATGGCTAGTCAGGAAAATACTATGCGATAGGCTGAAGATATTACAAAAAGAGTTGCGAAGACGCATATTCAGCGCATGGTGAAATATCGGGTCAATTAGAGGAGCCGTGAAGAGGCCTATCAACGATGTGTGAGCCCGGAACAGACATTTATGTGATATGGCGCGTTTCGTATCAATCTTACGACTATTTATGTCGCGAAATATCAATAAGTATAAAAAGAGCTGGTCACGCCAAGGCAGATTGTTTCGGTTTTATGTAATGTGAAAAAGACTCCATTTTCCGCGCTTAGCCTTTCACTTGGGCCATTGTGCGTATGAAAATCGGTTTTATGTAATAAAAAATGTAAAATATGTATTTGCTCTAAACTATGCGTAAATAAATTTAACACATTATAAAAATAATAAGAAAATATTATGGTAACCCTTAGTTATATTTCGCGATTGTAAACCACGTAAACTCTGACCCGATCTTTTAAATTGTTCAACTAACGTATCAATTGGATAAATTAATCTCTTACACACCTTTTAGAACTTGCCGATGTAAATCTACTACGTATTTCGTAAAGACATGGTTTTAGCTATAGATGCGTATTCAGCTTTTAGCTCCCCCCGCCCGTCAACCCTCCTAGGATTCAACAAAAAGCTGTTGCACACGAATTGTAATAGGATTTGCTTTGATAACTCACCGTTTTAACTCTTATCACGCCTTGTTTTAAATGTTAATTGTACTATTTAAAATGTACTTACCATGATATTTCAATACGAATGTATGCCTACAGTAAATACCAAATTACAAATTGTTCCTATTCTGACCATAATGCGTGAAAAATGTAGTTTTCAGGTTTTCACTAATAATAGATTTGGCGAAGAACTAAATATTAGCTGTTTTGTTTTCAATGCCAGCATTGTATATTCTACGTAACTGGCAATAAATATGGACGACGACACTACCGATATAAGAGAGTGGGCGTGGTAGTGGCCTCAGAGTACAATATGACAATAATCATATTAAAAAGTATACAGTAGTAACAAAATCAAGAATAATCATTTTAATACTAAAATAAAATGTAACATGCACTACCTTGTGATACAATAAGTATAATTTTATAATGCAAATTAATTTTAATATTTAACAGTAGTTTGTGACCTCTTCCCATCCTGGTCACCATATGTTAAGAGGTAGCACTAAATGAACCAATACTATAACAGAATGGATACTTCATTACAGAACTAAAAGAAAAAGAGGCCACCAATATAAAAAATGGTTGGATGAGATCAAGTGTTGCAGGCGGGCATTTTGCTTCTTGACAATAAGGTTTAAAAAAGAAGGAAGATGCTGGAGGAGGTCTTTGTATCAAAAGAAAACATTTACCTAGTGACTGTTGTGCAGCATAATTAGTAATAGTATAATTATAATTTATGGTCAAGAAATAAAGGTATTGAAATTGAATAAAAATATTTATAATATAAAATAAAAATGTAAATTTTAATTATAAAGTTAAAAAAAATGTTATCCCATATAGGTTCTATAGAAATTTTATTAAAATTGGTTCAGTAGTTTAGTTTTTAAATCAAAATAACTGGTTTTGCTGCATTTGAAGTCAATTTTTTTAAGCACAATGTTAACATCATATACTATATATTGTGATCTTTATAGGATAATCCTCTTATTTATAAAAACGTTTGATGTTTTTTAGGTATTAAACTGATGTCTCTTTTTTTGTGTTAAATTCTAAGTTTGAATGAATGTGAAACGGTGTAATAGTTAAAATAGATTTGTAGGAGGTTTTATTGTTTATGAATAGGGGGCTTAAATCATTAGTATGCTACTTTTTAGGACATATAAGAAACTGACAGAAGTAATCTAATTTAAATTAAATTTTATATTCATTTTGTGTATACATTAATCCTGTTGTTATGACTCAGTTGTTCGTTAGATAATTTTGTGTTTTGTCAGTTGCGCCACTTATGTTACGAAGGTCTTTAAGAGAGGAGGTATTATTTGTATATGCTGAAGTCAGATCAATTTCAATGTAATTCCGTTTAAAACAATCATGGTCTCTTTTAATGGGTGAAAATGGAGTGGTAATACCACCTGCACTATCAGTGTAGACCAGCAGAGCACCAATGAAAGATGATAGGTGAGAATGAAAACAAATTGGTTAGCCTGTTGTAATAAATTCCACAAGAATTAACTACAATAGTTTTGGAAGTTCCCTCCCAAAACTATTGTAGTTTGTTAAGTATTGGAGGTCAATCTGATAGAGAATATTCCCAGCAATGGGGCTGTTGGACCCTACTACTAATAATCCCTTTACCCTGTAACCATCATGTTTAGTTCCTGGTGACACAAGCAGGTTGGATTGATCAGACTTTACCAGTTATCCTTCACAAGTACTCTGCTAGCATAAACAAATAGTCAAACAAGAAAATATACTCCTATGGTATTCGGGGGCCAGCTTATAGTTGGTTAGAGAGTTATCTGGCGAATAGATATCAACATGTGGAAATTATTCGTCTGGATGAAAAATCAGTATTAACATCATATAAATCAAGTAGTAAGCACAATGGCTATGGTGTACCTCAAGGAAGTATTTTGGGGCCTTTATTATTTCTTACTTATATAAATGATTTACCTAAGGTTACAAAACATGAATGTGTATTATTCGCTGATGACATTTCTGTTACTATTACATGTAACTCAGAGAACTTGGGAAGTTTTGAAGATGAGATTAACCTAACAGTTAATTCCATCATACAATGGCTTAAAGAAAATAATCTTACTGTGAATCTTAATAAAACTGGATGTATTCAATTTAGAAACAAAGGTGAAACTGAACTTGGACTAAATATAAAATATAACAGCGAAAGCATTAAGTCACTTCATGAAACCTCATTTCTTGGAGTCAAAATGGACTATAATTGCAACTGGAAAGCCCAAATAGATAAGGTCTGTAACAAAATAAATAAATTTGTATATGTCCTTAGAAGATTAAGTAAAACTACTGATGAGAAAACAACCCTGATGGCATATCACGGATATGTAGCCTCACAATTGCAATATGGCTTAATAGTATGGGGTAATTCCACAGACATTAATAAGGCTTTCTTGGTACAGAAGAAATGTATCCGTGCTCTTTGCGGCCTTCCACCATGGAAGTCTTGCCGACCACTATTTAAAAAATATAAAATACTTCCACTAGCTTGCATGTATATTTATGAAGCAGCTGTATTTGTTAAGAAAAATATAAACAGCTTTATTACTGCCAAAGAAGATTATCCGCGAAATAGAAGAAATCCAAATAGACTAGTGTTAAACAGAATTCCTAAGACTACGATTTATCAAAAAAATTGTTATAATATGTGTATAAGAATTTTTAATAATATACCCGAAGATATTATAAATATAAAAACACTGACAAAATTTAAGAACACATTGTATAAATGGCTTTTGGATAAATGTTATTACTCAATTAAGGACTTGTTGGACTAAAGAATAATTCTACTTTATAAGCACATAAATAATATTTTGTTAATAGTATTAGTAGTAGTAGTATTTAGTAGAAAAGAAGTTACCATAAATATTAAAATTTTGCATGCCATTGTTTTGGCAAAACACGCCTGTTCCTAACATATTATTGCTAACATCTGTATACCATGTTTTTCAGCAAATAAATTATATTATTATATTATAAAGCCATCAGGTAGGGTCACAACTCTGTTTTCATAAAAAACCTTCAAAATCCATTTTTATATAAATATTGTAGTAGATATGTAGTTTTTCCATTGTATTTTACTTTGAAAAAGTAATGTATCTGTTAAATTATTTTATACATTTTTTTTATATAGTTTTGTCCCGCTCTCGAGGACTTTCTTTATAATATGTACACCAAATAGTTTTAATTTTGTGTTATGTATCTCTTTCTGGCATCCATAGATTAGAATATTCAATCTAGTCTTTGGATGCCAGAAATGTAAATTGTAATAACTAATATTATAAATTTGAAAATGTATTTGTTACCTCGATTCAACCAATCATCATGAAATTTGGTATACACATACTATTCAGGATGTAGAAGGACTTAGGTTACTTTTTATACTAATCATAAGGTCAAAATACCAAGTAAAGATTATTATATAATAAAGTATCTATTGCGGGCAAGGATTATTTTCCAACACTTTTTCTTAAGTTAGTACTCACTACTGTTAAAATAATTTACTATCTTTGCAATAATTCATCAATTGATTGCATGGAAGAAAATAGACAAATAAAAAACCTTTTAAAATGTTTTGGAAAGGTAAGATAGGTCAGGTTTGTTATTGTTGTAATGTGTTTCCGAACATAATGTTTTACTCTGCTCTGTGTTAACTAATCTATGATGAGAATAAAATGTCGAGTAAGAATTAACAAGCATTATTATTAAAACTATTAGTCCTATATTAATAAAGCATCTATCTACATACAACAGTTATAATTGTGAAAGGATTGTACAATTGTTTTTGTAATAATGGGGTCAATTCTAAGATATCATTTTTTTAAAACAATCTCTAAAATTTATATTTCAATTTGATTTTATAGCTAAATCTTTATTCCAGAGACCAATATGACCTAATTTCTATAGATTTAAATCAAAATTATTATAAATTTAGTTCAACATAGCTTCGCAACAAAAAACATAAAAAAACACAAACTAAATTTTAAAAATAATATATGCAAAATATGTTTATTATCATAGAATATCAAAAAGTCATTGTGATAAAATATTTATTTATAAACAAACAGCAATCAGCTGGTTATAAAGCAATAATTTAAATACTTGTGAATAAATAAAATACATAATTATAATTCTATCATGGTAAATAAATTAAGAATGATTCTAGGTAATAAGAAACAAGGATAACAATGTTTTCTAATTCACACCAAGGCTTCAAGATGCATCAGTTAATCAAGTAGGTAAACATGATCGCATTACGCCAAAAAATCGATAAAACAGCATCAAGGGAAATTCAAATTACGTGTTTTGGTATTTTATAAAAACTTTAAAATTGTATATATAGGCGCAAAATTAGAACAATGAGGCGGAACAAGACCATTATTTTAGACATACCTTTCTCCTCCTTCCTTTGTAAACCATTGCAAAAGCCCCATGACCTATAATATCTTGTTTGGTGAATTCGTAATCACCTACTTGCGTTACTTCCATTTTCACTAATTTCCCTTTAACCACAGACATTTTTAAAGTTTATTTATTTACAGCTTATTTCGTACAACAAAAGATCAATAAATTTGGAGTATTCTGTTTGAGAACTTGACTAAGCGCTACATTATGACCACAATTAGCTCATAATCACTTCCTTATTTCCATAAATAAAATATTATTTTCACTGCACTAAATTATAAGCATGATAATTGTTTAATTAAACACAACACACAATGAATGCAAAATGTGTAAAAGTGATTTTATTTTGTGTTGTTTTGCGGAGTGCGAAATATAAATAAAGTTGCCATATAAAGTTAGCAGAAATAGTAGTAAATAATTAAATAGTAGTTTTAATAAATTTATTTTTATCCATAATATTCATAATTTTTGTGAATAAATTATCTTTAATATTTTTTATCAATATTTTTCAAATAATGTTTTATTAGGAATTGAAATTGTAAATAAACCATTAACGAAAATTGATACTCCATAATAGAAAGACTGTGGTTAGTGGTAACAATGGTAATTACGAATTTTAAAAACATACTTTTAATTACAATTTAGTAGCGTTAAATACAAACAATTAAAATGTTTAATATAATGGTTTAATGGTTTAACTATAATCTACTCTTAATAGTAAAAAGTAAAACCTCTTTCAAACCTATTTTACTTAATAAAGTGTTTTGTCACATTCTTTCAAATTAAGAATGTAGTTCAAAAGAAAAAGACAAAATACTTCTATAGGTTTATGACGGGCTTGACGTTATTATGAATTATAGAGTAAGGGTTCAACATTGTGGCCGATTCTAATGCGCACTTTCTGTATGCCTATCTCTGAAACTAGAATTTTAATTTGATATAACAGTGAAATCTTTATTCTAAGGAGCAATATAAATTTTCAATAAATTTAAATCTAAATCATTATAAATTTAATTTATAATAGTCAATAAAACAGTAATTTTGCGAAATTATCAAATTAAAATATTAGAACAAGAGATAAGTTTAGAAAAATGGGTCCTCTAAAACGGCTCCATCGTGTCCATATTTAATAATAGTGTTCGCTAAGGTTAATTTTGGTAGTAATATTCTACTACCTGCTTAGTGCGTCGTTTAGTTGTATTTTGTAGTTTTCAATTTTCAAACAAAAACATTGGATTAATGATTTTGAAATGGAGAAAGATTTTAGTTTTTTTTTTAGTCTTGTTCTTATAAACTTTTAAAAACACCTCGCATAGAATAAATATCTCCCTTTCCATTTAGAAAATTAAAAATAGCAGGATCACTCCGTGATTGACGAACAATTGCTGATTGCAAAAAATGGTATTAAATTATATATTTAGCACGATTGTTTCTGACAACTAAATGGGTTATCTACATGTCCTTTTTTTATAACAAGTAGGGTCATTTGTGATTTAGTAATAAAAAACAAAATTAATTCATAATCATAATTTCAGTTTCTTTTTATTCGTTCTGTTGAGGAAACATCATAAATTAAAGAAACTATGTAGCATCAATGGTCGCTCACTAATCGGTGTTGTAACAAAAATAATATTAATAAAAAATTGCTGCTGCCTCTGTTGAATGATTTAGGAACTACTCTTATAAATTAGTGTTACTTATTGCTACTTAATTGCTAATGGCGCTGCTTGTCATAGAAAACCTTTCAGCAAATAAGGAACAATCGTACTCGTCATATTTCGGTCCAATATTTTGTTACAGGAAAAGAGTATATAACCAAGGGATGTTACAGAAAATTATTTCTAGGTTCCTTGTTAACACGTAACTTTCTATAAGATTATCTAAGTAAAGATTTAAATCATGTTGATATCAAAGGTAGGCATAAACTTAGATGCTATTATTAAAAATGCTACAAATTAATTCGACTTTTATTTATTCTGAGAATCATTAAATAAATAAAAATAATATTATGCTTTATTTCTATTTTATTATTATAATAGGAAAAACATACTTGTTACACTGAGCACTAATTTCTGAATTACACAGTCCTTCAATATTATACAATGCCTTCTTGCGTGCTAACGGAGATGATATTAGTAGTAAAGTTAATGTTGACTGTGGGCAGGGCATTAAAAGAATAACACAGAAATAAAGCAATATATTTTAGGATATTAGTTACTAAAATTGTAACTATCTTTTCTGGTCACCAAGATCTTCAATGCTGTCTTCATCAATCTGTAAAAAATACAACCATATTCTTATTACAATTTTTTTTTTATTTTCTTTAACAAAACAGATAACTGCTTTGTTAGACCAAAACATGCAAATATGTTAGCAGAGATAGATAGCTAATATTTGGATATGTTTATTTTAAATATGATCATTACGATAGACTGACATATCATCAGCAAATAAATATTAAAATGTTTAAATGACAATATAATTAAAATATCCTATCCTATAATTAAATGCAACAATTTCATAGTCCTTACACAATAAAGCAGTATTGTGGAAGGTAATAAAAACTACCCAAATAGTGCTGTGCTCCAATTGCATGGCGATGGTTAAATCATTTATGATTTTTAAAATTCCAACTGGTTTTTATAGAAGAGCTGAGAGAGCCTACTAGGTATCATACATTAAATACCAGTATTAAATGATGAAAGGTATAAATTAAATTATAAAAGCATTTGAAAATAAAATAAACACAATTAATAAGTATAATATTAAGATGGAAACCAACCTCAGGCCATTTCTCTGGTATAATATCAAAAAGATCATCTTTCACATCTCCTTGGATGACAATTTCATCATCTCCCGTCACCGATGCACCACAAGCAAACTTGGTGCCAAAGAATTTAGCTGCCGTCTTCAAATCAATATCTGGAAAATATTTTAACAATATAATATTTATTAAATATACAGATATCTTCATAAATGGTGTGAAGTAGCAAGAATATTTGCTTTGAATAAGTGATATATTTAAAAAGTAGATAAATAATAGCAAAACAGCTAAGACTGTGTTTCTAAATGTCAGTAGCCAGGTAATCTCTGACATATACACACAGTATATAAATTAAAGAAAAAACATTAAAATGTATTAAAAAATATCTTGCTGTCAAAGAAGAGACAATACCTGATCAAGAGACAAGGCTGCAATGGCTAATGTATAACATTAAAGAGAAATCATGACAATTTGACATTACCAAAAGTGCTTAATCCAGATACTACAGTAACAGATTTCTTTTTTCCACGGGGCGCCCGCGACACTTGCACTAACTTAGGAACATCTTCCTTTTTCTTTGACTTCAGCATTCCTTTGCCACCTCGTTTTTGCCTCTTCTTTTCTTCTTCACCACCTGTGTTTTCTTCTTCATCTAAAAAAAATTATTACTTGATAACTTATCTCAATTAATGCTACTAAAAGGGAACAAGCAAAGGCATGATTGTAACATAATGCCCGTGCTTGTTCTCTGTTGCAGAAAACTAAGTATAACCTTATTCATGCAAAATCATTCTTTCCCTTACCTATTTTGACCTTTTCAAATTCCGTTGGTAGATGCTTTTCGAGCCATTGTTTGCATTTGTCGTATTCAGGGTAGTATTCGCAATATTCTATCGGCATAGAACAATTTCCACAATATTGGACTCGTATGGGATACACCACTCCTTCACGGGGGCCCATTGAAAGATCTCTATCGGCCATTACTTAATATTTTTAATTGATTTTAAATCATTTGCATAATAATGAACAGTAATAAAAAAATACTGAAATTTATTTAATTCTTTCTCTTAAGAAACGACAAAATTAACAAATTTTATTTGCCGTCTCAAATGTGTCACATTTTGACAGTTCTTCCGTCAAACTTAAAAGTTTTATAGATTTACAGTTTCGAGAGATTAGTATTGGTAGGCCATAGACATTATCTCGTGAACCCAAATTGCGGGTGCCTTTCTATGATTTCTTACCTCGTACCCTTTCACGTCCCGTAAATATTCTATTTCTTCTTACTTTAGTCCACTTTCCTCTAGTTAAGGTAGAGGTAAGTGGACTAAAGTAAATATATTTGATATACTTACTAAAGTTCACTTACCTATTGATTCTGGTCAAATTTATATGTTCTAATAATATAAAAATTTCAAATATATGTTTCTCTTTACACTTCTTGTTCTTCATTCCTTCCGCATATTGTTCTTGCTATGTTACACTCATATTAAATTTATTTACCCTTTGCATGTACATAACTTAGAATGGCAAACAACCTGACGGCCCACCTGATGGAAAGTGGTAACGGTTGCCTATAGACACGAGCAGTACCATGAACATAATAGAGTATACTGTTTCGCCCATGATATCCCATGGGGGTACCATAGGCGTTGCCGTTCCTGAGAACTCAGGTGTTATTTCTCTGTACCCTGCAAATTCGCTGCCATATCCCATCCTTCAAATCGAAACACAGCAATGCAAACAAAACTGCTAAAAGGAAAAAAGCAAAAAAAAGCTATGGGAATTTACCAGCTCCATTACTAACAGTAAGCGTTCCTGCGCTATTGGTATATGCTGGCAGGATAGCAGAGAGGGATGATAGGTGGAGATGGAACATCTGTTCCAATTAATCTTAATTGGTCCATCATGACGAATTGTTTGTTTGTATTCATCACAATGATTAATTCCTGGTGAATAAGAAAAAAACAATTCGACCTCAAGTGCATTACAGGGAATCAGTGGATCCAATTCCCCGCGTGTTCTCATTCGCGATCGTCCGGTCCGGCGACCGCGTGGAGGTTGACCTGTTAGGGTAAATTACTAGAAATGGGACTGTTCGATCCTATTATTAACCAAACTTAAATTGGATGTGGGGAAGATATATTTTTTGCGTGATGCAAAAAGACAGTTTTAAAAAATGAAAATGTAAAATTGTGAAATAAAACAAATCTGCGGAGCGCGGGGCCTCTTAGCCCGTGAGGTCATGTTGCGTCTTATGCCGCTTGTGCTTCAACATATCTTCTCACATCTTGAAGTGGACATCAAACAACTCTGGAGTGGATAAGCCCGCTCCACCTGTTACCACGTTTATGGAGCCCAATCGTAGATATTGCGGACCAAGGAATATCTATTTCGTATAATCCACTTAATAGGCTAGTAATTTTTTTTTTTGGTGTTTAAGGTAATTTGTTAAGGCATTCTGTCCTCGCTATTGGATTTAGGTGGTTGGATGCTTTTTATGATGGGTACAATGCTTTGATTGCGGAATAGTACAATTGTTAGGGGGGCATAATTTAGGAATGGACAACGGGGGACTGTTAGAAAGAAGGAGATATGTGGTCGTCCTCCTAGCGGACACCCTCTGTTCTCTGCCAGTTGCTCGGTTGATGGACAACCGGTCATCATGTTTTTTTTTAGCTCATATTAAAGTAGAGATGCACAAACTTAATATAATTAACTAGTATAATTGTATTGGTGAGTTTTAGAAAATTTATGTCTCGCCCCGGTTTTTTCGCATAGATAGATAAAATATCTCTTATCTTTTTAAATAAAATGCAGCTCATATTACTTGTTTAAAACTATATTATCAATGCAGAAGGGAAAGGAATTTTTAGTAATGAGATTCAACAGCTCCATCGTTATCTATATACCCTATCAAGTCGACCTCCATGCGGTCTCCTGGAAATATTTATGGTTAATTATTATTGAATTCATTAGGATGGGTTTCGACCTGCATTCATTCTCAGCTATCATCACGTACCTCGTCAGCATTTGCTAATAACCCTAGTAGAGTTTCCATTCCATTTTAACGTTTTAAAATAATGATCAATGTAGCTTTCTATAAGTGAAAGTATTTTGAAATCTTTTAAATATCTTTTACTGTGTAGTCCCGGGATAGAATGGGCCACCCTTACTTTCCCATGAGTGTCGTAAATAGCAATTAAGGGATTTAAAGGTCGAAGGATGGGCAACAGCGTCCCTCTTAAAACACGATCAGGGCCTAACTACCTGCGGTAGCTAACCCACTTTCCAAGCGTAACAACTGTTGGTAAAACCCTCCAAGAGCCTATGTTCTGCAATGGACAGTTAAAGGCTGATATGATGATGATGATGAAATGTCTTTTGAGTTTATCCAATACAAACAAAAATCAAATCTTTCCTCTTAATAGTTTTGATAGACAAAACACAGCACTATCTAATTCTAAATTAAGCAGAGTTTATACTATGGGTTTTAAAGAACTGACAGACAGATACTTTTTTTATTTCTAAATACTTTGATAAATATAAATTTGATAAATACGTTAGTGACAAACGTGTTTGGAGTTAGTCGACAATGTTTTTAAATGTCTATGCTGTTTTAGACATAATACATTTAAATAAATACACACAAAGTTATCTTTTCAAATCTTTGTTATTAACTTATTTCACTTTTGAGTTTATTATAGTTTCTTACAAGTATAAAATTATCTTGTAAATAAGTATATTGAACTACCGAGTTTCTTGCGGGTTTTTCTCAGCGCATACTAACATTCCAAACCTAGCAGTAGAATCATAACATAAAAAAAGAAGAGCTTGTAAACAAGTCTATTTGAAGCAAAATAATTTCTATTCTTTTATATAATATATATGAATAGGAAACACCAAATTAATACAAACAGACATATTCATGATTACAAAATTTTGTTTTGTTTGTGAATTAAAACCGCGACCATCGGAAGATGAGACAGTGTCTTAAAGCGCTACACCACTAGACTACTAATAGATACATTAAAACACGTAATGTATAAATAAAGTATCAATTTAATGCAATATTTTGATAAAAAAGAACATATTTTTAATATAGGTACTTTGGTATATTTTATTAGGCATAAATTTTACTGTCAAACAAAAAATATAAAATGTTTAAAACGACCATGTTGACCAAAACATTGGTTGAATATAGTTTACAAAGTGCGTTCTATTTCGTACCAGAGACATACGCGATCAGCCTATACAATAATTTGCTAATATTAATAGTGTTATGCAAAATCTCATTATCTGCTTATAATTCAAGTCACATTTTATATTTAATTTCTTTTTTCAACTACTTATATTCTGCGACTCCGGCGTTAACAATAGATTATAATAAATAGACATAAGTCTATATCACAACAGTAATAATTGAATGAAACAATTAGATGAGCAACATGGATGTTTAATTATTTTTTATATTTTGGTAATTTGTAATTACTTACTTAATTAGATGGTACAAATTCATATATAATTAGGTAGAGTCGTTCGTGATAAAAGATTTCTGTTAGATTATTCGTTTTATTATCAGGCGAGTTTTATAAATTTTGATGAAAACAAAATTATACTGCACCAGAATATTAAGACATGTTTACGTCTTATATATTTTGATTTACTTAGTTTTTAGTTCTATTAAGAATGTAAATTGTCGACGATTTTAATATTTATATTTTATTATATTTCTTTGGTGGTTTAATGATGCTTTTATCACCTCCAAGTCAATTCTAGGTTCCATTTCATTTTGGCAGTAGAAATATATAAGACTCAACCATAAGAATAAGGAACTATCGAACTATTCTCATGACTCAACATTAGTCCAATTACCTTTTCAAATTTCAACAGATAACCAACTTGAATTTATACTACTATTAATTACTATGATTGCCATGAACTACATATTTATGAACATCATACCATCTGTCATGATGAAAAATTAGAGAAGACTATAAATCTTCTTCTTATTCTCATTATAATTATCTACTTTATTACTCCGAATATGTGCTACAATGTCACATTGAACTAATAAAATTTTATACTAATTGTAGTTCGAAACAATTTAGAAAAATGCTTCTTTCTGACTTTATAGCATCACAATATTATAGACGTTTATTACAAACCTTTTATTTTGATAACAAACTAAAACGTATCAAAAATCTAAATTCATCAAATTTTTCTAAAGAGGTTTTAGTATGTAATAGTTTCTTTTTAATAAATATACATATCTAAAGTGAGTATGTAGTGTAATACTACGCTATAGTTACAATGCAGTCTATAAATATTCTATACATCGATAATACTGTCATGTTTTTTGTCGGAAGCTTTGAGTTTCTCTTGCATTTGTGTTAACATATCTTGCATGCGTCGGATCTGTAAGACAAAAATAACTTTATAGGATCAAAGTAATATAAACACAGTAGTTAATTACCATAGTGTTTGAAAACGGGATAACTGGAATAGTTTTTGTTAGGTCCAGATTTTATATTGTATAACGAAATGTAGAAGAAGAATAAGGAAGGAAGGAGGAGGAGAAAGAAAGGAGAAAATTGCATAATGCAGGCACCATCATCACACCACTATCTAATATAATCAAGGAGATCGTACATTCTCTGTATAATTTGCATTAGAATAAAGCCAAGAAACTGACGTCCACGTAACTCGTTATAACGTAAAGTAAAAAGGGTAGAATGTTCCGAAAACCCCCAAAGAATGATCAAAATCGGTTCAAAATTGGGGAAGACATTGCTTCTCTCATCTTTCGGAGATAAGGTAATAATATAATTAGATGCACGAGATATAAAAGAATATAGGATCACACGGATATTAGTCTCGTAGAATAGAAAGAGTTTAAGAGACTTGTCAAGAAGACAAGTAAATGCATATAAATATTAAACCTTTACAATCTAACGTACAATAAAGATATGTGAAATATTACAATGAATAGACACTGGAAATTGGGAAATCATAGTCAGTAAGTACAACAATAATACCTCTTCATCCTTCTGTAATAGTAAACGATCAGTGTCAGTAAAAACTACTTCGTTGTTGTTGCCCATTGAATCCCTTTTAAGTTTTCTGTAAAATAAAACGTTATTCTATATAGGCATGTCCTAATAATATTAAAAATGTAAAACACTGTATATTTGTTTGTGTGTTGCTTCTTAATCATGCTTAAAATTGGATGGATTTGATTAAAATTTGGTACACTGATAAACCAACCAACAGGCAAGGATAAACTACAATGGACTAAGATAGATGTAAAATATTTTTTTCACAGTGATGAAAAAATAGACAAAAATTTTGGATTAACTTTTTTAATCTATACTATACTATTATTCCTAGCTCAAGTAGTATATTGTTTTACACGCAATCTTTCTCCGATCATTAATTCGATTAAAAATTTCATTAAAATCTGATTAGTATTTTCTCAGTCTTGATTTTATTACAAGAAATTAAAGGTAAAAGTTTTTATTGCTTATAATATTTTTATCCATTTTATAATTTAGCTACAAAATGGCTAATTTCAATTAAAATCATAATTCTTTATAAAATATATCCAAGTAAGAAAAAAAATTGATAGTATTTACCCTCTTTCTCTCATAGCGTGTTGTGATATTTGCGAGATACATTGCGCGCGGAAATTCTCGTAATGAACGTCTTGGGTGACATCCTTTAAATCTTGCATGTGTGTTGATATCAACATTGTTCGCAACTTAGTGAAGTCTGAGTGTCGAGGATTTTCCACTGTTAACAAGACATTTAATATAATTAGTTCAATAACTGTGTTATAGTTTGTTTTAATAGAATTTAATGAAATTAGTAACAAAAGGAAACATTCAATCAAATATATATTTTTTATTTGTACTACATCAGCAGACTGTCTTATGATCAGATCAATTATTCGTTTGTTTACAATTTCATAACAATGATTTGTAAAAATCACTTATACAGACCGTCGACGATTCCCCAGGGGTATTGTCGTCCGCGTACCCTTTTCCCGCCCACTTCCAGTACAGTGTCGGCCGCTACTACGGCAAATGGCGCCGCAGCTTTCAACTCGCGGTCCTGTTGTTTGAATTCCTCATCTTCGTCACTGTCACACTCAGGAAACTGGTATACCTGTCAATGCGAGGGACAAAGAGGCATCAATTTATAGTACATTACTGCAGCGGCCAGCAACTGAGGCATTGATGGAAGAACGTGCAAATGTGGGCCGAGGCGTAGCCGAGGCACACATACGTGAATCCATCAATGCCTAGTTGTGGCCAAGCTTGTATAGTACTTTTCTCAAACAATGCGCAGAAATCAAAAACACAATTTTACTTTTTAAGTTCAATGACGAATAATGAACAATAATAATTTTTCACGCGCCATAATTTGTTTTTTTTTTCAATAAACAGCTTTCTGTTAGCAAGCCAGTTCGAAATTTAAATAAAATCTGTTATTAGTTACTTCCTTGGTAGCCATGTTTCGAAGTAAAAGGTCAGTCTATTTTTAAATTACAGGACAGATATGAGTTTACATAGTAATTTATCTGGCTTCAAAACACGACAGATATGGATTTTCATACAACTTTTGCCGGCCGCTGCCCGCATGTATCTGGCCAGTACGGCATTTTTGATTTATCTCGAAGAAGATTGTCAAAATAATGCTCACATTTCCAAGCATGTTTGAGAAAAATATTTTACGTCGCACCACCGTCTTATTCTTTATTTACCTATCTATTTATTTCTGGATAGAAGATTTTTTTTTTATATAACTTAGAATGGCAAACAAGCTGACGGCCCACCTGATGGAAAGTGATAACCGTCGCCTATAGTCATGAACAGTACCATGGACATAACAGAGTATACTGTTTTGCCCATGATACCCCCCATGCGTTGCCATTCCTGAGGACTCAGGTGTTATTCCTCTGTACCCAGTAAATTCACGCCATATCCCACCCTTCAAACCGAAACACAGTCATGCAAACACAACTGCTTCACGGTTGAAACATGAATGGGACAGAGGTACCCAAGCAATCGACTTTTGTACAAAGTCTCCCTCTGGTAATTAATTAACTCAGTAATTAGGTTTCATAACGAAATATTACATCGTTGGAGTCAGTTAGAAATTTAAATCGATACACTAAATACGTCTATGAAATACATTTAAAATAGTTGCCTGTATCTGATGTTCCTCTAGATCAGCAAGTATGCGTGTTTTGAGCCTCTTGATTTCACTAGATGTGAGCGAGTCTGCCTTCGCGATTACCACAACAATGTTTACTTTCCGATGGAGTCGCTTCATCATCTCCAGATCCACTTGCCGTATACTGTTAAGGAAAGAATATACTAAATAATGTATTTGATTTTTTAAACTGTCTTATTGTCGTAGGGTCGATCTGTGGGGTAGTTTGGCAAGTTTGGTATAGTAGCAATAGTAACAATATAAAATATTTCGTTATGAAATTCAAAAGTAAATTGGTTTATATGACAAGATATGAAATTAGTTTTACGCATTTATAATTTACAGGAGAATAAATTTGTTTTCACTTTGGAACTTAAAATTTTTCTCTTTTCACTTTGGGGGCTTTGTTTAATTTTGCTCTGCACTTCGTAATAGGTACTGGGCATACGATTAATTGGACACCTACATTAGAAATATATTGTTACTATGAAGATGATGTTGCAAGACATGGATATCAATGTGTTTGATATTGAAATTCGGATTTGGATAGATGTTACGTAAGATAATACTAAAATGAAATAAATTGTAAATGATATTTTACAATTCATTAAATTATATAGCATCCTACGTGACTTTTTTATCCGACTGCCGAGGAAAGGAGTGTAATATTTTTTGTTTATAACCGGATGTTAGGAGCTATGTATAATTAAAATGGCTTGATTGTTTTAATAAATAAGACATCGTTGTGTTTTTCTTCATTGTAGGAGTAAATACTATCGTTTACATAACAGGTTGTCAAAAGATCTAAATTTATTGGGAAGAATTAATAATTTTTTATTAAATTTAAAATGGAAAATAAGCTGGCAGATGGCTGGCTGGTTGATGGAAAGTGATAACCGTCGCCTATAAACATAATACATACTAATATAGGTAGAATCTTTAAAAAATTGCATTAATTTATTGTGTTATAAGATATGAATGCTATAAGAGTATTATAATTCTGTGGCCTAACAGCGCTTATTTTTTTAATAGATGATAATGGAATGATACACCCGCCTGTGCTATCAGTATACACCGGCGGGGCTCTAATGAGGAATGATTGGTGAGAATGAAAAGACAAGTCAGTTAGCCCACTGTAACGAATTCAACGATGAATTAGTTGCTATGATTTCCAAGGGGAACTGCGTGGAGATCGACCTGATGATAGGATATGTTAGCAATGGAGACTAACCTATCCATTACTAACAATCCCATTCTCTCAAACAGCGTTTGTTTGTAATACTGTCCATGCTAAACAACCTAAGTACCAATTCATTGATTGAAATTATTTATATACAATGTTTGTGCAATGACATCTGTATATACATACATATTGTACCATACATACCACGTATGTTACAATATCTGTGTTCAATAGAATTTTATTGGTCTATTATTACAGTTGATAAATTAAAACGCGTTCTTTATTAATAATGACACAAACACGTAACTTACGGACGGGTAGATAAAAAATAGGTGAATAATATACTTTTTGTTATTAAATATTTTAAAATGTACCTAAAATCAGGTATCTATGTAGTATTTGTATTCATAGGTCTGTATGTACATAGCGAGTATTAAATAAAACTGCAATACTTTTCTTGATTTCAATAATTTTTAGTATCATTTTGTGTCAATTTTTATTTGAAAAAATTTTGATATATATTTGATTTTTTTTATTTTTTTTTTAAATATGGATTTGTTGTTGAAAATGAAATCAAGAAAAAATTTAAATAAATTATTTATATATCATATTTTGTTCACTATCGCACGTCAATGTTTTTAACCCTACTGTTAAATTATATTTACTATTTAATTATATGGTACTTATCTAAGCCTATTAGTATTACTACTTCTTCCTTTTCTTTACTTAGTCTCATATTAATATAATAGATCAAACGTGCACAAGCTTGATAGTAAGTAATTCACATAGTGACACGTGTCTGTGTGTGCTTTCGCAAGAGTTACTCATTGCAGGCGTTATCATTGTGGCCCTGACCATTTATTAGGTGTGCTACTCATCCGACTAAACACGTAACTATCATATAAGTAGATACATTGATTGTTGTATTTATATATTAACTAAGGTATATGATGATAGTAATGAGCGAACAAGGCATTGTATCATTCATTCATTTTAAAACTAGATGACGTTAACAACACTTTAATCGCTTTGTGTGTATATTATCTTTAAGCTTTACATAGAAATGTCTAAATATAATTATGAGAGCTATGTTAGAGAAAATGATGAGATGGATGAGAATTTATTTTCACATTTATGATATTAGTAGAAATGATATTAGTAGGTCGTGTGGTCCCGGCATAGAATAGGACAACCCTTCCTTTCCCGTGGATGTCGTAGGAGCCGACTAAGCAAGAGCGAGGGATGGGCAGCAACGTCCCTCTTAAAAAATCTCTAAAGCCTGACTGCGGTTACCAATCCATCTGCCAAGTGTGGCAACTACTGGTACAACCTCCCTAAGGTGAGGCAGTTCAGCAGTAGACAGTTAAAGACTGATATGATGATGATGACGATGATATTTGTAGGATTCCGACTGGGTTCCATAGGAAAAGTTGTCATTGTACTTTCTTAACTACTTCAGAACTGATGTGGTATTATCAGTGGGTTTCTCTTTTCGTTGCATTCATTCGTGGTATTATTTTAATTAAATTAATATAGTTGGAATTATTCATGTACCTGTGCGCCCAGGGCGGTACAAAATACAAGCAACAATGCACACGATTGTCTTGCATGTGTCGCCGGTTCAACCCGCTCTCGTCGGTAAAGTATTGTCGGAATTGTTCGTCGATGTAGGCCGAGCAGACTCTCCATGAGTCCTCACAGTTGATGGCGTCGCCAAATCCAGGTGTGTCCACTATGGTTAAGCGAAGTTTCACCCCACGCTCTTCTATTTCCATTGTTTTCTTTTCAATTGTCGTGGTCTTTTCTATTCTATCTGCAATGTAAATCAAAAGATATGAGTCCATTAATATTGTATTTATCTATCTTTATGTTTTTTATGTATGATCGTATCTACCTAATAACGCAAATTACAAAATAAATGTTATTTAATTAATAATTACATATTACCTATATTATTTGGTTATACTTCAAACAATGACATTATTTTTGTAATATGTACCTACATACAAAAAATTACGTTTCCCATGTTAAAGAAAATCTCCGAAAAGAAATTATTAAAAACTTAGTAGTTCTTTTTATTGCAAAAATTTATTAGTCTAAATTTAACAGTCGATAAACAACTAGACTGTACTGTCCCATCCTTCTAAATTTCTATCATTATATAAAATCGGCACTACTACAAAACTTTACCTTGAACATCAGTTATTTTGCGGTTCTTGTACAGATCACCCAAGAAGAGGCTGTTGATGAGCGTGGATTTGCCAAGGCCTGACTCCCCCACCACCATCAACGTGAAATCGAACCCTCTCTTAACCGACTTTCGGTGTACCTGCTCAGGCAGAGTCGCGAATCCGATGTAGTCCCGCTCGCCACGGTCCCGTTCTGTCAAAAGAAAATTATATTTTAGTGTACATTAGGTGGCACTATAATATATATATATATATATATATATATATATATATATATATATATATATATATATATAAACAAGTATAATAATTATACAAAAAAAATTCAATGTTAATAAATAATAACAATGTTTTTTGATGCACAGTATTAAAATGGAACATTTATTTGTATAACATTTTAAGTAATTTAGTGGTCGAATTGTTGTGGTTTGTTAGAAATATACTTATGACATCATATGTAGATCAAAATGAACTTTATTTCTATAAACATAAAGTTTCGTTTCATTTCTTAGGCATGTATATACGAATTGTAATCCTTGCACGCACCAGAATTTGGATACAGTTCTAGTGTGCCTATTTACATGCGACATAACAGAGTTTGAATGTTAGCATTGTGTATAAATCTGTTACATAAATAGGTAAAAATTAGATATTTATTCTTTGGTATAAGTGTACATAGTATCATAAAAATCGAATGAGTAACTATTATAATGAATTTCCTGTGGATATGAAACGCTTGCATTACGATCCACCTAATCGATATAACAGTAATCATTAAATGTACGGATACGCATTCATTCAAGCGAGAATTGGGCGGTCAAATTGCTTTAATCAGCCTACGCACAATGTTGAACCCTGACAAGAGTATGTTTCGGTAAAGGAATTGTTAGTATTGAAGATTTACTAATTCTATTACTAGCAATATACCCTATCAGGTTGACCTCTACACGGGTCCCCCTGGAAACCATTCTTTAATTCTTGTAAAGTATAAACTTTGGGCTTTATAAATTTTTGGCTTTTATAAACGATGGGCTAACTGGCCTACTTGGGGGAAAGGGACTGTTAGTAATGGAGACTGAGAATCCTATTGCTAACAATATACCCAACCAGGTCGACCTCCTCGCGGTTCTCCCTGGAAACTATCATGGTTAATTCCTGATGAATTCATCATGATGAGTATAACTGGCCTGGTTTCATTCTCATCTATCACCCTTCACTGGTGCTCCGCCAGCGTATCCCGTTAGCGCAGGCGGGCTTACCATACCATTTTCACCCATCAAAAAAAAACTGGCCTACTTTCATCTTCACCTATCATCCCTCACTGATGCTCCACCAGCGCATATCGATAAAGCAGGCGGGGTTACCCTTCCATTGTCATCCCATAAAAAAGAGCATATTGGGCACGAAGATTATATACATCGAAAACAATTTAGCCTTTATCTTTACAAGTAAGATGACTTACAAATGTTGGGTTTGTGTTGGTGTTAAATTTCTTAACTACCTATTTCTTCTACGTCTATATTTCCTATGGTTTACACTCTACTGAGTTTCGTGGTAATTTTTTTTTCTTATTATATATGGAACTCCGTACGTACGTCCGTACAACAATATCATAACCATAAACCAAGCAATTTCGGTTATATGATAAATGGCCAATCAATGTCTCTTTTCTACTTATAGATAACTAAAATTTATATTTACCACAGACAAATTGTAGGTAATTAAATGCAGAAATAGATTTTTTTTTACAATTAATACTACGATAGATATCGTAAAAAAAACTGTTGTTTAAAAACGTACCGGTATACGTTACAGGGCATTGCAACACGATCAACGGAGTGGAACATGACAGGTTCCCTTGGTACCTGATGCTCAGGGACGACAACGCCAGCGCGTGCACGCCTAATATTGAGGGCGCCTAGCGGAAGCAGTAGGACGTGTACACAACTTGACCACATTCAATATAATTCTATTGACATCGAGCGGCACTGAGGCACAGATTACTTAATAGTTTAATCATGGTTAACTGAGGCCCTTTTCGTGAATCTTCAAATAATACTTTATTTCTAATACGGATTAGTCAGTAGATTTATAGCGCTAAAATATTAACACGAACTATGAATTAATTTTTTTTTATCTAATTCCAATATAGTAATGTACATAAGAATAAATAGTCCTTATAAACTATATTAAATATATAAATACCTAGTGAATAGAACATACTATTTAATTGATGATTTCCTTGGAGATAAATGCAATAAATTTTCTTAATATTATGCTAATACTATGATTTTTACTATAAATGTGATATTATTGGGTTTTTTGTTTATATATATATGGTATATGTATGTGAATTTGTATACCTCGATAGATAAGGTTGATTATAGAGGATTTATCTTGTTTTGCCATCTATTGTTATGTACCTATGTATCACAAAATAAATAAATTAAAAAACGCGCGAATTACTGTGACGTCATATGCTACAACTTTACTAACGCACCAGCCGTTCCCGGTGGGTAAAAAATATGACATAGTTGAAAAACATTTGTCATCGTTTGTAGTTTGTTTTGGCGGTAATAATATGATGAAAATGTAAAGAACCTTTACTTGTTTGTATCTAATAAACGGTTTTAGTACGAAACTATCTACATATAATTATAATTGGGAAGGAATGATGTTTTTGTTGCTAATACAATTATTTTCATAAGTTGAAAATTAGAAGGCATAAAAGAACTAATAAAAACCGGCTATACAATGTGTAAATAAAATCCTTCTACATGGTATTCCATTTGGACTATGAGTTTTATTTTGAAATTTTGTACGCCTTTTTTGACCCTCCAGCAAAGAAATTCATTAATTGACATAGAATTTCAATCAATATTAATTAGGTTAAATTATGTTTAAATAAATAAATATATATCATACAATAAATATATATAATCATAATAGTATTCTTATGATTTCAGTTTCTATTGTCGGTAAAGACATTGCCCTTATACTGGAAAAAAGTAAGTTATAACTTTCTATTATCTACTTACATAAAGTATCCTTCGCCGTTCCAAATACGATACATATAACTACGTAGTCGTGATTTTAGAATTAGGATAAAAAAATGAGTTTACGAGCGCATGAGAATAAGACGCATCTCACAAACAATAACAGCAACATGCACTGATGTGATTGATGATTTTTTTTTTCATATCGATAATGTGAGTGTAAAAAAACACTATTGTTATACAAGTGGTAGATCAATTGAATTCCATTGTGAACACAAATTTCTGGAACACGTTTACACATTTAGAAATTATGCAGATAAAGCAGTTTGCGATTATATACGCGTAAAAAGCATTAATTTCGGGAAATCATTAGTTTACATTAGTACACGCCTACGTCATAATAGGAAATTTAGTTATTATTGAAAAATTTAAATAACTATTTTTCATGGTAAATTTAATTGAAATGACTGATCTAATCCTGCAAATACAATGATACTAGAAAATAAATAAATATTTAAAATGTCTCGAATATATTCGACCATCCTCGAGTCAGTAAAAGAAATGTCTCTCATGACAGTATATCGACCAAGTTGGCGAACAAGAAGACGACAATCAACGGAAATTCATGAGTAAATAATATAAGTGTCGGGGAGTTTGTCTCAGGATAGACAGAGTTCTGCACTTTGTTTACTTACGTAACATTTTAGTACTCGTACAAATATAACTATTGGTTTATAATTCTTGTATGTACATCTAACTGTTCGATTAAAAATAATTACATAATTAAATTAACCTATATGTTTCGACCGGATTAGAACGCATAATCGTTAGTGTCATTAATCAAATAGGTATAGTTTATCGACTAGACAACGTTCTTCCCTATGAATATTATATATTTTAATACCAAGTAGCAAACTATACAAGTATGTGTTCTTTTCTTCCTAAATGACATATAATTATTGTAAAATTTCTACTTTCTTCGAGATTTTAGCAAACAATACTTTCTGATTGCAAATGGTTGAACAGTTACTTAAACATTGTTCCCCAGTCAAGTAGTTCCTTATTTTGAAGCGGAACATCCCATTATAACATCATTTAAAAGTTACAAAAGCAATACAATGCAATGATATTTCATATGAGAATATCCCACGGCCTTACTATAGTATTAGACTAATTATCTATTGCTACATTTGGTACTTGCGGCGCGATGATAGTACAAAACAAAGCTTACATTGTAAGAATGTCTTATTAAATTAAATTAGGTACTTACTCACTAATAATTCCAAACATTTTGTCTAAAAATATTTATATACGAGCATTTCTCTACTTTATCATGAATATTACACTCCTGTCTTATTTTAAACATTCGGTTAGTGTTCTTGTTAAAGAGTAAGATATAAGACTTTATATTTGATTGTAATAAAACTGAATTTAGTAAGTACGTAAGAAATAGATAAAATATCTATCTATTATTAGCAAATTGTCATTAATTATTGTAATAGTACTTACGGATTTTTATAACAGTCGTAAAAGGCGATTTAGGTTTTGTAGTGTCATCTCCGATTACTTCACTATCGGCGTTCATGTTGTTTTTGTTTTTGTTATCGATATCTATATTTAAAATAGCAAAAGAGGCACTTTTTTCCATATTGGCATTTAAGTATATATGGGGTTTAAACGAAAAGTTTACATACAATTTTAAATAATTTAATAATGTAGGTACAGATAAGTTTTTCGATTCCTATGACACAGGTATTGTGTTAGTAACGTATACGATAAAAACGCGGGAATATCCGTTATACACGGAAGAATTCCATTGTGAGGTGCACTGTGACAGTAATTATATTTGTAGAAGTGCGTATTTGGTTGTAGGATACGTGAGCTGGATTTGCGGAAGATGGGATGGTGTCGGTGACGGCGCGGCGCGTGCGCAGCCGACTCCGCGCTCTGTCTTTACTGAGCGCACGTCCGAACTGTGCGCGAGGCGCGTACTTACTTCAGTAAGCAAGGTTAAATATTAATGTTAATTGCGTCGTTTATTAACACCTTTTGGTATGAATAAGTTAACAACTACAACTGAGTAGTGCTTAATAGTTACTGTCACTGCAAGTAAGTAGTACACTATGCATCGAGTTAAGAAAGTGATGCCCGAGCTGAAAACGAGGGCTTCTATAAGGACTTTAACAAAATTCAAGTTATATATATATATATATATATATATATATATATATATATATATAATATCCATCGAACTATAGGTGTGGCACACAATTTTTCTCAGCAGGTATCATATATCTATTAGTATAATAAAAATGAAGTAAAATAAAATAATATTCAACGAGTACGATTTCTGTTTAAATTGTACGAAATCGTAGTTTCTCCCGAGTGATGCTTACTTATTGTTTCATATCATATCTACCTACAAGTAAAATTTAACACAACTTTAACTATCTACTTAAAATTATTAAACCCAATAATGTTTGGCGGTAAAAAACTGTTGGTAATGTGGATTAAGCCCAATAGCACGCGGATCTCTCATCTACCCTGCACATGGGCCCGTCTAGAAACTATTGTGATTAATTCTGGTAAATTCGTCATGATAAGCTAATTGACCGAACTTTTTCTTCATCTATTCAGCTAATACTAATAACGCTGATGGGGTTACCATTTCATTAAAAAATATCTAATAGGAATAGACGACACCAAAAATAAAGTTATTTCATTAATTAATTACACTAATTAACTATATGCTTACTTACTAGAAAATATATAAGTGTACATAATATTGAATGATAGATAAAGAAAACATCCAGCAATTAATATAGATACCTAATAATATTAGACATACAATCAACATTTCTTGTTCAATTGAGAGATGCTGCGATTCAGCGTCGTCAGCTCTCATCCGGTGACGCAACGCAGATCTCCATGTCGTCTCGGCATTGTTGTATGTACTTACCCACTTATACGAGTTGATACTGTATATGTTACAATATATACATACTACGTCATGTGTTCTCGTGAAAGTAATAAGTGTAATATAATATAAATTACTACTATTAGAATATACATTTTCTACTATATTACTTTTGACAGAACGATTTTTCACTTATATTGCAACTACCAAAGTACTTGTAGAGACATCATGTGAAGGCCATATTTAAAATGCGTAGTAGTGCGTAGTAAAAGAAATTATTAAACTGCTAATTTTTATATGTATCTGCTGTTTTTGTCTGTGTGGAATCCACTATTCTAAGAATTTCCGGATTAATTCAAATTTTAGGTTTAGACAATGCGTTCATATCCAACTATCATTTTTTGTAATTTATATATGTATAATAGTTATTGACAATAATATAGTAAATAAAATAGTAGTACTATAAATATATATTTTTTATAATAATTCACTACGTATTATCAAATGTATGACCGTATGATCATAAAATTATGACTCATCTATTTCCAAAATAATTGAATAACTAGTGATCAAAAGCTATTATTTTATTGGATAATTTCAGATCATTTTACTAGCCTCCTGTCTGAATGGTATAAAAAGACTGTAAGTAGAAACTATTTATATACCTTGCCCATGGCATGAATGAAAATGAACGAAAATAATAAAAGATTAATTAATTATGTTGTACATTTGTGTAGATATGTATATTTGCACTTACCCATCGTCATTTTGTAGATGAAAATGGCTTTTTCCACTATTCATACAAATTGTAAATCCGTGAAAATTTTTATCAAATTTTCATATTGCTTTTCGTTTATTTTGTATTAATAGATGAATTGTTCTTATTATTAACATTTCGTATATTTAAGTTACGGTTATAAAAATGTTAAAAATTTACAAAACCGATCGATCGATTTCCAGTCCGTTCCACTAGTAATGTACGAATTCGTTTATTTAGTTCACCATTATGTCGAATTAGGTCTCATTTATCACATTATAAGTATTTTAAAATAAGTTTATAAAAATTATTCACCAAAATATCACTGCAGCTACGAATAAATATTGACATTATTCCCTACTCTACACATCTAAAACGAGTGCGAAATAATTAAAGTCGCGCGACACCTAAAATAATATCACGATTCTAATCCTAAAAATTGTATAATTAAAAAGAGTAGAAAAATTGAAGAAAAATAAAATCACATTGTTTGTGCGCCGTCCTGTGCGTGTTGGGTTACGTAAAGTGAGGGTCCCGGGCAAGCTCGCGCCCTCTTTAGAGGCCGCCCCCCTTGGCCCCCGCCGTACCCTGCGCGTGCCTGCGCACCACCGATGTCCTGCGCGGGAAAACTCTCCGTCCCTGTTGAGACCCGCGACGAACGCGGCACAAGGACGCCGGAAATGTAACAAGCGATCGATACAGTGCCTGGCCACTAGAGCGCCTGCGTCGTGCTGTTCAACCCTCACACATACAAGTTTATTTTCTCTTACTACTTCGCTATACTATACGACAGCTATCGTAATATTATACGTGCTTGTCCCAGTAAAACTCAAGGTCGTTGGTGATCAGCTAATGGCCTCTCACACTAACTACTTATAATTTTCTATGATTCTCTTAGTACATGATAGTTATGCAGCGAAGCTACTACTAGACGAGTATTTTATGAGAAATAAAAATAGAAGTTGTTGTTGTTGCATAAGTAATATGTATTATGAAATTGATTACAAGAACTCAATGTTTATTGGGATTTTTCGACTTCAAATTCAATAGTATATTTTTTATTTCCTTTATTATATTGCCTATATTTATGATATATCTTTATAAATTATGAATCGATTTATATTATTACGTAAGTGTTACTACCTTGTTGCTTCTTATTTTATAAAAACCGAAGTAGGTTTATTAGTTTGAAAAAGATTTAAATGACTTATAGGATATTAGGTTTCAAATACCTTTTTTGGTCAAAGGTATATAAAGATTGTAATTATTGAATAATCATCGATTGTTCTATTATTACAAGTGATCCACAATAATCTAATAATTTATTCGTTACATCTTCTATCGGTAACCATACTCTATCATGGCATGACTGATAGTGCAGATGGGAACACCACCATTTCATTATCATTTCATAAAAAAAAACCTTAATTTTGAATATCAAGAACCTATCTTCCAGAAAGGATAATATCCCAAACATAGGTTTAAATTGTCATTTAATAAAATAATCATCTCATAATCAAATGTCTCAACATAATTTATAAAAATATCTATTAGCTAATCACGGTGAATGTGTAAGAAAAAAAAAAAACAGTAAAAACTCTTACAGAGACAAAACAGCTTGTGAAATTGAAACATACCATGAAATTTGCAATTTTTCTATCGCTTCTCTATTTTCAGCGCTTCTGTATTGTTCTAGTTTGACCCAAATGAATATTCGTTCTGTTACTTAACTATGTATATACATAAATAGATAGATAGACTCATGCTTTTAATACTGACGTCGTTGTTTGAGATGATCTGATTTAATAACATCATTGTATTACATACGATGCGATGTACATAATTTTGATGCACAAGAACGACATAACTAAGATTAATTAAAAATTATAAATTAAAAAAGAACCCAAAACAACAATTGAAAAAAAAAACAATTAACATCTAATATTTTTCAGAACTTTAAAATTTAAATTCAATCTACCACACGGTCAGTATATAAACAGAGAGACCGACTTACTATACTAAAATATATTTATTTTAATTTTTATTTATATTTTTTTTTATACAACTCAGAATGGCAAACAAGTTGACGGCCCACCTGATGGAAAGTATAGACATGAGCAGTACCATGGACATAACAGAATATACTGTTTCGCCCATGATACCAATAACAATTTTATTAATTGATTAGTCGAAAAGAAGGATTGTTAATGTCAACTTGACTCTACCGTTCATGAATCAAATTGTATGATTTATGATAGATGGCTTATGATTTAACTTAAGATTTAACATCTAATAATGTAATAATTGCATTACGAATGGTCCATAGAGTTATAAAGAAAATGTATGTTTAAAAATGCTTAGATTAAGTTTACTTGAATGGATAATATTCTTATACGATCGGTAGAGTCAAATAATTTTTTGACCTAATAAATATTATTATTATTAATAGGGCCGAGAATGCGCTCTCTAAGGTTGACATGAGATGTCATATGAGGTTATAAGGATAATTTTTTTTTTCAGTTTTTGTAGATACAATTTTTTTTCGGTGGTTTGGATATATCTGTGCTGATTGACGATATTTTCGCAGATTCTTTTCCGGTTTTGATAATTCGGGAATCAGACGTATACGTCTTCACACACATGAAGGCTAATATCGTAGATTATCGCTGAAGAAGTAGTAAAGAATTTGTACAATAGTAGATTTTTTTATATTTGAAAATCATTTTAGATACGCAATCATTGTGATTTCTTTATTATCATATAAAAAACATACGTCTATAAACAGAAGAGCTACCTATATATTTTAATCATAATTATATAAGTACGCACTTAAAGGGACATTCATGTAATTCATGTAAAATAAATAAAAAGAATTTAATATCCTTTGTATTAATCAACTATTATCAATATTTAATTACTAAATAATAATGATTATACCAAGATATACCTTCTCTCCATATCCCACATGCTTTATCCATCCCTTATTAGGTTTAATCAATTTTCTTTCTTTTTTTGCTAGAGCAAAGAAAGAAGAAAGCAAATTAATTTAACTTTTAATTTAATTAAAAAAAAAACATTAGATTTATAACTAAAATATTCTGTATAAATTTTAAGCAAATTGTCGTCAATTTTGAAGAATATAGCAAATTATTTGTTAAAATCACAAAAGTAAAACTATAAAAAAAATTTTAAAAATTGATTACTGAATTTATAACTATAATCCATTTATTAAGATCCAACAGGCCCCAAATTATTGCGCCAAAAACTCGAACATACTTTATTATCTACATCACACATACATTCTAAAAATATTATGCTCTTTTATTTAATAATCGAGTAAAGAATATAAAATCGAATTCTTGATTCAATTCCTTTTTTTTAATTGATTAATCAATTTGAACTAATTTGATTAATTGATTTAAATGGATTTGATGCCTTATTTAAATCAACTCTGGTAAAGTTGCAAGATAGAGGGATGTTTCCGACTATTTAATTAAAATTATTTTGATTATTTTTTACCACAATGCATGCGACTACCAACATGACTATAACCTAATTTAATAAAATATAAAATATCTCTTAAAAAAATATGACACTAGTTGAACTGCGTCACATTACTCGTGTGTAGATGTGTGTATTATATGTGTTTATAATATTATTTATTATGAGGATAGTGCAGGTTAAGAAAACATATACGAGGAGGAGTACGTTCGTTTTGATTGACAGAATATTGAATATATCTGTTTACAGTTTGTTGATAATTATCAAGTATTATAGCAGCAGCGTTCCTCTTAAAACATCTCTAAAAGCCTAACTGCAGTTGCCAACCTACTGGCAAAACTCTCCTTATGGGGAAAGCTCATGTCTAGCAGCGGACAGTTAACGGCTGAAATAAAAAAAAAAATTAGTATTAAAGATAGTTTGTAAAGTAAGTGATGTGCAAAGTGAAGAGTAAAGATATATATAGTATAGCAAACGTCTCTTATTATAATGTCTTTTATTACATTTAATATTTATTTTTTATTAATAAGGTAATAATCTGTAATCTAGTGGCAATTGTCAACTATCTTCAAACACCTATATAAGAAATATTATTGAAAAGTGTTATAAAAAAAATAAAAATCTAAATCAGAAACATGATTTGTATTTTGTGTAAAATAATGAATAGTAAATAATATATATATATATATATATATATATATATATATATATATATATATATATATATATATATATAATAGATAGGTAATAAGTAGATAGGTAATCCCAGAGGCACAGTTCCGTAGATTATTAATATATTCTGAGCCAGAGTTTTCTTTGTATAAATGAGGATGAAGTTGAGTGTCAGGCATTATATAAACAAGTTATTGTAGAATTCTTTTATTGTGCATTATTTTTTACTCTATTTATACTTCATAGACCCAAAGAAGCGACTTAAAGTGTACCTATTTTTTCCAAATAGATATATCTCTAAATAAAAAAAAACTGTCTTGGAAACACGATACACAATTACTATAATGGTAATTTATAGAACGGAAGTTATCAAAATTAAATTGGAAAGGACCCTTCGGACTTAGTGTTAATATTTGATAACGTTATAAAATACTACAAAAATAACAAAACAAAGATATAAAAAGGATCTTACGAAATAAATAAATACTACTCAAATATTACACATCCTTAAATTAAGCAGAGCTTATAATATGGTAAAACTGGTACAGATACTTAAATATGTTTTTTTATACATTATTATAACACTCAGACTAATATAAATAGTCATATTTATAATTGCAAATGTTTGTATTGTGCGGGGATCAAACTCGCAACCATTGGAAGACATGTCAAACATTATACCACTAAGGTTGTAAAATTACGAAGTTACTTTTTTCAAGAAATACTATTGACACTAATGTCTTAATTCCCGCGAGAAATCACGACTTATATGACTGAGAAAGTATGTCTCTACGGCCTTATATTTCATGTTCCACTAATTTGATGAAATATAGAACTTTTAGGCTCTTGGGATAGTATTAAAGCTAAAATTGTCACCAATATAAATAGCTCTCGAGATAATAAGTAACATGTATATATTTTATCTAACATACATATATAGATATTATGAAATCGTATAATTAGCTTGCTCTTTTTGAGCTTATAAAATACCGAAGAGAAATTGTTACTGCCACTTATTATCTTATAACCTATTAAATTATTAATTACTAGCTACGTCTTCGCCACGTAAGTAAATATTTATAGTACTTTGTATATTAAGTTATGACATAACCTATTCGTGTATCAAATGTGATTCAAATCAATGCGGTAGTTTTGTGTGAAAGAGTAACAAACATCCATTCATACACCCTTACGAACTTTCGAGTTTCTAATAGTAGTAGTATTAACATCTAAGTCTAGCTTAACTTCTATAAAGTTTTACAATGCTGGCCTTGTAACGTGGATCAGGATGTTTTCCAATTTTCTTCCTTTTATGTTTATGTGATTTATTTCCCTAGTATTACGATATTTTGGGGATATAAATTAGTATTCCAAGATATAAGTAGGTACAACTGTAGTAAGATGTTACTTGTTTATTTTAGATTTATAACTGAACAGGACGTAACGGATTATAGTGAAGTAACTATGTTTTCTTTATTCTTATGCACTGTCCTATATAATGGTTGGCGATCGTCAGAACTATCATAACTTTAGAGACGTCTACCATAAAAGGGTTCTAATGGTTATTTTGGACCAGTATGCCTTAATAATAGCACTTAATACGTAATATTATTAAGGTATATACTTCTTATTTATTACATCTAAATATACATAGAAATATTATATTATGCTATATTTTAATATTACATTTAAAAAACTGTAAGCTTTTGCCATGCTTATAATATATATTTAAAATAATGTATGTACATAAACAAATGCAGTTAGTATCAATTTAGTAATTTTTACTTGTTTGTCGTTTTAAGTTACAGCAGGATAGATATCTATATCGGGTAATCTCGAGAAACTCTAGCCATGGGAAAAGTGTCAGATGAGACGAAAGGCGGGAATCCTACGTCACTGCATAAGCCCAATAAAATGATATGCTTGGAATTACGCTTTTATTTCTCTTCTATCAGAGTATAAATTGATTTTGTATCCTTTATTCTCAATACTGGTTTTTGTTTATAGTGATACAAACCTTGTATCATGGTGTTAGAGGTGGTTTTAGCATTTCAAGTATGAGAGAAAGCACTTTCCGGTCGTGTGGCCGGTTGGATGACGTAGATGACTCTGTGCTCACGGCAGCACGGCCATCACGCTAGTTTGCCAGTCGAGCACAGTCCTCCCGCAAGTTAGGATTGTGTCGTTTCCTCCCAACTTTCGGTTTTCGCCGCGATCGAATTGTCATAAATGACATCTCAAAGTTGTGTATGTAGTTCAGGATTATTTATATAATTTTTAAAGGTAAGAAAATACGACATAAGTCGTTAATACTTAATTATATAAAGTAATATTTAATATTGTAGTTTTGTTAATAATAGTATACGCTGTTGAAGTTATATTAAGTAGGTATACAGTATTTGAAATCTAACATAACAAAAGGAGGAAAAATGCTGCTTTAAATGACTAAAGTCCCTCAAGTTATGCAAAGTTTTACCTGTTTTTAGTGTTACTTTGGCTATATTCTATTATTTTTATAAATGAAAAAAAAAATTAAAAAGTTATTCCTTTATTTAGATTTTTTAATATTGTAATAATTCCCAAAGAGGGTTGACGTCAGGCAGGCGGCCGATTGTAAAACTATAAGCCAAATCTTTTTGTAATATAGTAAAAAACATATTACCCCGACCCCAAATAATAATTGGGATAAGGGTAGGAAGATAATAAAAAAAAAATTGTTACTAAGTCATGCTTAAATAAATTGTAGAACTAAAGTTTTACGTAGATAGACCATAACTTGAATTGGTACTTGGGATACTTTTATCGTAATATACACGAGTGTAATCGCGATATACCGCCAGTCTGAAGTACTAATGTTCGTTAATTTTAAAAACTATAAGTGATAATTGAAGTTAAATTTATTTCAGACACAATTTCAATAAGTATTCACAACTTTATTCTACTCACATTGGCTGGTAACTTTCACATAATAAAAAGTTCTGCATTGTTTGTTGATCGAAGAGAACATCCCCTTTCCTTTCATATTACTATCAATAAAAACTTGTTGTCGACATACGTGTAGCTAAACGCTAACATTACACGAAGATTTTGTTTGAGATTTATTCGAATAGAAATTAATATGGAAGTTATCACTTGTAAGTTATACTATTAGAGGAGGACAAAGAATTAGACAAAGAAGGAAAATACGTGTTTTAAAATAAATGTAAATATTTGCATCTCACTCATAATATTATGAAAAAAAAAGAAGAAAAGAATTGGTGATCATACTCGTATCAAAGCATACATTCAAATCAATTATTCTCACATCCGATTCGATCTAGGCGACTGTTACCACTTTCCATCAGGTGGGCCGTCAGCTTATTCACCATTATAAGTTGCATTTAAAAAAAAAACAAAAAGCTTAAGTCATATAAAACATAATTCAAAATTTCTTTTTTTTTAATTTAGCTATTTATATATTAATGAAGAAACTGCCTAAATAATGCATAGTGATTAATTACCCAGTTTATTCATTAATAATAATTGAAATTCTGAAGTCGACTTTTATAGGTTCAAAGTAAGAGTTATATTTCTGATGATTATAGATCACCATTATAATAAATTTCATATTGCGCCTGCTTCAAACATTTGAAAATGAAAGTGCCATCGTTTAGCGGGACCGCACTAATAGGGTCAATATGCCAATGTCAGCAGCGGAAGGAAAGCTCACCAAAACCGTTATGATTCTTGTGAGACAAGTTTCCTTTTTGTAACTTTTATAATCCATATATAGTTTATAACTTGCACATTATTTTTCAACTGACATGAAAACAAGGAGGTAAACTTTTTTATGTACACGCACATAAAGTACGACAAAGTATAGTTAGAAATCAAATAAAACATAAGTGGCAAAATTGTTCTATATGAATAATCCTATATAATATTGCTTTTGAAACAAAACCATGTCATCACTAATTTTAAATTGATTTTTGTGATCATAATTTTTTTATTTAAAGATTTTACTTACATACTCTTGATTTCCATATTTAATTTGCCACAATTAGATTTGGATGTTTTTCTGAATAAAAACATAAATTATTATTATATATCTACCATTCTAAGTATTATTACATTATATAAATTTGTTTGTAACATTATTATATAATGGAAAATTTGCACGTTTTGTAAAATTTAAGGAGTTATAAGTTCGAATTATAATTGTTCTCATAAATTATAAAAAAGGTAATGATAGTAGGTATGTTATTAATTACATACGCCATGTGAAAAATACAACATACCACCTGATGGTAATATTATACTAATAATCTCCTCTTATGTATGACATCTGTGCTCAGCAGTGAGAATTTAGTACACCATAATGGTAATTGTTAAATTATTAATATTTATAAACAATTTAAGAATAATAACAACATTTTAATATTATGATAAAAAATACCGTATAATGGGAATTTAAAGAACTTACTATGTTTGTCGTTTTTGTGAATGTCGGAGAGATCTCCAACATTCACAAAAACTTTCGTATGGAGATCCATAAGAACTATATTAAAAAGAGTGGGTTTTGCGTACCAGTCTATGTTGGACTTGGGCAACAGCAGCAAAGACGTGAGTCTTCACAGTTAACTATAGTGATGTGCTGTATCAATCTTTTGTGGTATCCGAGTATTTTGGTATTCATTAAAATAATTATTGTATCCTGACTCTAGTTAAAGGACTCGGATAAGTAATCCAGCAATTGTTTGGGTATATTGAATACTAAAGTGCCTGGCTCAGAAAGACTCAGTTTGTAAAGTTCTCTTTCATTCTCTTACTTAATTATATGTACATTCTTGAAATTTCTAAAAGCATAGGAAATTGAAAATAACATTATATTTTTTAATCAACTATTACGACGAGGTTCTTTATTTTTTGTTACCATTATAATATACAATAGATATTCCGAACCAATTTCGATAATTACTCGTATTATTGTAATCGATAGTGTAATCGATACTACCGTATTAGTCTCATATAAAATTTGTTATTACCGCCCATTTCCAGTAAAATATATCATGAAATCTCATACAATTAAATCAAATAGAAGGTGAAGGAAGGTTAAAAGTAATCCAAAAATAACTTAACAATTGCTTCAAATAAAAGATTTCAACGGGTCCACGGAGGTTTTTTTCAATTTATTTTATACTAGCTTTTACCCGCGACTTCATCAGAAGAAGAATCACAACAACAGTCGTCTGCTTAGGTACCTATGGCCCGTTTGTGTTTTTGTCGTGAAGTAGTTGTGTTCGCATGTCTGTGTTTTGGTTTCAAGGGTGAATTATGGCAATTAAATTACAGGGTACCATAGGCGATACGCTATACTCTGTTATGTCCATGGTATAGTTCATGTCTATTGGCAACAGTTGCCACTTTGACTTATTTACCATTCTAAATTGCATAACAAATCTCAAATTACCTAAGATAGATACTGTAAAAATGACTTTTTGTTGCTTGAAATCCACCTTGGATATTTTTACAAAATAATGGTTTATTTTCGCTTAAACCATTGAATAAACTTGACTATTTATTAAACACTTTATTGTACAATAAAGATATACTGGGAAATGTATTTACATAATATAATATTTGCACAATAAATTATGAGTATTAGGTATAACATAAATGGACATATTTATCATCACAATGTAGTCTGATACCGGAAACATTAAATAGGAGAGACGTACGATAGGGTTTAGCATGAATGTCATAGAAATGATCAAAGACCAGGTATAAAATATAGTTAGATAAGTATATTTATAGAAGGACACATGGGGGTGATGTTGACAGGTAATTGATTAGATAGCAGTCTATAACAAAGTTGAAGTTGAATAAGTGCTTCTATAGACATTAACTAAAATAACTGTCTTGGTTTTACATAAGATCTCACAACGTTTTGTAGTGAAAGAACTATGTTGCGAGACTTGGCACTTTTTTACATTTTATGCTTTTGATGGGATCGCGTAGGACTAAGTCAGTCTACTGAGTACTGACCCAGTGACCTTCACACATACCGACCGGTTGCGCCCGCGCAACTGGAGCGCTCGCTTCCAAACACAACATTAAAAAAGAAAGCCGCCTACTGTGATGCCTCATGCATTCAAATGATGAAAGCGAAACAAAGAAAATAGAAGAATCAATTAGCGACATGCACATTTCGGCCGTCATTTTTTCTTTAAAAGAAAAATACCAAACAAAAATTAAGTCCACCACTTTCTTTTTAATAATGAAAAGATAGTACTCGTAATTCTACGTTAAAATACTAGTAATGAATGAATGCTTCCTACATGACAATTTTTTTTTTTGAGAATTAGATATTATTTTATTTAAAATAATTTCATTGTTTCTCGTACAGGTGAACGTACTACTGAAATTTATCAAAATAGTAACAATACAATAGCTTATAATAAAAAAGTACATTAGTTTACTATAAGTATTATCAAACTAACAAGATAAAGTTTAGTTTCTAGTTTTTTTTGCACTAGTGTAGAGTATAAATATTTTGATCACATACTTATTGTATTTTTACAGATGACCAACTATATAACCAGGATATCAAACATTTTGCTCCTGGTCTCCTTTTTTGGTTCATCATACACGCAGTCACAACCCGAACCCAATTATGTAGCAAGTATGTACCTTAAATAAAAGAAATATTTTCTTATTTGATATTATAATAAAAAAAAATTACATTATAAGAACCTTTAATAGAATCTTAATTCCCGTATCATAACTTTGAAACATAACTAATATTACTTTATTTCATGCAGGATAAGAGGAAAAAAATCTTGTGTCTGTATGGTAGTAATTTAAATTATGCATTAATTGTGGTATACAGCTGATGAGGCATCAACGATTCTGAGTGAAGTGGAACCTCGGGACAGTACTCCAGAACTAGAGTTCCGTTACCACGACCACGATCAGATGACGAGGTATCTCCGTGCAGTCTCCGCGCGGTATCCGGCTCTCACCGCACTATATTCTATCGGCAAGTCTGTTCAAGGTAAACTTGAGTTTTGTAATGGTAATATTTAGCAAATAAGCAATTATAATAATAAAAGACTGCACAGTAAGGATAAATGTAAACTACTACCAAAATGTAAACTAAAAACATGGACATAATGAAGTTATGTCCGTCTGTTAAATTTAACAAGATTTTATTTAGATCATTAATGTTAAAATAAATCTTATTAACTTAATTCTACATCTGCAATAGATACTCATCATTACTGTTGCAGTATCTTTATCTCAAACAAAAAGATAAATTGACACATATATATATATATATATATATATATATATATATATATATATATATATATATATATATATATATATATATATATACAATATAAAAGGATTTACATACCAACTTATTATAAGAAGACTAACAGATAGAAACATAGTTGGACGTCGTATATGTATATGCATTGACGACGAAATTAAATGTCGATAAGACGACTAAGAAAAAGGCTAGACTTATTGCACAAGGCTTTAGTCAGCGTTTTTGGGTTGATTATTACAAGACTTTCGCGCCCGTTGCGCGATTGGAAACAGTTCGATTACTGTCGGCGTTAGCAGTTGAGTTAAATATGGAAATACACCATTTAGACATTAATACAACTTATTCAAATGGTTGTCTCGTCTTGTATCTACATGTATTACCTATATATATTGTTGTTCTAAAGAATATTATTTTTCACTGTGACCCTTTAGACTTATGCCTTTGGTTATGGGATGGGAAACTAGACAACGAAATTTGAGGATCTGTGTAAAATTGTTATAGACAATCCAATTCTGATTATATACATCTCCTAGATTGAAAGTCTAATTTAAGTCCTCATTTACGCAAAACATCCTCATCACTATATTGAGATATGACAATGTGAAAAAAAAAAAACATTTCAGGGCGAGACTTATGGGTGATGGTGGTATCGGTGTCTCCATATGAACATATGATCGGCAAACCTGATGTAAAGTACGTTGCCAACATTCACGGCAATGAAGCCGTCGGACGTGAACTGCTTCTACATCTCATTCAGGTTCGGTTTTTTATGCTACTGGGAATGTAACGAGCTGACGACAGGCCGCGCTTATTAGGAACTACTCGTAGTAACCATACACTATTATAATATCTGTATAGTAACCGAGCTATTCATATAGGTACTTCAGAGACATATTGTATTGTTCATCAGACCTCTTATGTGTTACCTCTCTTGAGGATTGTGTTAAACTAACCATAGATTAAGGATAAATGAAATAAAAAGACAAACATAAATTGAGACATAATAATATTACCAGACTAAAGTATGTATTCATATATTTTAAGGTAATAACGTTTGACTTATGTATAATTTGGTCGACTTTTTGTATTTATATATTTCAATATAATACGACTTCGTCTAAGTAACAATTATTTGTCAATTTCACAAACAATGAAACTTTCAGTATTTCTGAATAATCAACCAAAAAACTATCCCAAAAAGTTAGATTCACAATAAGTTTTTTTATATAAACTATTATCATTATCAGAGAAAGTACTTCTAGAAAGTTCTAGATACCTAACTAACAATATAAAGTTAGATTGTCATAAAAAATCACATGGAAGAAAATGAAAATCAGGAGTTTTCCGTGTTCATTTTCCATTATTATGTTTCAGTATTTGGTAACATCATACGATACCGACCCGTACATCAAATGGTTACTTGACAATACTAGAATTCACCTGATGCCTTCAATGAATCCTGATGGTTTTGCAATCTCCAAAGAAGGACAATGTGACACAGTTTTTGGAAGGTAAATGTTACATTCGATATTTTAAACTGAAAATACAATTCTTAATTATGCATTTCTGAAAGTTCAAAATTTAATTTCACAAATTGTGGGTAAAAGTTATTTAAATACATAAAAGTGTTAATTTTCTAAACAGCTTTTAAAGGACATTTAGTTTAAATTCGTCTGTGTTTTTTGTGATGTAATTCTAATTTAGAACAGACTTTGATCATGCTTTTTACAGTCTATACTGTAAACTTCTGTTTTGTCCTTATTTTATGACTTATTATGCTTATACTTATTTTATTTTATTGCGAAACAAAATCGACTTATACACTTGACCTGTGTTACAAATGCAAATACATATTTTCAATCCTGAATGTCTACGAAACATCTCGGTACCACCGTATATCGCTGTTATGTTAGAATTGAATTCGCCGCTTTTTAACTTTGCAAAATATACTGGTTGATCTAATCATCTCTACTTTAGATATTAATGACTTTAGATATTAGAGGCTCGAGTAGCTTTTTAGATTGTGTTAAAAAATGACGTCACTGATGCAATAGCACGTGGCCTCTTAACTATTGTGGTGACGTAATATAGAGCGAGCGTTAGCATTATCCTATTTATATTACACACAAAAAAATCATAATTATGATTAAGTAACTCGAAAATGTAGGTATTTGGGAATCTACATTCAGTAAAACCACGATACGGAACAAATGCTCATAACGTCACAATGTGTTGTTAGGTAATAGGGAAATACGAAAAACAGTAATGTTTGTTGGTAGTAGATACAGTAGTGTTTGATCATATAGTCATTTTCTTTTTTCTTACATAAATTAAATTTGTTAGTAGATGTAGGTAGATCGATAATTTTTTTCTTAATTTAGATTTCGGCCAGTTTCGTCGTAAATTTAAAGTTTCAGTTCAATTTCAATTTCGGTAGAACATTGGCCTAAACCGAAATTCTATATAACTTCAACTCGTCGGATTTTTTTGTTCTCCCTATCTTATATGATAATAGATATCTTGTACTTTTTATTTACTAACTTTTATGTGTAGTGTAGGTAACTCGTACGCTGTCTTTCTTCAGTCTTACAGTCTTGTAGCTCTGAAATCTCTGTTTCCAACCAATTATTTTTATATTTCAATAGATAAAAGTTATTTTTATAAATTTCCTTTTTTTTTTATACAACTTAGAATGGCAAACAAGCTGACGGCCCACCTGATGAAAAGTGGTAACCGTCGCCTATAGACATGAGCAGTACCATAGACATAACAGAGTATACTATTTCCCCATGATACCCGCCATGCGTTGCTATTCCTAAGTACTCAGGTATTATTCCTCTGTACCTTGTAAATTCACTACCATATCCCACCCTTCAAACCGAAACACAACCATGCAAACACAACTGCTTCACGGTAGAAACACGAATAGGACAGAGGTGCTCAAGCAAACGATTTTTGTACAAAGTCTCCCTCTGGTAAATTCGAACATATCTTTTTTTTTATTACATCTGCTACCTCACAACTCTGTCAATTATAAATCAATTTGGATTTTTTTGTAAGACTATCGTTATTATTTTATCAAAATTGATTCTATTTAACTAAATACTTTTAAATCAAAATAACTGGTTTCACCACAATTGAAGTCGATATTTTTTTTTGTAACAAAATCTTAAATTATTGCAAGTCTATTTCAGAGAAATAAAGTGAGGTTAATGCACTTACAAAAGAAACTTCATGAATGCCTCTTCTGCTCAGATATTCTTATGATTATACGAGTAGCTTATATGTTTTTTATTTATTTTTTCAGGTACAATGCTCGGCGTTACGATCTTAACCGTAATTTCCCAGATTATTTTAAACCGAATACAAAGCAGCCACAATCAGAAACAGAGGCTGTGAAGGAATGGATCAGCAAGATACAATTTGTTGTGTCCGGCTCGTTGCATGGAGGTGCTCTTGTTGCATCATATCCATTTGATAACACGCCAAGTGCCAGTATGTATCTATTTGTAGTAATTAATGTTTGATTTTTGTTTGTTGTTGTTTTACTCGCTTAATTATTTATCATACTCAATAAGGTTAACATATAATTAAACCTATTGGGCATGATAAGCACAGACATTTTTTTTAATGGGTGATAGTGCTTTATATTATTCTCAGTTGCGTGTATATGTCATATATGTGTAAGTATATTTGTTATTTATATATATTTATTCGTTTATATATATATGTAATTTTAGTATGTATGTATATCAATAATTACTAGTACCGTATTCGAGTATTCTGACATTTCCCTATGGTTGACTGGGAGAGAATGCTTTTAGCATTAAGTCCGCCTTGTACACATATTTGTACTAATGAATAAATAAAATAAATAAATAAGTGGAATGGTAACCTCGCCCGCGCTATCGGTATATACCGGCGGGGCACCAGTGAAGGATCATAGGTGAGGATGAAGCAGGTCAATTAGCCCATCGTGACGAACTCAACAAGAATTGTTCACGATGGTTTCCAGGGGGAGCCACGTGGACGTCGACCTAATAGGGTATATTGCTAACAATGGGGCTGTCAAACTCTATTGCTAACAATCCTTTTTCCTTCCAAGCGGCGACACTTTTCTACTCTATTAGTTGTTGTCTACGTTATAAGGTCGTCATTATCATCATAATTTATAGCCAGTGGTATCCCATTGCTAGGCAAAGGCCTGTCAAGACTGCTTCCATCATAGTTAATGAAAGTCAATTAAGTACCCACTCTCTATAATGCAGCTACCTATCATTGTACACATTGTAGTAGAAATATTTCTTTCTTACACGCTTCGTAATAGGAATATGCAGATCATCAGTATTATGTTCCGGTAATGTATTAGTATCTAAATCATTTTTATTATATAAAAGAAAATTCATATTAACAAGTTATATTTTGTCCAACATGTCCCTTAAATGCAGTATTCCAAAACTACGCGCATTCACCATCTATTGCGCCAGATGACGACGTGTTTAGACATTTAGCGTTGGTGTACTCGAAGAACCACGCCAAAATGTCGCGAGGGGTATCCTGTAAGACCGGCTCACAGCGCTTCGAGAACGGTATCACCAACGGCGCTGCTTGGTATCCACTTACAGGTCAGAATTTTCACTTAATACTTAGAATTAATTCTTATATATGCGGACAAAATTTTAAAAAAATTATCCTAACTCTTACTCTCTTTAAGCGTTATTCTATCATATTACGTATAGAGAAATATGAATATTCGTAAAGATTTTTTTGAAAACTGTTACCGCTTACCATCACGTGAGACGTCAATCTTGTTAGCCATTCTAAATTGCATAAAAAATATTTTTAAAACTTTCACATATGAAATATTAGGTATAATTAACGTATCGTACGTTACTTGTATTACGCCAATTTTACGAAACATAATAACTTTGTGTTCCACAAAAAACACCGACTTCAGTTGTGGCAAAATTAGTTATTTTGATTTAAAAACTAAACTACTGAACTGATTTTGATGAAATTTCTATGGGATCAATCTGTAAACGTATCATTTCAGATAAGAAAAGATTATTTTAAATCGATTTACAACTGAGGGAATTATGAGGTTACAAAGGTAAAATATAAATACAACCGAATTGAGAACCTCCTTCTTTTTAAATCAGTCGAAAAATATTAGGGATTAGTTGTCTAGTTATTAAACTAGTATCAGTTAACCTCACTTATGTTAAATGATGTCTATTTTATATATCAGGTGGCATGCAAGACTACAATTATCTATGGCATGGATGCATGGAGGTTACTTTAGAAATATCTTGCTGCAAATATCCTCCTGCCCATGAACTGGCTAAATATTGGCTCGACAACAAAGAGGTAAGTATAAATAATAATATAAATAAATCCAGCTAATACATTGGTTTATGTAAAAATGTTTGGCTGAATTGGTTTGAACATAATTAAGCAGGCAGATTATCGTAATCTTAGCTTTTATCCTTATCAATATAATCAATGCGGGTGAAGCCACGGACTATAACTATTAAATCTTGAAAAAAATAATTAAGACCCTGCAATCAAATTAATCTAATCTGTTTGACATTTGTGGACTATGATTCAGATATTTATGGAATATGATATTCAGTCGAGACATGGGCGGTACTACAGTTCCTAGAGCAGTACCAAATTGACTATAGGTATATCGAAATGTTGAAGTGTGTGTAAAGTAAGGCTACGATGTCTATCCGAGTACAGAACCAGAGTACGAAATCCATCCTAGTGCAGAAAGGTGTAAGATAGGGTGACATCATATCTCCGAAACCCTTCACAAATGCATTGGAAGATTCAAACCCTTCAAATTCAGAAACTTGTCAAATTCTTGGATTGGAAAAAATATGGTATAAACATCAATGGCGAGTACATCACTCAACTTCGATTTGCCCATGATATAAGTCTAAAATTATGTCTAACGTCCAATGTCACACCTATACCGGTTACGATTGAGAACACTACACTCGAAGTTGTCGACACGAATGTATACCTGGGACAACTTGTTTGATTAGGTAAGTCTAACTTCGACCGGTTAACCGACGAATCCAACTTAGCTGAGCAACGTTCGGAAAACTACGCCACATCTTTTCATCCAAAATACCTTAAAGTTTAACAAGTGCCTGTTACCAGTAATAACTTATGGAACCGAAAAACGGTCCTACACGATTGCACGTATGTAAAAGCTTCAAATTACTCAGCGGGCTATGGAGTGGGCTATGTTGGGATTTTTTTTACATGATAGAATCCGAAACGAGGATATCCTCAAAAAAGAACAAAGTAACCGATATAGCCCGAAGGATAAGTAAGGTAAAGTGGCAATGGGCTGGTCACATAGCTCGAAGAACCGACAACCGATAAGAAATAAATGTTCTTTGTATGGCGACTCCGTACGGGCAAACGCAGTGTAGGACGACTCTTCATTAGATGAAGTGACGACCTCAAATGCATTGCAGGTAGTCAGTGGATACAGGATGTAGACTCTGGACTGTTCCTTATGTAGAAATATGATAGCTGAGATGATGATGATAATGAATCAAACTAATCACCTAATTTGTAAGTTACAATACCGTGTTATATTAGAAATCAAACAAATCACTTTAGAGCGCAATCTGTTAGAAGATACTTAGATTACAGTCAACTTAGAAGATATCGTTTCTTAAATTGATTCAACCGAGAAACATACAATATTTTAAGGTTCCTATTCTTGGATATTTTTAGGATTATTATTTTCGTATATTAATACGAAGCCGTACACAAATAAAATTATTGAAAGGTTTTACGAAATTCCCGTAGAATTGGAAGCGGCTACGCTTCCAATTCTATGGGAATTTCGTAATAGAAACGCGAAAAAAAGCGAGAAACAGAAATAAAATTGTATTGGTGGCAATTAATACATTCCATTAGGTGTATTAACTGTTTGTTTATGCCTAATTCTAAATTAGTTAAAAAAAGGTTAACGTAAATAATTAGACTGATTAATTCCAAACGAATGTATTTACTTAATAAATAGTTTGGAATATTTGTGTGATACATAATAAAACAAGTAAAAATAGTACCGTTAATGACGGAATAACTGTTGTAGCTGCATTCCATGGGCCCGCTGGTGACAGTATACCGATGGTGGCACAAGCAGCACGTCCTCCCGCGTTACCAGTACTGAGTGATCCCTCATCGCCGCCCAAACCCAGATCGTCCTCTTCTTCGTGAATCACTACAGCTCGTCCCAAGATGTTGTTTCGACCTCGTAGCGCTATTACTGAATCTACAAAGTCCAAGACCGCAATGCCTGTATCATTAACAACAATGTTCCCTAGATCACCTACGTGTCTCACTGTATGATTTCTTCCGCCGTGATTTGTGTCGTCTGGGTTGTAGTGTGCTCCAGTGTCTATACAAGTAGCTATGTTACCCAACTCGTGCACATGGAATCCATATTTGCCTGGCTCGAGATGTGTTATTATACCGGAGACTTGGAGTCCCCCATCAACTTCCGTGAATATTATATCGCCGGTTATATTTACTGATCTAACATTAGCTATGGCACTTCTTGCATCACCATGTACACCACTCGTAATACTAACGAGTAATAACAATATCAGATTTAAAATCATTTTAATTAACTCAGTGGATATGTGCGTTCAAATTCCCTGGTGCGAATATAATACCATGCGAGCTAATTTTCTTATATCTCTCTGACATCAAGTGATAAGAAACAAATGAATGACAATTAGTTATGCATTATGATATTTCTCATGTACCCAAGGATAGATAAGTGCTATAATTATAAGATAGTGAGAATAAGAGATTAGATATTACATTCGCGAAACCCTATTTAAGAAAGAATAAATTAATAATTTTGAACTGTTACTATACTTTTCTAGCTGTATCCCGCGGCTGTGTCCCTATGAATCAGTATATAAAATATTCTATATGTTAAGTTAGGATATAACCTACCTGTATATTAAATTTCATTCAAATCTGTTCAGTAGGTTTTGCGAGAAAGGGTAACAAACATCCATCCACCAATCGTTCAAACTTTCTCATTTTAACACGTATATTAATAGAATATTATTTAATTAATTAAATATTATTAATTACTATTTATACTTGTATTACGCTAGCTTTTTACTCTCTATTTAGATGGATTATCATAATAAAACATACACTATGATGCGAAAATAAATATACAAACACACAGATAGGCAGACAGAATTTCTGAAAATGTTTGTTCTGAAAAAAAAAAATATATATATATATATATATATTAACATCTTCCATGTACAAATGTTGTCTAATTACAATTTTATTATATGTACTAGTAAGATTTAGCACTTCATATTAGAATGATACAAAGGATTCCTTATCCTTATGCTGCAATTTTAATCATTCATCTAGACAACTTATAAGGAACATTTTATTATGTATACCATCTATAATAAATAATAGACAACCAATATACTTCATATAATGAAATACTTACATAATTTGGTTGTTTTAACTTGATGCTTTATTGTTAGCAAGAGACCTATTACTATTTATACATGTACTTTTTTGTTGATAATAATTTATTTTTTCTACGAATACATACGTATATTTTATTTTTGTATAATGTGTACAATATCGTTCTGAAAGAAGGTGCAAATGACTGCAACACAGTTTTTACTAATGCAGTTATTTACAAACCGAATTGTTGCCATTGTTTTTTCCTTGTTTCAAATAAATTCTTGAATTATTTAATTGATAAGTAGGCAATCTACAGTATCTAGCAAATTAAATACGTAGTATTATAATCCGCGCGGTGAAAATTCATTATACAGATATCATCTACTGTATACAATAATAAAAATATTAAATTGTCACTTTTTGCAATTTTATCACTAAAAGGCACTCCACACATTGATCGCGGCTATCGCAGCGGTGCGCGACCAGTGTATGAAGCGTCTATAATGTCAAGATCTCGCAAAAAAATTAATTTCGCAAAATTATTTTTTAATAAATTTGGGATGCATAGAATAAATATAATCATCATAATCATCAAAATATTGTGTTTATTTATAAGTCTCTATATATTATTACTTTATTATTTGCCTACACAGTAATGACCTGTGATCAATTCTTACCTACTTATTCATAAAAACTGAAACCTCCTACAAACCGTTTTTAGTGTTTTGTTATCGTCTTTCAAGTTGATTTAGTGCAAAAGAATAGAATAGAACACTTCAATAGCTATAATAGGTTTATGGAATATTTGACGTTTTTATAAATAAGGCAATTAGAAAAAAAAAACAGACTAGAACCCTACAGACAACGCCTTTTTTTAATCTGAGGGATAAGCTACTCGTAATTGCTTTTATCCATATTTTAGCGAGCTTAATAAGCCGCTAAAACGATATTTTAAAAACTACATTTTATGTCAACAGTCATTAATAAAGTATCTCGCGGAAGCTCACCGTGGAGCACACGGGTTCGTGATGGATGAGAACGGGAACCCCGTGGAGCGCGCATCGATCCGAGTGAAAGGCCGCGACGTCACTTACCACACCACTAAATATGGCGAGTTCTGGCGTATCCTGTTGCCTGGGACCTATAAACTAGATGTAAGTATGTTAACACTGGTGAGTTATTAATGTTGACGCTTTCATGTGAAAATATTTGCACTCATTGAAGAGCGCGAGTGTTCTCATGTCAGAAACTCACGACACGTATCTATATACCTATTTGCTGCAAGTCCAAAGAAATTTTTGTTAAAAATTGTTCTAGTAAGAAGCAAGGTAGCGTGGTAACGGTGTTGTTTGCATCTTTGTAGTCTATTAAGAAGACTCGACTTTTTTTAGAACCGCAGACCGTAATCTGTGATCCAATGCTATCTGGGAAATAACATTTCAATCATGCTGTCTCATAAAATATTTCATAAGACATTCGATTGAAATCTGTGAACGGTCGGCGTGTCGAATGTGACGGTCATCACAATCACCACAATGTGGCTGTCGATTGGCTAATGCATTTAATTACCCTATCAAAAGGTATCTAGCCGTGAAAATATATTTTTTTTTTATTTTAAATGAAATAATAAATATAAATAACGAGGTATCTTATAAAATGTATAAATAATAATAATAAAATTAGGTATTGTATAAATGTTAACATTTATTTTCTATTTGTCTATGGCACACCTGTTACATCACTTTCAGGTTACCGCTGAAGGCTATTTACCACAAGAAGTTGAATTCATCGTTATTGATAGCCACCCCACATTACTAAATGTCACTTTACACTCAGCCAAAGTAAGTATAAAGTATCTAATATTTTTTTTTTTTGTTTTGTTTTCGGTCTTGTATATATGTAAATAGTACCTATTTCTTATTGTAAATATTATTAAAATTAATAGTATAAGTTTTATTACTAAATAGATGTATGGTTAAATTTTTTTTTCTTTCTATCAATTTATTAGAATCGCGTTACTTTAAAGAAAAAATAAAATCGTTTAGATACATAAATTTATGCAACTACCTTCATTGAATTTGAAAATTTCACAGTAAAAAGTAGCTAAGTCTTATGATATAGATTGATATCAATATTTTGAACAAAAACATAAATAGCTGTATTTAAGTTGATACTTCTAAGTGTTTGAATCCAAATAACTCCAAATATACATCAAGATATTTATTATACTTCACCTACCAATATATACGATATATATAAAATCTTAAATTATATAAAGTGAAATTAGCTGACTCGTTTTTTTTTTTATCATAGTTACGTACATAATATATCTTGACGTATCCATAATTAATTATTTAATAAATAAAATGAGTTTTTAAGCATTAAAAAGATGCAAAAATTATGAAATAAAATAAATATAGGAATTATAAAAAAAATGTTCATATCTATTTATCACGCAAAATTAAAAAGTTGACCCGCTTTTCACACAAATTGTATGGGTACATTCTATCTATATAATCTAAGGTGTGAATATACTATTTTCAATTTGGTGAAAAGAGAATCTATCTTTTGAAAGAATTAATTTACTAAGTTGTTCTTTAAAACAATTCAACCTAAAGGATTCTTTTTGCGAGTTTTTGCGATTATCACTCGAAATCATTAAAATTCCAAATAATATAACTACCATGTTAAATATTTTACAGGCTCATTTCTAAAAATCTCTAGATAGTTATTAAACAGATCCTATAGGGGAGAGTCGGGTAGCCTCGGCCACATAAATAAAACTCATGATATCTTGAAAATCAACCGAAATAAACATTTATTTTTAAACTTTAACTTAAACTAAACATATATCTTATAATATTAATTAAGTTAGAAACTGATAGTTTTATTATATTAGCTTAAATCAAGTCTCAAAAGCAGTCTTCAATATTTGTTAAAATAATTTTTGGAGGGTAGCCCCGGACATAGAATTACTGATGACCAAATCGTTCTTTAGCCTTGCATACGTCACAATAGTAGTAAGCCAGCGATGGATCAATATCCACACACGCTTCGTGCGCCCAGTCTTTGCATCTATGACACTGGATCCAATCTTCCTCGAACGTTTCTCCACAAATGATGCATTCTGTATCGTGGTCTCTTTCTAGCTGAGTCAAACTTTGAATATTCTTCTTTGTTTTCATTTTATTAGTTGCCGCCTTTCTTTTATTCGTTGTAGTTTTATTGGTTGCAGCCTTGGTTGTGTTGGTCGCAGCCTTTTTCTCTACCAACGCATTTTTGAAGGGCGAAGATGTCAGAATCTCACTTTTTTGTGTTTTTCGTGAACGCGCTGCAAGACGCCTCTTGGATGCATCGGGAAGAGGGGACAACTGCTTAAGCAATTCATTTACAGTAGCAGGTGCAGTTGATTCTGTAATTTCTGACGTTGATGCGGGCATAAATGATGGCTGCGTATTGCCACTGGCTGATGGGTGTGATATAAGACTGGTAGATGGTTGCTGGTTACTACTAGTGGATGGCTGCTGGGTGCAACTAGTGGATGGCTGCTGGGTGCAACTAGTGGATGGCTGCTGGGTGCAGCTTGTGGATGGCTGCTGGGTACCACTAGAGGATGACTGTTGATTGCAGCATCTGGATTTCTGCTGATTGCAACTAGTTGATAACTGTGACTGTCTCTTCAGAAAAAGCTGGTTCCTGTTCAATATTGGTCATCAATGATGGCAAAAAATCCAAATCACTGAAAATTTCCCTATTGAATGGATAAATCCCTGTGCATTTGAACCCATTCTGTGCTATTTCTAGTCTCGCTGCCTTAACGAAAGCTGAATTGACTAAAGCAGCGATGTCATAATCAGTGATCCTAGCCCCTGGATTTTGTCTCATCCACATTGCGCTTGCTGAACCAAATGCAGACTTAATCGGCTTGAAAAATACCCTGTCCAGAGGTTGCACCTTGTGTGTTGTGTGTGGTGGAGTGCTAATCATATGGATGTGATTAGCTCGAGCAAATTCTATCACTGCCAACTCTTTATGGCTTCCATGTCCATCGAGAATCAGAAGGACAGGGTTCTCCTTCGAAGGCTGTACGTGCTGTTTGAAATGCTGGAGCCACATTAAAAATATCTCACCATTCATCCAACCACTTTCGTGTGGAATAGCAATGCTATCTGGTGGAGCTCCAATCATCAAACGACCATTTTTATCCATCCTTTTCCTCGGGAAAATAAAAAGTGGAGGTATAAAATGGCCGCACACGCTCATAGCAAACATCAATGTAATGTTTCGTCCTCTTTCACCAGAAGTCAACTTGCCAACTTGCTTTTTTCCCTTAGTAGAAATAACTTTCTCATTCTTGTGTACAGTGGAGACCCCCGTTTCATCAGCATTGTATATTCTGGAGGCAGGGAATTTGTATTTATCTTGTAGTTGGTGGAGCTGATCATAAAACCGATAGACTTGTGGTTTATTAAACCCAACGGCTCTTGCAATGCTGGTTGACTCTGGACTTCTGAGAGCAATATCTGGGTATTTCTTTATGAAGCTATAATAAAAATCTTTGCCGGCCATTTTCTTTTCTTTATTGAACCTATGAGGTATTTTTAAACGTTCTGCAAATTGAAATGCCAATTTCAAAAACTCTACTTTGGTCAGCGGCATCAGGCGATTATCGAGGTCTTTGACATGGTTATATAATTGCAGTGATTGATTTTCTGAGAAGGTATGTTCATATCTCCCTAGTGTTCGCTTGAACTGTGCTTCTTGTCCACTACCGACAGCTTTTATCCGATCCTGAAGGGTGCTTCTTGGCACATCATATCTCTCAGCTGCTTCTCTCACCGATATCTTTTTTTCCAGTACACATCTTATAGCCTGTTTCATTTTATTTTCGTCCCAATTTCCTCTAGGCGTAATCCTTCCTTTGAATTTTGGCATTATCTGCAAAAGACACAAGATTTTATACACTTGTCTCAACATTGTAATAAAAAAAGACTGTAACATAGAGATGCATAGACAAACAGACATGGTGAAACTACCACGTTTCTTAATTTCACTATGCAATCCAAGAAACTAAACATTTCGTCATAAAAGAAATGTCCGGGGGTACCCGACAAAAAAGTGTCCGATTGTACCCGACCGCCTCGATCCTATGTTTTTATTCATATAGGAAATATCAATAAAAACAACGTCAAGTATTTACCTAATTTGTTAACTATAATGACTAACTTACAGAATTAGTAATATACTATGGTGAAGTACTTACATTGTATAACCAATAACCGCACTCAAAAAGTAAACGGCGCACACAAAAGTATAGGTACTGTTAAACAAACGAATGTCACGTGTTGTTCGCACATCAGTCGCAGCGCGTTTGATATGAATATACGGCTAAATGGTGCTGCGGTCGTGTGGATGTGACACTTGTGCATGTATGTGTGCGAACTTTCCTGTAACTAGCACTGACCGAGGGTACCCGCCGGCCGGGGCTACCCGACTCTCCCCTATATTGACAAAACTTTTAATAAGTACCAAAATACTTATAGTTGTATGATATCTGGAATTATGTAATGATAAAAATGTGCACGGACTTTCAGATTTATTTTGTCGATTTTAACGTAGGGATAAAAGTTTATCTTTTGTACTTATTAATAATTTGGTCATCGATAATAACTACGTAGCCTACTTAATAACTAACCTATTGATTAATAAAATAATAAACGATATATTTTCTAATAAGAGACTGTATAAAATAATTAGTCTCTGTTTGTTTCTTCTACTAGGTTAGTATTAATCATTATACTGGTTATATCTATTAATGGTTTGGTGACTTGTGTTATCTTTCTTTTATTCCTACTCTTTAGGGCTATGTGCCGCCGATTCGATCGTCTTCAAGGAAGCATGGCCGAGGAAAATCCACTACAACCACAGATGCTACTACATACAGAGAAAATGCTTTTGTGTTCCCTGAAGACTAACATATACCTACCTAACTATAATTAACATGTAAACAGTTGTATTTTATAGGCATACCCTTGTTTGCTTATATGTACCCCTTCTAAATTTTTAGTACATAAAGTTCATTTTATGTACCGAATATTCTGTACATACAAATTGAAACTATTACTTGCGGTATTGTATAAATGTTAAGAAAATTAATTAAATATCTATTATTAATTAGGAGACTAGTAGATGTTGCTCGAGTTTCTTGTATAGTTATTTTCTTTTGTGTAAACATACCTAATAAATAGCATTTTCTTTAGCTATAGTCGTATATATAAGTATTCGAATTCCAAGTATCTGACTACGACTAATCCAATACTATAAATACTAATCCAAATGTTTTCTTACAAACAAAAATTTACCTATTTATTACAATTTTAAGATATTAGCTGGTAATTAAATATTTAGATCTCATGTTATTTTTTAATTCATTATTTGTCAGATTTAGACCTTGTCGGATACAAAGGTAAGCACCTGAAGTATTTTATTAGGTAAGTTTATTTATTTATGCCACAAGTAATATAACATAAATAATTTACATACCAAAATAGCAAAATTCCAGTAACGCAATTCGTACTTATCTAATTGTTGAATCCGAAAGTCATAAAAGAATTGAATTTGGTTTGAATTTAAGTACTTATATATACATGTTTTAATGATATCCTATGTAACTACCTACCTACCTATCCAATTTAACCAATATGAAAAATGCGATTGATTCTTTTATTTTGACATCTTAATAGGCCGTGATAAGTATTTATTCTCAATTGATAGAGTCAGGATAACTAATAGGTATATAGCATTCTTCGTTCAAGAACACATTAATTATAACATAATAATTATTTGCTTAAAGGTCATAATTTTCCGTTTGTCAATAAAAAATAGTAGTGCCAATTTTTATACCCACATGGGAAGTAGATAATACCAACCATAGAGGGACGCGGAGTTGGACGGTGTACCAACAACCAAGAGAAGCCCCACAAGAGCCATACATCAATAAAAGGTAGTTGATGCTACCTCTGATTCATTTATATATTTATATTCAATTTTGGTACCTTTCAGTGAACTATTCCGGAAAGAGAAAATGTCCCTATCAGATCACTCGAATTCCCAGTTTTTTTTTTAATGGGTGATAATGGAATGGTATCCCCACCCGCGCTATCGGTATACACCGGCGAAGCACCAGTGAAGGATGATAGATGAGGATGAAGCAGGTCAGTTAGCCCATCGTGATGAATTCGACAAGAATTGTTCACGATAGTTTCCAGAGAGAACCACGTGGAGGTCGACCTAATAGAGCATATTGCTAGCAATAGGACTATCAAAAGCCATTGCTAACAATCCCTTCCCCCCCTCGAATTCCCGGTTCCGTTTAATTACCTTTTTTTTCATCGTTAGAATTTGGCGTCAAAGTTTTGTCCAGGGGGTAGTTATAGATATTTTGTTAGGATAGATTAATGCCGACCACGGTAGTATGCCTTCTTTATTTATATTTTCTTAGAACTGCAAGATTGCACATAAACATAACATTTCCTGACAAAAGGTATTATTACTATATCTCGTCATTTTAAGTACCTAATTCTTATCACGGCACACAAGTAACTGTCATATAAATTACGATAATCTCAAGATAAATACATTTCACTATACAGCGATATAAAGAGCGTCGTGGTCGAAGGTCGTAGCCTTAGTATGGACACATCGACTTATAGACCTCAAAGGTCGTGAATTCGAATCTAGGTGACACTTTTTCAATTAGAGACCGCTCGGATTATGGACAAAATAACTTCCTTCTGGCTTTTCCACAATTCCTTCTAATTGAGTCATACATACTTGAGAGGTTAGTCCAGCCAACTTTGACTTTAGCTGAAGATCAGAAGGCGGCTTAGATTGTTGCAGATCTCTTAAAGATATCCCGATAATCCTAGTATCTGTGCCCGTTAATGGAAAACACCATACTCGGAATAACGTTCGACGCTTACCAGGTGGAATTCAAATGTTTCAGCAAAATGTTGAATTGACGAGTGCTACATTTACGGCAAACACAAAATCAGTCGGCCAAAATATTTAACTATCCTATCTGAGATTACGGTTGTAAACAGATTTTTTAAATTTAGAGATTATAATTAGTGTCAGGGCAAGTTGCTTTAAAGTGTTTCAAGACAATGGTTATTTTAACTTATCCCGTTTATGCCTACCTATTTAGATTCGTTTGTAAATATCCTTATATACAAGGTGAAATTGAAATCGGTAGCGTTACATAAAAGTAATAAATACTATAATAAATACTGTTACAAAAAATTTTAAGTCTCCCGTACTAAGCCAGCTGAACGTCCATATTAGTATGGAAGGCTAAAAATTTTTTGTCGTTTTCTGACCTATGTTTCTTTGCCGAAAACGTTCAGTTTCACTGGTAGAACATTCCCTTCAAAGGATACACTAAAGATTTCGATTTCACACTGTAAGTAAAAGCGACAAATTATGTGATCCTAATTTCACGTAATAATAACATGTAGCACAATTAACCAAGATTTTAAATCGTAGAAACATACTTACCTATTTGAATTTTGAATCTATTTCATAAAGAAGGTTCTTACACAGATAGTATCTTTTATGTGTAGAAGCTACGTGATAAACACTAATGCTGAACAGATTTTGATGAAACGTTCTTTTTAATCGAATAAGTTCACTCCATGAATGTGGTTAAGATTCGTTTTTATTTTAAACAATTTGCAATCATTATTTAGGAAGAAAAAATGTTTTTAAATTTTTGTTATTGGTAAATACGTATCTACATATTATAATATGATTACAGCGTATAGACGGCGGCCCCTACTACCGGCCGGTGGTGCCGCCGCGGCCGCCGGCAGCGCCCGCGCCAGCTCCGGGGATCATCGCTTCTATCACCAACTCATTCAATAGTCTCGTGTCAAATATTTTTGGATAAATTAACATATTACCAAATAGCAAATTATTGGTAGCTATTGATTAATAATGAAACCCACAAAGATCCACAAAGTTGGATCTTGAAATCTACTGATTAGAACAGATATAACTTGTAACTGAATGGAACGGAAACAGCGATATCCATGATCCCCAAAGAAATAAAAATAATATATCTATTAACAATAAAATATTTATATATACATACATACATACATACATACATAATACATATTTCATCTGTGACCGTACTATAAGAAATTAATTTTCAAATTATGTTTGGTATTAAGATTATAAATTATCATATAAGTCCTTAGATATAATCCATACTTCATAATATTAAAAATGTGAAAGAAAATTTGTTTGTTACGTTTTGGCACCTTAACGGTTTAATTCGTTATGGAATTTGATATACACGTACTATATCGGATAAAAGTAGCCCGACTTTTTATGCCGGTCAAGCAGCAATGGATGAATATGTGAAAGAATATAATTTTGCGATGTAATAAGTGGCACAGGTAAATAAAACCAGACAATAATCATTATCATCATCATATCAGCCTTTAACTGTCTCCTGCTAAACATAAGCCTCTCACGGAAAAGGAAGGGGTGGCCTATTCTATGCCGGGACCACACGGGATCATAATGGATCATAATGGAAGGTAGAAAAATGCTTTACCGATTACACAATGGAGGGTACACTAACAAACAAGCAAATTAAAGAGCCTACCTAATTCAGAAAGTCGTGATGCAATGTTTCAGTTTTATTAAATATCTGTGCCACCAATAATACCTAAATAGTTGTCAATAAATACAGATAGTGGCTACGATAGTAAGCTACAGAAAAATATTTATTTATCAAATGTTATTTTAAGATCTCAAATATCTATTGTTATTGAAAAAAATTTGTACGTACTATTTTGATTGTAAATATTCAATAAGGATTTTCTCATATAGTTATCTAATTTTCTACACTACAATTTGAAATTGCTGAAATATTAGTTCCGAGTATAGTGGTATTGTTATTGTTAGACTTAGTATTAAATAATAAATTATACTCATATAACCATTAAGTACCTACTCAGTAATTTCATTACACCGTACAAGCAGCTTGTTAACTTGTAGGGACCAAAAATTAAATACTCGTTTTCTTGCCGAGTGAAGTTATTCCAAAATCAAGATATATCCTAAAATGGATCCCGTAAAGAATATTTTTATAGCTATGCATAGAATATTCTATTATTAAAGATAGGCAGTGTTTAATGACTAAAAATATAAAAAATATTTCCAAAATGTACTGTATATAATCACATTAGATAGGTTATTGACAGCATACCAACAACCAGCATACTAAATTGCGAAACCAATTAAAACAAAAATACTAAGTAGATATAATAGATAGTTATCGTACCTAGGATAAAAAATGAGTAGAATAGAATATTATTTATAGAAAATATTAAGAAATAATTTATAAAAAGACTTACCGAAAACATATAAAAATTCGAAAATATTTAACTTAATGAATATTATTACAAAATTTGTGAGAACATTTGTCACTATTTAAAATTTAATATATAATTTGAATGCATGTGCCGCTTTTTTTTTAATTATAATACTTGCTATTATTTTTATGACAATTGTAAATAAGAAATGTAGATTTTAATTAATAGCTAAAACATATTTTAATATATTTTGAAATATATTTATTAATTTAATTACATTTCTTATTATTTATTCATCTACCCATGCTTCGACCGGAGAATTCACACCAATGACAGCGCATACAACTCGTGACCCTGCATTTCCGGTTGTGAGAGATGTTTCGTGTCCACCCAAGCCCAAATCATCTTCCTGTCCATGTAGAACTAAAGTGCGCCCCAAGATATTGTTCCGGCCGCGAAGAGCAATTACTTTATCCACAAAGTCCACTTCCGCCACGCCGATCCCTGTCCCCACGAACTGAATATTGCCAAGGTCCCCCACGTGTCTGATTGTGTGATCCCTTCCGCCATGGTTGGTTGCATCTGGATTTAAATGAGCACCGGCCGCGTCACAAGTTATTGTATCTCCAAGCTCATGAATGTGGAACCCATAATTACCAGCTTCGAGGCCACGTATAGTGCCTTTTACATGCACACCATCATCAACCTCCGTGAAGGTTATGCTGCCTGTGACTTCTTCAGAAATGAGATGTACCACAGCAGATCTTGGTAGACAAATAATTGGGCCTACCATTACAGAAAAACAAATAAGCAAACAGAAAATCATTTTTAAAAATTAAATTAATGTCTAACTAGGTATAGCAGAATATGAGCAACACCGATGAGAACTGAATAACTACTGGAGAAATGTTAATTTCTAAACATATATAATATCATCACTACAGCATCTATCATTTGATATCATATCAATTTTAGGTACTTAGAAATTGAATATTATCTTAAAGATTTGTCTAAATAAGTTGATCTTATATCACACAATATTATACACGTCACGATATTAACAAAAAAAAAGGTGTCCCTTTATTTCTTAGTGACATATTTATTCCATTTATCCGTAATGGAATTTTATTCAGCTAATAACAGAGATAAATGGAAAGAAATCCACACTTACACATCAACAAGAAAAGTTAGTATAATTGGTTGGTATATAGGGATAAATGGAATAAGCCAAAAACGAAAGGCAGTTGAAATTTCTTTGAATAGCTAATCTAAATAATGTAAAAAAAATAAAATTTTATAAAACGAAGTTAAACAGGTACCTACATATTATTTATTCAATAAAAGATGGGGTTTTCTTTGTCGTAAAAAAAGTAAAGATTTGAAGGACCTTAATTTTCTTCAGCTGTACGTCATAGCATACGAGTATATAGGTACAATATCATTCCAACTCTACCAATCAACATAAGTGGCAAATTTTTTAATGAAGAAACTTTTAATAGCAATGACAATAATAATAATTATTGTAAATTTAATATATGAAACAATATATATGAAAATTTTATCTGGACATAAAAATTTATTTATGGACTATTTTTTGTACGGAATCTCGATGCGTGAGTTCAACTCATATTTAACCCGTTTAACAAAACGCGTTATTTTCCAATGCTACAAGCATAAATTGACCTTCGACATACAGAAGTATATCGAGTAAAGTTGGAAAATTTCACGAATAGGTATAATATAAGATGTTTTATAGACAGATTCACGGAACAAATCTGCAAGAAACAGATGGTTACAGTATATGTAGTACAGACTGAAGACATTTACGGTTAAGTTTCGCACAACATTCCCCAAGGAAGCTCTAATGGAGAATATATTAAATATCTCTAAATGTTTAAAATAAAACACCAAAAATATTGTGTGAAAATTATTTATGAAAATTATCCAAACTCAATTTTTTCGATTCATAACTCTATATAAAATTTTCTTTTATCTGAAATGAACACTGATTACAAACTCTGTATTGTTTAATGTAAGAAAAAAAATATAAAATATGATACTATGACGCTGTAGTGTCTACTTTGACCATATCCCTCGCGATTTGAAACGCAGCAATCAATGCGGCGAGTTCAATCTTCTCGCTACAACCGCTCGCGAGCCGCGCCTCCGCATCGGCCATCTTGATTAACAACGATACCAACACATCCGGTGGAAGTTTCACTAAAATCAACAACATTTTTTTAAAGTGTGTAATACGTTATGATTATATGTTCATATGTTATCTACATATAAATATAATTATAATATAAAAGAATGACAGATTAATGCACAGCTAACACTACTCGGTCTGGAAGTTAAAAACAACAATCCATCTTAAATACAACAATAGTATATAATCGTAGAGTAGAAGAACGGTTGCCATTCTTCCAAATACATAGTTGAAAGATAAAACCAAAAGTTAAAACTATTTCATAGTTTAGCAAAACTATTATGATACAATATAGACGATATAAATGTAAAGCAGTTCTGACACAATTTTCCCTAAAAATGTAGTAACCATTTTGCTATAATATCAAATAGAAAGTTTAATATTACAAATAGAAAACGATGGTTCAGAATGACTACAAAGTCAGATAATTTTCAGTACGTCTACATACGAAATTCTAATGTTTGTTAAATGATTCCACCAAGCATATTCAAATTCAATGACATTACCCAAACAACTGCAATTAGATATATTAATTATTCTACTTACTTCTTTGTATTATAGTATGTATCTCAGTAAGTATATCTCCCAAAGCCAGACCTTTTGCAATCTTGACCTCCTGGATATCTGTATATTATGATACTAAGAAAATTATATAAGTTATATGACTATATAGTATAAAACAAAGTCGCTGTTGCTGTCTGTCCGTCCCTATATATGCTTAAATCTTTAAAATTAGGCAACGGATTTTGAAGCGCGTTTTTTTAATAGATAGTGATTCAAGAGGAGATATATATATATATATATATATATATATATATATATATATATACACTAAATTAATGGAGTAATAATACTTAATCCTTACTATATTTTAAATGTGAAAGTGAGTTTATTTGTTTGTTGCTTTATAGCGCATTAACCAATAACTATAAAAAGTATACACATACTATATAGAATGGAAAAGAATACACGCTACTACGTATCCCAGTCAGTAAACATCTTTTTTTTTTATACAACTTAGAATGGCATACCATAACACCAACTCTTTTGGGGTAGGCAGAGAGAACATAGTGCCAAAGACCTCTATCCCTAAATAAATTACAATTAATTAATTAGATACAGAGAAACAACACCCGAGTCCTCAGGAATGGCAACGCATGGGGAGTATCATGGGCGAAACAGTATACTCTGTTATGTTCATGGTACTGTTCGTGTCTATAGGTGACGGTTACCATTTTTCTTCCGGTGGGCTGTCAGCTTGTTTGCCATTCTAAGTTGCATAAAAATTCTTGATTTGGACTTTTATAACTCGTCTCACGCATACACATTGGTTCTAAAGACTTTTAACTCCTATATCAGAAAAAAAAAAACAAATCTTTACGCATAAACTTTTTTGTTAAAAATCCTGTTTTATATGTAAACGACTAAAGAACTAAGCGAAGTGTTATATAAGTGTATGTCTGGAACATTCTAGTAATGTGTACCTAAACAGCTGATTTATTTTTATAAATTGGTTCCTTAAATTCGTCTTAACACGACTGGGGTAGTCGTGCTAAGACGAATCTTCGAAATAAATAGGCCTATAGAAATAAAATAGGCCTAAAAAGGCCCTATCCTTTAATAAGGCCTTAAATAAAATATAAAGGATACTTTTAAAACACATAGCAAAATCATTTTCGTTGAGCAACCAGCTGAGAATGTTATTAATATCAGAGCGCAACGGATGGCCCACGCACGTGTACACGTTGTCTTCGGTGACGTCACGATACGCCAACCAAGTGCTCTGTAGTGTGTTCAACACTTTCCGCATATCACCACCCGATAGGGTTAGAAGCGCAGTCATACCATCTTCCGACATTTTCACACTGACAAAGAATAATTCAATAGAGATTAATGGTTTTTTTTTTTTGATGGGTGAAAATGGTATGGTAACCCCGCTTGCGCTAACGAGATACGCTGGCGGAGCACCAATAAAGGGTGATAGATGAGAATGGAAACAGGCCAGTTAGCCCATCATGATGAAGATAGTTTCCAGGGGGAACCGCGAGGAGGTCGACCTGGTTGGGTATATTGCTAGCAATGGGATTCTCAGTCTCCATTACTAACCCCTTCCCTTCCCCCCAGATTAATGGGTTGTACATATTACATATAGCAAGGCTATATATTAAAGTATAATACACCCTTAGATTATGTTAAAGATAGTTCCCTCTTATAAATGCTTGACCAAAAACAAGTCTCATATTTATGTAAATAGAGTTGCCATATTATGCATTTATTACACATATGTGGGATAAAATATACTGTAAGGTTAAATTGAAAAATAAAAACGATACAAAATTCTTGCGCATATATTTAAAAGAACAAGATAAATAGAGCATAATGATCTGTAATTTTGTTTATCTTTATTGATTACTTTGATTTATATCTAAGTATAGACGTAATATGTTTTGTTTTGAAATCACTAACAATATCCGGACATATATATATATATATATATATATATATATATATATATATATATATAATTCGTAAACAATACGTACATATATGTGTTTATATTTTTATTTAAAAAAATTGAAAATTAATTTCAAAACCCAATTATTTAATAACCGATAAAAAAGGCGCATTTTGTTATAAATTAAAAAAAAATACGTATCTTAATTTTGTCCGCCAAATGTCAATTTAGTTGACTAAAAGTTGACCCGTTTTTTGACACTCAATACGACATCTATATAATCAAAGAATCACATAATGTAAGGGAAAGTAAACTCGAAATATCAGTACCAGCGGGAAAGGGATTGTTAGTAACAGCTCCATTGCTAGCAATGCCCTCACAAAAATAGCTCTCACAATTTGACTTCCACCTCCACTCCATTCCCCTGGAAATCATCATGGCTGATTAGATAAATTCTTCACAATTCAACTGACCTGCTTACATCATCATCTATTATCTCTCACTGATGCCCCGTCAACGTATCCCGATAATAGCCTAGGCGAGGTTACCATTTCATCTTCACCCATAAAAAAATCAGTATCAAGCCTAACCTCTAACCAGTTGATGTTAATAAAAAGCTAATCTTATAGGTAGAGACGCGAGATGAATCAATAGGAAGTTAAAGGTTTATTTAAGAAAAAACAAGCTTAGAGTACGAGAAACATAAAATTACTCTATATAATAAAACATTTTGGCATAATACTTATCTACTTTGTCAAGGTCGTTAGTACTCATACACAAAGTAGATATACCTACCACAGATTTAAAATTTGCCAGATAACATAGTCACGTATAATATACACAATTACGTTATCTGGAAAATATACATTGTTCCAGAACATGAAGACATATTTTTTGCTAATAGACCACTTTCAAGTATTAATACGTGCTAGATAAACGAGACATACGGTATCAAGCTCTCAAGATAATATTATTATCAAACTGCTTATTAGATATGCACTCAATATAATGACATACCCTTCAGCAGCAGCAATTTCCTTAAGTCTTGGTACGATTTGATTTTTATTAAGCGGAGCAAAACGAAACCTCGTGCATCTCGACTGCAGTGCCGGAATTATTTTGCCCAAATAGTTGCATATTATACAAAATCGTACATTGTCCGTATACTTTTCTATTACTGCAATCATATTAAAATACATATTAAATTTAATAAGAAATACATAAAAAATATAAACATCAAAATAATACACTTAAAATTCAAATTACACTTTGTTAGATGAATCTTGTCACATAAATTAGTGTTATTTTAGTTCTTAAACAATATCAATATGGTTTTTATAACTCTTGAAATAGGAAAAATTCGACGGCTCGTATGCTGTAAATTTTTAGTCGGCTTATATATAGTTAGTGGTCGCCGAGTATACCCTTACCTAGCGGAAATTCAGTGACAGTATTTATGGAAAGCTGCACAGTTTTATTAATATTTTTCTTTTTTAACCATTCTAACTAAAAATGCACTGTCCAAGTTCATGCTATATTGTTAAAAAAAATTGAAGCAGCTGCATGAGTTATATTAGTAGAATAAGTTCAAAGTTAATTTTTTTTTGACACATTATTCTTGACTGTCAAAAATACATTAATAAAGTAGGTAGATTATTATGTATATAGGTATACAAGTATATATGTACGTATATGTACATAATACAAATAATGTGACAAATAAAAAACTTAATGAAAACTTGTATTGTTTTATTGAAGACAGCAAATAGACGAAGAAGATAGGTGAATCCTTCTTAAAGCTTTTCTATTCATTATTAAGGAGTGCGTAGGTTCGCTTTGCAGTGGTAGCGGATCGACTCCATTTAATTCTCGATTTTTTATTACTGGAGAGTATCCATTGACTGCCATGAGACATCTTCGTACTTTCAAGCCCATAACTCGAGCTACAAGACTTGTGAAAGCATTTATAACCTGCAATTTACAACTTTATGTAAATATATCAAACTAATGATATTCACCAATTATTGTAATATTATCAATTAATAGTACAAACTGCATAATTTATTCGAAATAATTTTCGTTTCAGAATCTTAACAAAATTAATATAAAATCGACACAGTAGTAGATTTAAAAAAAATAAATGTACCCAACTCATTATAGATGAGCATTCGAATATATTACGTAACAAAGGCACGAGAATATACCTTGGAGAATATCCTCATTTTCAAATTAGGACTCAACAAAAACTTACTCAAAAAGGCAATAAAGAAAAGCAATCAAAATACCGTTTCCCCTGTCCTTGCAGATCCTTTGAAATTTTCCAGGAGATGTTCCGATGCAAATTTCTGTACGCACGATAAACGCACAGCCCTTTGATGTTCCAAGTCTGATTTGTTACCAAATATTGCCATTATCGGCTTTTTATCTTCAGATTCAAATATCTCTTTAGCTTTATATAGCCACAAATCAAGTTTCTCAAAACTTTGAAGATTTGTAAGATCATACACAAACAGGACGACCTAAAAACGGTTTTAAACACTAAAAATAATATTTCAAATAACTAGAAAAAGATATAGCAATAGCAAAGAATATATATAAGATTACGAATCCCAAAGATCCTAAACAGATTAAAATGCAGACATAATTCCACAGTCATATCTAAATCGTATGTAGAGTCTTTTTTTTATGCAACTTAGAATGGTAAACAAGCTGACGGCCCTCCTGATGAAAAGTGGTAATCGTCATGTCGTCATGAGCAGTACCATGGACATAACAGAGTAAGTGAGGAATCAGGTGTTATTCGTCTATACCCTGTAAATTTACTGCCATATTCCACCCTTCAAACCGAAACACAACCATGCGAACATAACTGCTTTACGGTAGAAACTCGAATGGGACAGAGATGCCCAAGCAAACAACTCTTGTACAAAGTCTCCCTCTAGTGTAGAAAAATATAAAGATTAATAAAAAAATATAATACAATTATTAATCAAATATAATTATAACATACGTCGGAGGAGTACAAATAATTTCTAAGCATTGTAGTGCCGAGTGCGTTGCCACCGACGTCACACAAGTGAACGGGCACTGGAGGGCGCAGCCCCAAGCACTGCCCTGCCATCACCTCTGCTCCTTGTGTGTTGCCACTCGCCACCGCCCCATTTCCGCCCAGATATCGTGAACACAAGCTCGTCTGATAATTATAAAAATGTTCTTATCATTATTGACATCTTATACTTACTAATATTATAAATATAAAAGTTTATACAGATATTTATATTTATTACTCAATGACTTAAACTGCTGAACTACGATGTACCAAATTTCATTCAAATCCGTTATATCCTAACATAAGATATATTATATATTTATCTATGGACGCATAACCACGGAAAACAGCTAGTAAATAATAATAAGTTCCAAATAGGTTTCTAGTTGTAGTATTCTGATTTGAAGAGTAGGTACCTAAGATATGACAGATTTTCATTCCACATAATACAAAAAATATTCTGAAATAGTTACAGCTAATTAGAGATGACATGAGAGTTTTTGAAAAATACACTCACAATCTATACAGTCCTCAATTTTCAAAAACCAAAATTACGTTTAAATTTACCCCCCGCAGATCTCTCACCAATAGAAAATCATTCTTGCCTGTCCTTTCATAATGATTATTTTCTATAATTGCTGTTAAATTATCCCTCATGAATAATTTAGTATATATAAAGATAGTAATTTAATTCATTCTTGAATAATATCCTTGCTTATAATATGTGAAAGATACCTTATAGCACCATAAGGGCTTAACCAATCAGTATGAAATTTAGTATACTTTTATTATATGGAATGAAGAAGAATATAGGCTACTTATCCCGGCTTTTTATCCGGTCTACAATATGTATTGTATTGTATTGTATTGTAAAATCTTTATTGTACATAACTCAGATTAAACACTGGTAAATGATTTAATATTTACTGGCAGTAAACATATCCCAGACACACACAGACGCAGTCGTGAGTAAAAGCTAGTATCATAAACGAAAACATAATATGTATATTCCTATAGGTACCATTAAAAAGTTTCTTGGCATTACATCTTTCATGCGTAGTTTCTAAGTGAATTACAAATTATTCAAGACTAAATGAAATCTGGCCTCTTCACATATGAAAAATTCAAAGTATCTGATCTGATAAAAATAACAAAAGATAACATCTGATCGTGCTGACTCTACAAAACTAATAAATAAATAATATTAAACAGAGGTACACTTACTTTACCAGTAGAAGGTTCACCAACAACTGTGATTTTAACTGTTCGACTTTGAACTTCTTCTTCTTCAGTGTCTGACATGTGAATATATTTAGTTCCACAGTTTTTAAACACATTTAAATAATTTCCTTTTATTTTATCACAACTAATTTATGTTAAAATGTGTTCTACTTTCAAATCAGGTGCCTCAATATTTTTTTATAAAAACGTATATTTACATTTTAGTTTACACTTCAAACTGAACAGTCATAGGTATGTGTCTATCTGTTAATGTTTTCATTACTATAGCCATAGCAACCAGGCGTAATTGATTCACATGCATTAAATGGCAATGTTTTCATCAATAAATCGCATTCAGATACAAGAAATTGCGTAGAAATGGCTTATTTATGAAACATCAATTTTCGATTTAATTAAATTTAAAACTGCAATTACCTACCTACCCATAGCTAACCAGCTATAGGTAGGCAGAAAGGTACACCTAAGCGCCCGATTAATTAAAAATGCACGTGGAATAATTTCATTTCTCCAAAAATTTAATAAACTCTTATTAATCTGGTTATAAGTGAATAGTTTAGTGCAACATCGTTTAATGATATGGGTTTATACTAAGACCGTGTTTTAGTGTCTGTCGAACAGACTTTTGGCTGTTTGCTCTTGTTAGTCTTTTCCGAATTTTCAGAAAAATTTAAAACCACAGCACTTAACTCAACGCGATTGCAAGTAAATAGTATCTACACAAATGGTTTTTATCGCCGCAATTTCGAAGTGGATTGCACCACGTCATGGCCACGACAGGACTGAAATAAACGGCGTCTTCTTCTGGCAGTACTATTGTGATAATGTAAGGGCGGCTGAAGAAACTGCGCGTGCTGCCAGAAGACCTTTGGAGTACACATGTTCTAAAGTAGAGAGCGTGAATCGGCAAGCATAGTGAGACAACCTGCGGCTAGATGAAACAATGACATACGTAGGGTTGTAGATAAAAACTGGCTGTGTAAAGTCAAAGATCGTCCTCAGTGACATGCCTTGGAAGAGGCTAATGTCCAGTAATGGACTGGAATAGACTAATAGTTAATAGATATGGATTGAAATGAAGAAACAAGAAACTAAAGAATTTATATATAAGTATAATTATATATTAAATATTCTTTTCACAAATATTTTGGTATGAAATGTATATATATATTGTACATAATATGTATACATATTCTTTTTATTATTATAATAGCACGACATGTGACCACACCATCCTGGGTGAACATGGGAACAACATTTATGACCCACATAAATACAATCAAACGAAACATTTAAATAATCAAGGGTTATAGGACGATGGAAACATGTTACAAGGCCATTCCACTTGCTACGGTACAATTCATGTAAAAGTTTGCAAACTTAGTTGTACACGAGCACGGGCAGTTTACCGTCTATGAATCTCAGGGTAGCTCAGGGTCTCTAGACCCTGGGCAATCTTCGTGGTATAATAGGGGAAGGTAGGTAAGGAGAAGGGAAAATATTATTTATTAATGCATTATAATATTTATACATTACTACTTACTTCGCCTAAGAGCATTCTGTGCATCGTTTGTCATCGCATCTGCTTCATCCAATATTATCAATTTCGGGCCTGCTTTAAAAATTGTACGCGTAGATGCAAAATTTAAAATTTGTCCCCGCACAATGCCTATGCCTCGATCATCCGACGCATTCAGTTCTAAAACCTAAAATAATAATTTAATAATGTTAAACTTTTATATTGTTAACAAAATAATAGCAATGGATAAACACAAAAACTACTTAACCGATTTAAAAATTCTTTCACCTATAGAAAGCTACATTATCAGTCAGTAACATTTATTATATAAATATTTTTTTAAATTCTATAGGTTTTTTTTCTGTAAATTTTATAGGTTATTAGCGAAACCTATAAAATCATAAAATATAAATTTACACAAAAAAACATCGCTTAGATTCGACACACATCCCTTTAGTCAGGATAGTACATGACATTATAATTTTACCATCTCACTGACATCATATTAGCGTCGTATTGCAGACGTGACCAAAGTACCCAGTTTAAATATTTATGATTGTATTGATTTTTGCATGACTACAAATGAGATTAATTACCATTTATTTTCTTTTTCAATACTAATACGCTTTGCTTTGTAATTTCGATTCTATTTTTCATGCTTGAGAGAAATATAGTAATGTAACACATGCAGAAATGTTTCATTGTGTAGTATGTTATAATATTATTATGAATCTGATGGAAAATAACAATTGTCGCAATGTCCATGCTCCCATATTACTGTAATTGAGTTTAACCTTCAATATATACAACCAATATACACAAAATGCAGCCAGATTTATATCATACTGATACCTAAATGTTAAACTGCATTATAAATTATAAATAAATAAATATGTTTTATTACTAAAGACTAAAAGTACCCCCATTGTTGATGAGTGCATATAACTAAAATAATATTTTAAAAGAGCAGACAACTTTTGTATAAAATTAAAATTTTGATACATTATAGATTTACTTACCATTGAATTGAATTGTTGTGGAGTATACATTTGTCTAGCACAAGCAAGAATAGTTGAAGTCTTTCCTGTACCAGGTGGTCCATAAAACAACAAGTGTGGTAGTTGGTTCGTTTTCATAAACTGATTAACTAAAATATAAACAAATTTAATAGAATATATAGTTATAACTTTATGATATTTAAAATGACAACTGATGGAAAATAATTTACAGACATAAACAGTATCATATAGACATTACAGAATACACTATATAAAAAATATAATAGAAATAAATGGCAAATAGTGTTTTACTATGCAACAAAGATGGCAAACATAGTCGGCTGTATAGTATGAAGCTACTGCAAATCTAATTATTCCATATGACTCAAAAACAATTTCCTGATTATAGACTTTCATAGCACACAGGTAACCTTCTTGTAATGTCAATAAAAATATATCATAAACTACCTGAATTCATAAAAGTATAAAAAATTACAAAATGTAAACACATTAATTAAAAAAAAAAACTATTAGTAACGAAATGCTATTGTAACAACAATAAGTATTTTTCAAATTAACTGTGATAATAAGTATAGTATCATAATATTAAACTTTCTAGTATTATAATTCTAATTATTTAAATTGTTAATAATAAGAATGTATAATTATTCTAATGATTAATATATTAATTCATATAAATATAAATTGCAACAAAATTTATTACTGAAATTAATGACAAATCAAATAATCCAAGAAACAAACTTAAAAAATGTTTTACAAAAAATGCCTTAAGGCTCCCTCTTCAGATATATGTATATAGAAAAATTGATATAAAACACTATGTATACAGTTTTACTTTAGTAAATCTGCATATTTCTTAAACTACTAACAATATAATAATTTCTTAATCAAACATTTTGGTATGTCATAAGAATATTAATTTATACTTAAGAGTATCTAATTAATGGATATCCTAAAAAGAGAATCGATGAGCCTTACATTGTATGTATTATTAAAACCATTCTAATTAATACAAATACAATTTAATTAAGAAATAAAGTTTAATTAAATTGTATCCAATTAAATTATGAGCAAAGCGAATAAATATCTTACAACACATAATCATTACAAAATGTGGAGTCACCAATTGTGAAGAATATAGAATTTACTTAGTATAAACACTTACTTGTATTAATGATATCATCGTGTGAAACCAAATCTTCCAACTTGGAAGGACGATATTTTTCAACCCTAAAAAAATAAATTACATAAATCTCAACCAAAGGAAAAATTGTATACCTTGTTATATAGCATTGTTAATAGATAATACAATATCAAGTTTTTTTTTAGATTTCAGAGCATTAAACACTTAACAATAATACACAGTTATTACAAGAGCCAGCAATAATGTTGGAAGTTTTTTTTTTAATGGATGATAATGGAATGGTAACACCACCCGCGCTATCGATATACACCGGCGGGGCACCAGTGAAGGATGATAGGTGAGGAGATGAAGTAGGTCAGTTAGCCCATCCTGACGAATTCAACAAGAATTGTTCACGATGGTTTCCAGGGGGAACCATGTGGAGGTCGACCTAATAAGGCATATTGCTAGCAATGGGGCTGTCAAACTCCATTACTAACAATCCCTTTCCCCCCCAATAATGTTGGAAGTTAGTTTCTTGGAAGGCCTCGCTATTTGTGAAGAAATAGGTATTATATTTACAATAATAGAAACAGATTATTAATTTGTAATGGGATAGCTATAAAAACTGCATACCATGGTAAATTTTTGTGAATTTCGCCCAAAGTCATGATGCAATTTTATTTTTTAACATAAAAAGAACTAATTAATTTATATATATTCACAACATATATATGTTATTAGAAAACTTCATAAACATTAAAGGTACTAATTAGACCAACTGAACTATTTTTATAAGTACAATTTTCTTTTGTTTATTTTTTTTAAGCTATTAGGTTAGATTTTTACAAATCTAAGAATCGTTGAATTATTGAATTCGCGCCTGAAATTGATGATAAATGACATTGACTGACAGTGACATATGTCAGTCCAGTTCATAATTTTATTAATGGTAAGCAAAGGAAACAACATTTATACAGCCTTATCTGACTTTCCGTATTTCTATGTAGTAAGTGCCTTTTTAGGGTTCCATTCAAAGATCTTTGTATGGTACAAACGGTTCCTTCGTTTTATACAAAGAAACCCTTATAACGTGACTTTCCGTCTGTCCGTCGCAGGGCTATATCTCAGTAATTACTGTAACAACTAGTACTTATTAGTAATAGTAGTACTTTAGTAGTAATTACTGTAAAAACTCAGTAATTTTACTGTCGATTAGAAATCATTGAAAAAATACTTTTATAATTTTTACTAGAGAGTTCAAAATTTCTATTCTATTCGATGTATGAAAATAACAAGAAAAATAAAATGATATTTCTAATATACACAATTAGAAAAATTATCAAAAAGCTTCCAAAAACATAATTGTGTCGACCCAAAATAAGATTTTCCAATTGCAATATTAATACTTGTAACTATTAGGTATTATTTATTTTATTTTATACCACTCTAGTGGCAACAAGCATACGGCCCATCTGACGGTAATGATTACCGTAGCCTATGAACGCCTGCCGATACCAGGGGTATTGCTGCCGCGTTGATGACCAAAATTAAATAAGGTACTTAGATTATAACTCATTGGTTAGCACCGGGGTCCTGGCACACCTGGACGTAAACTTATCTCCCCTATAACAACAATCTATATTACATTTTTATAAAACTACTCGTATTGTATGCCTATGCTTTATTTGATTTATTCTATTAACACTATTTAGTACCCTCATTTCAACTATATACTACTAGGTCTCTATTCTGACTTAATTTATATTTAATTACTAATAACTATTTTTCTATTTTTTGTCTGTGCTATGCCACAAGGGGAAGTAAAAAAATTCGCGGAATGGAGGGCTGTCATGTTGCGACGGCTGCTATCCACCAATGCAGGTTTGAAAAATTAGACCACCCACCTTAAAGTCCAGACTTGGCCCCCAGCGACTATTATTTATTTCCAAAAATGAGAAGAGCCGCGTGGAAAAAAATTTTGCAACGATGAAGAAGTCACGTCTGCAATTTCGGCCTATTTTGACAGCAAAAATAAACCTTTTTTTAAACCGTCTTTCTTCCTATTTTCCTCTAGTCATAAGTGTATTTGGTTCAGGGCTGATTTATCTAAAGACATGTCTGGGAGCACACAATGTAACTTTTTTTGGGAGCCAGGCCACCTCTACAAATTTCCCTATTGACATATTAAATATGCCAATGCCCCGTTTGTACATTTTTCTTTGGGTGACAATGAAATGATAACCTCGCCTACGCTATCGATATATATCGGTGGAGTGAAGGATGATTGGCAAAGATAAAGTCAGTTGGGCCATCATGACACGTTCATCAAGAATTAACCAAAATTATTTCCAGGTGAGAACACGTGGTAGTCGAATAAAGTATATTGTTAGCAATGAAGTTTTTAATTAGTTACTGTTATTTAAATTTTTTTTAAAGATTGTTAGTGGTATGGTAACTCTGCCTACGCTATCAGTATACGTTGGCGAGATATCAGTGGCAGATGATAAATAAGTACGAAAGCTGGTTCATTAGCCCATCGTTTCGAATCCCACAAGAACTGCGTGGACGTCGATCTGTTAGGGTATATTGCTAGCAATGGGGCTACCTATCACCGTTACTATAATATTCCCTTCTCCCTCCAAAATGGGGTTATTAAACAATATTACTAACAATATTTTAAATCTTTATAAACCTCGACTTAGTGTCAAGGTTGATCCAAATATTCATGTGGAAATAAATTAAAAAATATATATATAAAATATGTATATATAAAATAATTTTATTGTATCTCCTATTTCATATAACAAAAACAATATACTTTTGTATAATAAATGTTATTGTAATTGCCCAGTACCATTTTTCTATAAGAAAATACGCAATCAAAAAGTATTTAAATGGTGACAGCAGTAAAAATATACATAACAAAAGAAAAGTTAAAATCAGTTATAGGCGTAATTCCCTACAATAGAACTAATTTATATTTACATATTTACATAACTGTTTTAGAATCGAGGGAGCGTCACGGGAAGAACCCCCAGGACCCCTACCTCCGGAGCAGGGGTTTTCGTATCCTGTAGGTTGCGTCAAAGAACATAGTGCATACAATGCAAAGTCAACCGCGAGTGAATATAGGAATTTGTAATTTGGGGTCTCAGACCATTAATTTGTACACTAAAAAAAAAATTAAAAAAAAAATATTTGTAAATTATAAAGTACTTACTGTAGGCATGAGAAATTATAAATACCTACCTACTAAAATTGTATGACGAACATAAAACAACAACAATAGTAATTTCATCTTTTAATATCTATTTTTTGTTTGCAGATCTCTCGGACCAACATATAGATTAAGGGCTATTTACAGTAACATTATTATAACACTTACAAACATTACTATACTATCCTATTTATATTATGGTCAATATAATCTATCATGTTCATTTTCGACACACCATTTCGAAGAGTGCCATCCAATACTGCACTGGCAGAGGGCTCCCACGGCCACATTACTCTATTTGAATATGCGCTAATCATATCTAACTTCGCTTCTGTTGGAATATAATATTCACTCCGTGGTTTATTATTTTTTCCAGGGCCGAAATAATATTTATAGCCACTCTTTTTTGACATTTGCGCCATCCACGGTTCTATAATGACACAAAAAAATATTTATGTTATATATAAATATTAACTTTGAATGTTTTTACATTGTATATATTACTACAGCTGACACGACACTACACACAGAAAGAGTATTACATATATTATTTAAGAGCATTCACAATTTTCTCTTAACAAAGTGTAGTAATGGCGCAATTATCTATCAATTAAAAAAAATAACAATTTTTAATGTTTCAGACTGATTGTTTAAAAATCATGTAATGATATCGTTACTAAGTTGTCCCATTTTGATGGTAAAAATGTATTTGAAAAATTCCGAAGCAAAATATGAAATATGTGCAAAAGTTTTTAATAGTAGATTTATATACAACATATTCTATTTTAGTTTGTCAGCCGACCTTTTTAAATTATTATTGAAAAATGATAAATTATTTTTATAAATTGTCAGATAATTGCAAGATTGCCACACTTCAGTAAGCTTAAGTATGAACGCTTTTCATTCTAAGCAAGTATCAGTTATAATTATTTTGATGTAAACTAATTGCAAAAATCCCAACAACTGCTAAATATCAGCTGACAATAAAAAACCTGTGCACTTTTCAAACAGATGAGTTATAAAAATGTTTTAGTAATAAATAATATTATTAGGTATTATAATACATACCTTTAATTTCTTTTATAAATAAAATTGCTTTAACTTCATAAAATTTATCATTTGTATTCTGTCCACTCGGTAAGTTTATAGTGACGGCTTGCTTCACTCTCTTCATTGTACGATATTGTATATTATTTACATCTGATGAAAATTGTTCCATATGAAACAATTGTTTACATCTAATTGGTAAGGATTGTGAATCAGATGGATTATTCAGTGCCATACAAAATAATTCACATTGATTTAATCTGAAAACATATATAATTTTTAGTAGATAAATCAGCTTTTGTTTGCCTAAAATAAATATTAGTCTATTTATTTAATTTGAATTATTTATTATTCACTAGAAACATGAAATACAAGATGAATGAAAACTCCTTACTGTTCTCTTAAGAGAATGATACAGATTATAAAATAAAGATTAACAACATATACAGAATAACAAAACGAAAAATTAATTACATAAACTGTTAATAAGATGTTACACATAAAGCAGTAAAAATTAAATAAATCATTATTTCCCTACACTTATCCCAATTACATAAATTTTAAGGTAGGCATAATGTTTTTATCCATATTACCCAACATTTTGGTATTAGTTTTATTACGGTTGCCAATCCGAGTGCAAAGCGTGGCGGCTACTGGCAACCCCCCTCCCCTTTATGGGGGAAGCCTATGTTCAACTTTAGACAGTTAACTGCAAATATGATAAAGATGACTGCTTTGATTCAATATAATAATTATAACAGATAGCAAGATTTACCGTTCAGTCAGATGTAAATGTGATATATCTCTTCCGCCCAATATCATAGCATCTATAATATGTAGAGCTTTAGTGTGAATTTGCGTATTACCTTCACCTCTGTATTCTTTCACTATCTGTGAAATAAAATTATAATAAATTTTGCTAAAATAAATAACAATTATGGTATTCAAATTTATATATATATATATATATATATATATATATATATATATATATATATATATATATATATATACAACCTGCTTTTGATATTATATTATTTGGAAAAATAATATTCTACCAATGTAAAATTAAGTTTGAGGAATATTTTTGTAAGCATCTTACTTGTGCAGTAAAGTGCTTTAGTTTTTAAATCAAAATAATAAAATCTACTTTTAACAAACTGTTCCCAAGAAATTATCAGAATGATAGCAAAACAGCAATAAAATTTATCAAATATCGTCACAGTATTACAACACAAGGGATGCTATAATAATACAAATTTATTTTGTAACTAAATAAATGATTGTGCAATATTAAACTGAATATACCTCTCCATAAATAAGCGTTTTTGCTGGTAAAGTGAGATGTAAATCCGCAGCATATTTCCAACCATTATCTTCGAGCTTAAATACTTGTTTGCCTCCACAGCCTGAAAATAATATTAGAATACATTTATAGGGTTATATAACCATAAAGTAAAAATTCTAAAATTTTATTACATTTGTCTATCACAGAATTATCTTTTGCAATTTAAATTCTTCTATCTCTCTCTCTCTCTATTCTTATTTTTAATAAACAAAAATATAAGATTCAATAACAAAAAACTAACACAGAAATTGATTGCAAAAATAATTATCAAAATCAAAACTGAAAGTCTACCATGAAATGAATTTCCAAATTTTCGGGGTCAATTTAGTGTTTTTGTTCGTACCGAAATCGGCCCATTAAATGGAGTTTAATATTTCGTTCGTCATAAATCCTACTACAATAGTTCAAAGGAACATAATTTTAATATTTTTAAACGGTATGTATTATGTAATTTCAACATAAAATTGATGTTACTTTCGGGCGCGAAATTTCAGAAAATACTTCATGGTAGGCACTCTGATATCACATAAAGTACTAAGCTGGCCTGGCAAACGTTTTATTGCCCTCTGCTGCCACCTATCGGCTAATTTTTTTCTTACTGAGATAAAACTTTTTCTCTCAAATTGGAGCAAATGACGCATATTTATAAAATTAAAGTATGTTCAGCGGTTTCAAGATTAGTTTGAATGAACATTGTGATACGGGGTTTTTATACACAAGGCACTCTAAGAGAATACTGGTCATCAGTATGACTTAGATTAAAGAATTTTATACAACATATTAAAAATTAGAAAACTTTGTTGATGGTATTTAATGGTGCTCAAAGATAGTGCTTAAATACGACTACGGACATTCAAATGTAGTTTATTGCATTGTCACATGAGACAAAACGTGGATTTATTGTTTGGAACTAGAAAAGATACAGCAATCATTAATAGACGTTCAAAACTGAGAACAGATCTAGAAATTTAAGACAGTTGTAGAACATGAATGGAATAAAAAGTAATTGTATTTTGTACAAACTTGTACTATTCCACTTGGGAATCAATGGAATGAGAAACCGCGTTCTTTTGCACTATGATAACGTTTAAGTTAAATAATCAATCAGAAACATTGAATTGTTAAATTGTTCGTAAAAATTTAAAGATAATTAATTGCGACGTCGCCACATTTCTATAAGCGAATGTTATGAACGCTCTTAAGATTAATTTGAATTAAAAATGTGGCACGGAATATTTATATATTGAGATGAGAGTCCAATATGAATTTGCGATGTCTAAATCTTAAAAAATTGATTATAATTTACTCACCAATAAATATACTTAGAGTAGAACATTTTTTCCCGCTACTCAAAAAAACAAAATGCCAGTCATAAACATATTTGAATATATTTAAATTAGCTAGATTATCCAGATATTCTGGCGATTTATTTAAAATATTGGTTTTGAAGGCTTCCGGATCATGTGCATGAGGAATAGATCTCTTCTTTTCCATGTAATTGGTTGTAATTGTCAAAATTGATGACAACGTGTCACCAGGACCATGACGTTCTGGCTTTGTCCTCACCTTATCCGGTAACTAAAACAAAATATTATATATTTGGGTGTAAGTGAGATCTTGAATTAATTAGATAAAATAATTAAAATACTTATTTTTAAATAGGAAACCCGATATCAAATTGAGTAATTAAAAGAAAATATTTATAGGGGTATTTAAAACCACATCATTTGAGCTGAATAAAAAAAAAACACTGGCATATGGTAGTAGATATATGGTAGTGATTCATGTCATTTATGTATTGTTGTTTGCATGTATGTAGATGTATTACTTCAGAACGACTAATGCACTGCATATATTTGGCTAATTGTTTTTTTTTATCAGGTTTGTATGAAAGAAAATGTTTGAAAAAATCTAAAGAAAGCAAAAAGCGAAAGAGGTTTGCTTGAATCGAAGTATTTGGCGTTCCATTGTTTCTGCCTACCCTAATGGGAGACAGGCATGACAGATATATATGTATGTATGTAAAATGTTTGAAATATCGTTTATTAGAATATCCATGTGAAATCAGGATGGACAACTTATTAGTAATTACCAATAAACAAGTTTTATTAAATTAACAACAAAACCTAACCTAACCACATTATGTAACCTGCCAAGATAGATGAAATTTAATTTAAATAATAAATGTTTAAAATTAAGATAAAACATATCCTTTATATTAACACATAAAATAAGTTTTATACTAATTCAAGCACAAATTCAACATGAAAATTTCTACTTACATTCCATAAATGGAGACACTGAGCTCTCATTTCAGCTTGACTTGGCTCTTTCAAACTTCTGTCTTTACTAAATGCTGCAATTTTCATTAAGTTTCTTATTTGTTTTTCACCTAATCTACAATAAGTGGTAATGCAATAGTTAAAAAAATAAAAAAATATAGTATGTATTTACAAAAATTGGACAAGTTCATTAATTGTAAGAACACAAAAAAAAATCTACTTAAAACTATGTAGAACAAACTACAATAAAAGAAACATCAAGTCTTCACTCAGGTTTTTGTGTTTCTCACTTTTTTCTATATCTATTTATTAATGTAAAAAATTATAAAGATGTTTAGGCATTTGTTACTCAATCATGCTTAAAATGCTGAACAGTATTTAATGTTATTTGGTATACAGGTTATATTTACACAAGCAATGCCGCGGGTTGTCGCTTATTCGAGTATACTAATAAATAATACTTACGAACAATTGCTTTCATAAATGTACTCAAAGAAGCCTGTATCTGCTTGTATAACGCTCAGTGGTACTATTTCGGTCACATCACTTTCACCATCTTGCAAGATCTTATTGACATTATAAAGATAATGTTCAGCAGAATCAGTTCCCAATTTCTTTGACTTGCATATTAGATACCTTTCAGAATTTGCTGGTCTTGAAGTTACTGGTTTATGAATACTTACTGTAAAAAAGTAAGAAATATGTGTTTGCAGAACTTTATATATTGCACTAAAAAATGCGTCACAACTATGACAAAGAGCCGACATATGATGTCGCTTAGAAGATATTTGTAAAATGTTATTCAAATTTGAATGTTCTGGTTTAATATCACAGTGAAATTAAATGTGACAATATTTTCATGTCACAAGCATCGATAGCAGCTTAGCATGAAATGAACTCTATTTAATTGCCACCTTACTTATTGTATGAGTAAAAGTCAGAGTGGAACAATACATAAAAGTGATATGGCATTAAAATACCTTTGTCAAAGCATCTATACATGATATAAACCAAGCCAACGCTGAATAAGGTAAAAACATCAAACAGCTTTACGACAAAGTGACCACCCGGTCTCACAAGCATCAACGCAGCAAGGCACTGACACAGATATAATTGTTTTGATAATATTTCTTGGATATTCTCTTGGCCCTCCACTGAGAATCCCTAAAACATAAATAAAGGTAAATTAATTCTAAAGAATTAAAAAATACATAACAATTCATTACAAGGTATTATTTTTGTAGATAGATAGTTACTCTGTATTGTTACTTTATTGTATTTGTAGTTTTTAGACAAAAACAATTATAATGACTAAATTATTTTAAAGGGACTTTAAGAGTATTGCGAAAAGTATTTTTTTATTCTAAAAAAAATGGCATATGACCTAATTCATCATATCAGCGGTTAAATGTCCACTACTGACCATAGGCCTTCCCCTGGGGGAGGGGGGGGGGGGGATTTATCAGTAATTGCTACGTTTAGCAAGCGGGTTGGCAACCACAGTTAGGATTTGGTGATGTTTCAAAAGGTATACTGCTGCCCATCCCTTGACTTTTAAATTCCCTTACTCACCTCTTACGACACCCACGGGAAAGAGGCTTCTACAATATATATTAGTGTGTAGTGTGTTTACATTTCTGTACTTAGAAAATCATATTATTCATTTATTTAATTAAATGAACTCGCTTACTCCATCTGCCATGAGGAAATGCACGCCTTTCTCATCAGTTTGTGTCATCACATGGTCTTTTAATGATGCAAGATTTTCGGGATCAAATATATTGCCATCGCCTTTAGATCCGTAAAAAGGGTGAAACGTTTCAGGCGTACCAGCATAAAAATCAGAAAGTTTGAAATCATTCCCACCCTTCAATGTAAATCCAAAACCTGAAAGTTAAAATTACACTTTAAGCTAGCGATCATTGACTCGACACTTAATTATAGTATATACTTACATGGTAAGTTTTTTTTTTTTTTAATGGGTGATAATGCAATACCGATATCCCGTCTAGGCTATAGAAGGATAATAGGTAAGAATGAAAGCAGGTTAGTTGGTGCTGACGAATTCAACAAAGAATTGACTTGATAGAGGACTTGATAGAGAATTGAATTGATAGAGGTCGACCTAATAAGTTATATTGCTGGCAATGGAGCTACTTGTCCCCATTACTAAAAAATCCTTCCCCCTACATAGTAAGTACACTTACTACTGTACTTGATACTATATGTTGTAGCATAACTCCAACCATTAATCCTTGCTACTAACAGTTCCCCTTCGCCACATAGTGCCATAAGACATTTTAGAACAGTTGTTGAGTGAAATTGCTACATTTACCTCCATTTATATATTAAAAAGACAAAATGAGGTGCTGAATAATGTCAGGTATATAAGTACATATAGAAATAATAATTACCTTTAGCTGTCCACCCTTTTCGATATAAAACGTACTCAGAGAATCCACCAGGGCCTGCACATACATCAGCAAAGTATAAAATTTCTTTAACTGCTGCTTGCTCTGGTTTGCCTGGCCCTGGTTTCTGGTCTGCTTTTTCAGGATCCGTAAACATAAAATCAAATACAGCATCCATATTCGCCATTTTAACGGCCGCGCGATTTAAAAACATCACTGAACCGATTGTTTCATATGGATTGCTACGAAATCTTGCATGACGTAAATCTTCATCATCTAAACTGTCGAAAATAGTCTGAAAAATTAAAATAAACTTTTAAAATATATATTTTTTATTAGGCCCATATAAGCAGAAAATACCAATTATAATTCTTATCTCTTTCTAAAATTTCAATTTGATACCATAGCGACATTTCTAATAGATTAAAGTCAAAATTAAGTGAGAAATGGCACTTTAGAATCGATCCCAATTTGCTACTTTCCGTCACACCGAAACAAAGATCTGTCATTATGACGAAGTAACGTCACGGAACTTTAGTGGCTGGTAGTGTCTGTTCGGTTGTTGGTTAGATATTATGTTTATTTTTCCCACGTTTCCGCACAGCCAATGTCATTTTAAACACACTTAGCTCTATGGGGTTATGGTTATGGAGGGTCTATGGTAAATGACCAACTGGAGGGCAACTAGCCCTTGCCGTATGCCCAGGCAATAAGTATTTTTTTATGGATAATAATGGAATGAGAACTCCGCTTGCACTATCGGTATAGTATACGAATTAGCCACTATTGTTTCCAAGAAAGGTTCTTCTGGTGGTGGTGGAGATCGATCTGATAGAATAGTAGCAATGAAGCTTTTTTTGTAATGGATGATAATGGAATTGTAACCCCGCCTACGATAACAGTATACGATGACAGGGCACCAGCGAGGGATGATAGGTGATAATGAAAAATCAGATGAGTTAGCCCATCGTGATGAATACATCTGGAATTCAGCACTATGGTTTCCAGAGGTAATCACTGAAGGTCGACCTGGCAAGATATATTGCTAGCAATGGAACTGGTAGTCCGCATTACTAACAATTCCTTCGATGCTGGGCGTCTTAAATATGCATTTACTTCTAAAATGGTCCCTAACATACCTTGGCATCTAAAACACCTTTCAGTATTCTGGGTTGTACAAATTCTATTTCATCATCAATTGTCAATTTTTTGGGTCCTCTTTTTAACCATTTCTGTAACTGATCACTAGACAATATATCATTTTGAGCAGATGGTATCCACATCTGAAATTGGAAAAAAATAATTCAATTCTAATTAACATTAAAGCAAAATATATGTTTTTGCAACTCTTATAAACAGAACAGAAAAATGTTACGACGCGTTACATAGGAGGAAGGTAAAAACATTTCAAAATATGTGTTACTTAATGCTTAAATGTCCCTTACCAACATTTGAGAAAAGAAGAGAAAGCAGCAAAAGAAATATTACCAGTGGTGTATATGGAATAGATCTATAATAATAATAAAATCCATTTTCCTTCCTTCAAATAATGAATAAATATAAAAAAGAAAGTATTTTGAATACGTACAACTTTTTCTTGCGCTTCTGGTTTTGCATCATCAGGAGACCATGTGAAGTTTTGTGGCACATTACCAACTATGGACGGCTTTAATCCTAAACCTCTTCTACCCTTTTGAGTTGAAGCTTCTACAGGTTCTACACGACCATCTTCACGTTTACCTAAACCTCTTCCCGGCTTAAAACCCATGCTGCTCATAATTCGTTTTGATTTTTCTGAATAATTTTTTCCATATGAATCATCAACATCATTGAACTGATTCTTGTAAAACAAATTTTCATTTGTCTCTTGAAAACATACCGATGATTCTTCATTTTCATTATCAGTATTTTCGAAAGTAGGTCGATAATCATCATACTGGTCATTAGGTGAAGATCCAGTTTCACTGAGACTACTGCGACTACCTCTGATATTGTCATCCAGACTGGCTTCAGATGAATTAAACCGCTTAAGGGATTGCTCACGTCTTGAATATTTTGGATTGGAAATCTCCAATGGTTCGTCATCAGATTCTTGCAAAACTATAACAGACATATTTAGCGTGAGTTTCCATAAAATACAATATGAAACTATACCTAATTTTATCTATTCTATAAAACACATTTTCATATTTATGTGCACTTTATGGAGACTATTCTACTTCTAACTACTAACACTATATACATATAAAAAATAAATTAGGAATCATTTTCATCGTAATAATCGCATGGCAACACTCTCGACAGTCAATAGGAACATTTTATTCTCGTACGTGCCATTAATTTAATAATTGGAGGTAGAGAGAAAAAAGAGAGTTAGTGGTGTACGTTCTGTCAAACAAAAATATAAAAATTTTCCATTGTGGTTTTCAAATAATTAATAGGTGACGGAATTAGTTCCTTAAACTTGAGACATGTCGGAATATAGTACCGTTGTTATTGTGGATATAAATTACGCAAATAGTCAATTGGTTTATCGCTAAAAGGACACTTCAAGATTCGAACATCTATAAGAGAATTCAAGATCAAAACCCTATTCATAACATTTACAAGGTAATCTCAAGTAACGTTAGCATGCTTTAGGGAACTGAGAGATCTGAGTATAACTTAAAGCAATTTTCGAAAAAAAAAAAGGTAAGTTGACCATTGTTTAAACCTAGATAGTGACTTTTGTAACAGTTTACTGTTATTCCATTTTCGTGACGAATATATTTTTAAAATTTCTCGTACATACAGTCCACTCACACAGACTTTTTTATTCTCTTATTAAAAATTTTAATTCAATATCACAAAAATAATATGTGGGTCATTTCACTTTCTTTATCATTTATTAATTTTATTACATCAACGTACCTGATCCATGTGAAGTTGTAGATGAAGTACCATATGTATCAGCTCGCATGCGTTTCTTTGGTACTGGAGTCTCATCGACAGAATACTTCCGAATCATACTGGATTCATCTCTGCTAGAATCATCATCTCCAGAAGGATCTAATAATAATAATAATTTTGTGAGAATGCGTGATAATAATTAATAATACACAAAACACTAATACTATACAATTAAAACTGAAGCCTAAGCAGGCACCTAATAATAAACTGAAAAAATAATTTTATTTTTGTTCCATTTCCATTTACCAGTAACCCAAATAAATGATTTTACCAATCTCATAGAAGATATTTGTACCTATGTAAGGTTTTTTAAGGATATTATTGAATTGGTAACTCCGTCTGCACTATTGGGTGAAAGCAGACTAGTTAGTCGATTGTAACGATTCTACAAGAATTAGCCAAGATGGTTTTCAGAGCTGCGTGGAGGTCAACCTGATAGACTACATTGTTAGCAACGGGGCTAATATAACCCCATCACCAACAATTTCTTTCTCCTTCACCCCCCCTATGTAAGATTTATTGTCCCTCTTAAAACATCTCTAAAGCCTGGCTGCTGTTGCCAATCCGCCTGCCAAGCGTGGCAACTACTAGCAAAACCCCCCAAAGGGGACGCTTATATTCAGCAGAGAGCAGCTAAAGGCTGATTTGATAACCTAATATAAGGTTACGTATTAACACTGCATGCAACTTTTTTCATGTGTAAATTTTACACTTTGTTTTACTAGTTTTTACTCATAACTCTGCCCATATGATAATTAATAGCCTATATTATTCTTCATCCTACAAAATAAAGTCACTTTCACATTTATTATATTAGTAAAGATGCTTTCAAAGAGAAGTACAGAAAAACAGTTTATAAAGCCAACAATCCTAGGTATTATTTTAAAATTAAATGTCAAATAATCTATTCACTGTTTCTAAACAATATCTATTTTTGAACACCAAGCTTGCATTAAAATTTAGTATTAATAGTTATTGTTTTATGGATCTCTTTTTTGGCACTTCCTTGATTTTTAAAGTTGACAGATTGACCAAAAATTATGATGATGTAAATAATGCTTTGCTGCATCTCTTGAATTGGTTTACAACTAATAATCTCATGTTGAATGCTATATAAACAAAACGTAAATTATTCTCTTTCTAACTTCAATCGTAAATTTAAATAATGACCCTCTTTATTTTATAGATTGTATTTTATTGTTAGATTGAGTAGTGTCTCTTGAAATCACTACTAATAATAAATCACAATAGGGTATTCACATTCAAAACCTTGCAACTAAACTATGTGGCATATGCTGTAGGGTAGACTAATACTGAGATTGCTAGATTAGTTTATTTTAGTTACTTTCATAGTATACTGTCCTATAGAACATTATTATGTGGTGATGTATCTGACGACTAAGACATATTTGTATTACAAAAATATACAATTCACAAAATTTATTCTAGGAGTTATGAAATAACTAAGACAGAAATTTAAAGAAACAAATATTATCATTGCAGCTTCAAAATACATATATGCAAATCTTTCATATATAGGTAAGAATCTTCAACTGTTTTTTAAAAACAGCAATTGCAATAATCTTAACACTAGATACAAATTAAAAAACATGCTGTTCTGAAGTATCATGTTTAAATTTGTATTTGGTTAACAGATCTTTTACAGGATTTTTTTCCTGTAAAAGATCTATTAACCAAATACATATAAATGTTATAATAAGATTTTAATAAATTTAAAACTGTCATTATAAAACACTTTTTGAACAAAGCTTTTTTATGCACTAAACAATTGAATGACAAATGTGTATGGTGTACTTGATCATACAAAGGTTTTTAATAACCAATAATTTTAGACATAGTAAATTTAACAAATACATATAATGTTAACAGAGGTTTAAAATAATAACTGTTGAGTTTCTTACAGGCTTTTCTCAGCAGATAACAACTTTCCAAACCCAACATTCATAAAGTCCATAAGGCTAATGGGAGACTTTGTCTCCCTTTGTGTGTTCTACAGCTTGTATAATGAATTGTGTTCTGAGGAATTGGTTATATGATGCCTACAGCCACCCGACACTACCGATGATATACCAGACATCAGTTTGCAGGAGATCGAAATAGGTCTTAAACAACTTAAAAATTGCAAGGCACCGGAGGAGGACGGAATTACAGTAGAGCTTCTGAAAGCGAGTAGAAAACCTATACTTGTCTTCCTTCGGAAGCTATTTAAATTAGTCATCCATAATGGTATTATTTCCAACACAGAGCAGAAATGTGATAGTTCTGTTCTTTAAAAAGGGTCACCTTTCAGTACCCTATTGAAGAACTGTAGACCAATATCCCTTCCGAATCGCGTCTACATACCGTTTTCAAGAGTCTTAACCTTATCAAATTCGTCATCAAAGCGTAAACTCAACGACTTCCAACCACTCAAACAAACTGGATTTCATTAGGGCTTTAGCACCATATATCTACACTAAGGCAAATTATACAAAGGACAGAAGAGTATAACGTGCCACTATGTTTGGCATTTTTTGTCTATAAGAAAGCCTTTGATTCCATCCACACATAGACAGTATTACAGTCCCTGCAGCAGTGCCAGATTGACTATAGCTATATAGAAGTTATGAAATGTATGTACAGTAAGACTATCTGATGTCTATCCGGGTACAGAACCTGGTTACAAAACCCATTCCAATGCAAAAAGGTATAAGACAGGAAGACATCTTAACCCCGAAATTCTCCACAGACGCATTAAAATTGTTTTCAAACTCCTAGACTGGAAAAATATATGGTATTAACATCAATGATGAATACATCACACACCTTCAATTTGCAGATGACATAGTCATTATGGCAGAATCCCTGGAGGATTTGAATACTATACTCAATAACCTCAATAGTCCCTCTCAACAGGTAGGTCATAACTATGGACAAGAGTAAAATTATATCTAACATCCATGTCAAACCTATACTGGTCACAATTGAGAACACTATGCTCGAAGTTGTCGACAAGAATTTATGTATCTGGGACAAATTGTCTGATTAGGTATGGCCAACTTCAACAGAGAAGTCAACCAACAAATCAATCTTGGCTGAGCAGTGATGGGGAAACAATGTCACATATTCTCATCCAGAATACTTTAAAGTTTGGAGACGATACAGTGCAGTTTCAGAGAACTTTTCTCTGACAAACGCTCAAGCTGTGAAATGGACTCCCTGCCGAAGTTTTCCCTAGAAACTATTGTATGGTATTCTTAAAAAGAGGTTTAGCTTAAGCTTTCTTCAGGGTGGTAATGCGCATATGACAACCCTAGTATTTATTGCAAGCGACCATAGGCTATAGTGATTGTTTACCATCAGATGAGCTGCATGCTTGTTTGCCACCTTTGTAGTATAAAAAGTCATAAAAAAATAACATTTTAAACAAATCAATTTTAATAATGGTGATTTGAATTTGTTTAGGGCTATTTTAAAAAATAAATTAAATTGTTTGAGAATATAGGCAACTATACAATTTTATTATTACGTAGATACATTGTATTTTCTTTATATTTAGACCTCTCTCAATGAGAGACAATTTCTCATACAAAAGCTGCTTATTCTTTAATAGCATGAATAGCATATTTTAGTAAAATACAAATACTCTAAGTTGCTTTTCAATAAAATATATGCAACTTATTTCACAGTAGGTATGTAATGCATATTATCGTACTTACCTGAAAGATTCATTTTTTTTAATATTCGTCTAGAATGCTGAACACACAATCATAAATTATCACTGACAAAATTAAATTGAAATAAATAAAAAGAAAAATATTTATTATTCCAATAATAAATGGATAAAAAGCAAAGCAAAGAGTAAAATAGTGACGTATCGAGACAAACTAGCTGAAAAACTGACTCGAATACCACGGAATATAGAATCGTTTGATTCAAACGAAAATCAATCGTATACCTGTGTGAACTCATAACAAATACTCGAGTACTTAATACACCAGAAGAGTATATCTTAATATAAATGTATATTTTAATGTTAAGTTGGAAAACAAAATAAATTCATGTGAATTTATTTAGAAGATAAGGATAAGCAGTAACGCTGATTCTGAAGCGCAATTTCTCAAAACCTATCCCTTAATCTAATATTTTAATTTAATAGATTCGCGAAATTATTGTTTTATAGATCATCATAAACTATAAGAAAATTACATTATATTAGTCCTTTTGATATAGATTTCGCTGCGATGTCAATTTATAATTTTAAAGATAGTTATAGAGAAATGATTTCTCAAAATTAGCTCTATTCTATTTACGTAACCTATTTTGAAAATAAAAAATACATAGCTTTTATAACTATGTATTTTGCTTTAATTTAAATCATTTAATATTTCGCTACAAGTACATGAATAACAATTACATATGAAGGTATTGTAATATTTCTAAATATTCATTTCTATTAAAAGTTAATAAATTAAAAAAGTACTCAAGTCTGAAGAAATACTAAGTACTCATACAAGTACTACAACTTAATTACTTCTTATAAGGGTTCGAATACTTATTTGAGTTTTTATATACCAATCATAAGTCGATTCATAATAACTACTATATCATTAACAACAGACTTAACACATCACTACCAAAAATCGTGAATTCAATAAATAAATGACAATTAAACAGTATCGCCAGATGGTATTTTTTTTTTCTCCTAAAATATGAATTATATTATATACTATTATTTAAATAATATAAAAAATATATATTTCTGCGTAATTTTATGGATATTGATTTGAATCTATTTAGTTTAGATGCAAGGAAAATTAATTGATCCCCTGTTTTAGATTGCCTTAATATTATATTAATGATAAAGTTGTAACATTAAACAATCTTGTAATCTCTATGATGTTCATGCTTCTTTACACCGTATTAGGGTTAAACGTCAAGTTAAATATCATTTTTGCTCCTTGACTAGACGAAAACGAATAAAAATAAATTATGGCCAATTGTGATACAACCAAAAGGAAATATAAGAGGTCTTCAACAGAGTGTAATTTATTTTTTATCATTTAACCGTTAACTGTCGACTGCTGAACATAAGCCTTACCATTAAGAAGAGTTTTACCAGTAGTTGCTACGCTTGACAGGCGGGTTGGCAACCGCAATTAAGTTTTTAGAGATGTCATAAGAGAGATACTGCTGCCCATACCGCGACCATAAGTTCCCTTAGTCGCCTCTTATGACACCCACTGAAAAGGAAGGGATGGCCCATTCTACACCGTAACCGACACGACAATGTAGAATGTAGTTTAGTTACTGATAAAAAATTACGCGTAGTGATGATCCACGTCGCTATATACATAACTCCTTGAATGGTTGTTTGTTTTTTGTTTGTTTGTACAACTTTTTTATACAGTAAAATTTAAAATTATAGGATACTGTGTTCTTAAAAAAAGAATGAATACAATGGCAAACTTATCGCATAAAAGGAATTTCTTCCAGTTAGTTTCCAGTTTCAATAAATAAAATTAAACTAAAATGAGAAAATAATAGGTATTATAGTTACATGACTAATATTAGATGAGAATTGTAATTAGAAGAATCATATTAACAATTTGTGTATGTAAATTAACAAGTTTGTGTATGAACTTCGACGATTAAGAGCTAATTCAAGTATGAACACTGCCCTCACAGCTTATCATGGCTATACTTAGATATGGCATTTTATTATGGGATTACCCCATAACACTTATTGCACAAAACAAATGTGTACGAGCAATCTTTAATATACAGCCTAGGGATTCGTGTAGACGATACTTCAAGCAAACCAAAATACTTACAGTGACATCTATATATTATTGAAATTGCACTTTATGTTAGAAAACATCCAAAACTTTTTAAAAGTTGCAGAACACTCTAAATTTGGGAGTAGGGATCCCACTAAATTAATTATTCCGAAATGTAAATAAAACTTCTCTATATCAAAGGAACTGCTATTTTATGTCTATTAAAATTTATAATAAAATTCCCCAGCACTTCAAAAAATTACCAGTTAATTATTTTAAATCCCAATTACAAAAATGGCTTATTGACCATTGTTTCTATTCAATTAATGAATTTTTGAAATTAAAAGTGAAATAAGTAACTAATTAATATTATAATAATATTGTTGACACTAATCACAGACCTACTAATACGTATTAATATCAAATGAGATCAAGTACATTAATTGACATGAAATTATAATTGACATATTGTTTTTTATAAGAATTGTTAATTTAATATTTAATACCAATAACCATTATAAATATGTAAATACAAATACATAATCAAAGATACAGGAAAACTAAACTAGCGCAACTACAGAATAACTCGCAGTATTTTAAGACGGGATTTACTGATAGGAAATTCTCACATCTGTTGATAATGAGTTTCAAAGGAGTACAGTTTGAATCGTAAAGGATTTTGTAAATCATTGAATAGTATGGACAGGTAACTCTAAAATCAAGAACGGAGGCAATCATCAGTATCATGAAACCGTATTTTTTCACATGGGTATGTGGGAGATAAAGGGTTAAACAGGATTTGGTACAAGTTGATGAGATATTCTTACGAAGACGTATAAGGAGCCAAATAAGCTGCCTGCGATAAACCGAAACAACATATTTACGTAGACTGTAGATGAATCTGATACATAAATTTTGTAAGTGTTCTAGCTTACCAAGCAATTCTTCAGAGAGATTTAGAAAAACACTGTTGGTATAGTCTAACAGAGAAAGAAGAAGAGAACAAGCAAGAAGAAATTTAGTATTTAGAGGTAAAAAGAACTGAAGGCATTTGACTATGAAGAGTTAGACAAAGAACCTCCAGCTTATTTCATCAACGTGAGAACTCCAGGATAAAGTCTGATCCATAACTATTTCCAGGTTTTTTTACAGTGGTAATGAAAAAAATATGAATGACATTAAAAACAACATAAAGAAAGAAAACAAATCATAATCTGGAAATGAAGTACTAGCCTGTGACTTAGCTGCATTAATTACAAGACTAAAATTTTTAGACCACTTAACAATAACGCTAAAATCTTTATTAATGACATTAACAGCATAAGCAAGATTGTTGATAGAAGCAACAGCATCTAACTAAAGATCATGAGCGTATAAACGAAACAATGATGAGAGTGAAGCCATAATACTATTAATAAAAGTAGAAAAAGGATAGGAGATAGACCTCTACCCTGCGGTAAATCTACTATAACTGCAATCCAGTCAGATCATGCATCGTCCACCTTAACCAACTAACGTCGGCCAATCAAACAAGACGTGAATCAAGAGAGGCAGACATTGATGAATTCAGAGAGCCAAGCACAGCAAGCAGCAGGTTAAAATCAACTGAATTGAAAACACCAGTGTAGTCGAGAAGAACTAGAACAGTTAAGTCCCTATTTTCAATACTGTGTCTCATACCGTCAGTGATTGACAGGTGCCGAGACAGTGCTGTGAGCAGCTCGAGACCTTTACTGGTACTGACTTAAAAATCATTCTTGCTTATAAAATTGGACAAGAGTAGCAATTGTAAAAATGAGTAAAAATTGCATGTGTATAATTGTACTGTATTTGTTTACAACAGAAACATTGTTTGAAACAGTGAAATAAGTAAATTTACAAAACTTAAATATTTAAAATTTAAGTATAATTAAAATTGAGATTCTTCTGCAATTTTTTACCCAAAAGTGCAAATAATATACACTATCTAACACGCTGCGATTATTGACTTGGGCTACTTGGTATTAATTTTTGGGAGAGACTGTCTTAGTGTACTATGCCGCTATACCCGAGGTGGGTCGGCTGGCACCCGGGTGCTGGTACGCTTAAACGACGTAAATTTATCCCCCCTAGTACGACACTCTGTATACATTTAAATTGGCGCTCTGTATACATTAGGTATACGGAGCGCCAATTTAAGTAATTCTCAATCGACGAAGCAGGCGCTGACGAAGGATAAAAGACCACGTGCGTGAGCACTAATTATAACGACGAACACGATGAACACGATGACACGGCGGACATGACACACATGATGACTATAGTGAAGAAGCCGGGCAAAGGATGACACATAAAAGGGTGGCTTAAAAACTGAAAAGGGGTTACGGTGAACGGAGGCAATAAATGAAAACAACTATTGAATGATCTTGATGAGATAGTGAGGCAGGAGTACTAATTTGCTTTTATTTTTCTTCTGTTTTCTTCGGAGGATTTCTCCTACTATTATTGCCTGAGAGTGAAGTGACAAATGGCTCAACCAGCTCTATATTTATATTGGCCTATTCCAATTGGTCAGCAAACCTACGGCAAATTAGCAACCTCGCCTCCTTTATCTCAAACTATTGATTTTCTTAATTCTATCAAAATAGGTACAGTGTACAGTATGAAGCTTACGGCTAGTGGTAGGGCTATTTATTATATAATATAATGTATATTATTTACATGACGTATTAAACATATGTTTTACGCACTGTGCGGCGAGCAGTTTACGAATATTTGGCGAATTTTCCGATTCACAGTTTTCCTCCTCATATAAATATCGGCGGGGAAGCGGCGTGCGGCCTTATTATAGCAATTAAATTCTATTAAACTGTTGTATACATATACTTGATTTCTATCTATTCTATTTATTAACACAAAAAAAATACTACAAAACTATAACTATTGCCTTACCTACCTATTTCTATAAGTTTTTTAGGATATTAAGAAACGATCGGAAAAATGTTTAATATAAAACTATTTTACATTAATACTTATACTATGACTCGATATATTTTAATACAAACTATTTATAAACATTCATTTCAACACCGTACCTCACTGTTTAAACTATAAAAATACACTATTCGAAATTTCTATACAACATCAATCGGAACTATTAAATAGCGACTTGCGCTATTGCTATGCATGATTAGCTCACCGACGAATCGCGATTACTATTACTTCAGTATTTTCTATAAAATTTGCTGTCCTTTTCTGTTACTGTACTGTACTGATCTAACATTTTAACTGTTTCTATTCAATGCACTTTTATATACTACTACCTGACCCCGCGAACTTCGTACCGCCTAACAGTCGATTCATATATTTTTTAGTTTTTTAATACTTATTCTGCTAGCAGGGTCAGCTAGTAAGATAATAAACGATACTAACGTCACTCAATTGTTTTGCCTTCATGGAACCTTTCCACTAGATAACACTTGAATTTTATGGTATGGTATTGAAGTTCAAAGTTCAAAAGTTTATGACTTTTAAGTATTATTACGAATCCTTTGTATGGAAGTATAGAAGTGTTGGTTTTAAACATTTTCAGACAATTTTTAAAAAGTTTCTCTCCGTAAAAACCATCCTCGTACTTCAAGGAATATTCTAAAAAAAGAATTAGCAAAATCGATTCAGCTGTTCTCGACATTTACACTTAGCAACACATTGTTCAGCGCTTCATTCTTATATTATAGATTTCACTGTACTTTTTATGTATTACAAACAATTTTTTCTGTACTATAAAATATTTCACTATCGGATACTAATTATAAAAATAATAATATTACATAACATAATTGCTTTTTAATCAGTGGATGGGTTAAAAGTACTTTTCTGACATAAATAGTACCAAAACAGCGGTAGTGTGGAGTAACTAAGTAATCCTATTAGTAGCCAGACATATCGAAACCATCTACTTGTATGTAGGTAGTCATTAAAGAAATGAACAGAGATACTAGACTCTTTACTTTTAACAAAATACTTTATCTCAAAATTGATACGATTTCCTTTACGTTTACCCAATCACAAATAACACTACACACAACCCTTATGAGTATAAAATCATAAATATTACTTATATGTCTTGCCATATAACCACAAAAACGTACAAAAATAAAAGTAAACTCCCTTCACTATACTTAATTTCCCTTAACCTTTGTTTTAGTGCCATCCATAGCGTATTTTATTATTTTACTGCTCTATGGTTAACAAATACAATAAATTTAAAAAAGTACCCAAATTTCTCTAAGCCCATTTCACTTTTCTCCAAGAATTTCTTTTCTCCAAAATTTTACGTACGTTTAAATTTTTAACCATAATTACAAAAGTACCAATCTAGCAATGATGGAATAAAAACACAATAGTACTTTTGGTACCTAAGTTGCACACTTTACTTACACTACACTAAACTTCACTTAACTATAAAAGAACCCCGAGTACACTAGACGTATCAGTGGCTGTGATATGTCATAATATTCCTTCACACGCGTGAATATAGTATTATACAAGGTATCTTATGAGCTAAGTTAAGATAGAAATTACTTAGTGCTACATTTAAGCATAAGTTACATAGGTCTAGCGGCTTCCACCACAAATAGACTCTTGCCAAAATACTGCAGAATTTGTCAGTAAATTATGTAAATCGAACTTAATTTTCTACCAATATTTGATAAAATTTTATTACTAGCAACACTGTCACTATGAGTAAGGATTCCCATTAATCATTTCCACAGACGATATTATAGCCACGAACATAATAATAAAGCAAACTAAGCATAAGGGACTAAAAGGCACACCAAAATTTATACATCCACGTATACATATTCATTCAAACCAATAAAAATGCCGGGACGAATTTAGGATACATGATTGCATTAATGAACTAATTTTTTTAATATCTTTCATAACTTTAGCTTAACGAAATGTGACAACGAAGCAAATAATTTGCTTACGAATCTTATCTTGGGGGGTTTTTACTAATTGAGTATAGCTAGATCTAGATTTTTGTTTATTGAATTTATCAAGATGAATTAACTAAATTGCTTTCGTCTTCACTTATAACCTTTTACTAATTCCCCATCAGTATATACCGATAGCGCAAATAAATTTATTTATCAGTGTTCCCTCTTATAATATTCTGAGGATAAAATATGCTAATGCTAGATGTTATCCAACATCGATATCGATATCGATAATAAGTTCGAGCCTAACGAGGTGGGCAATATGTGTAGTACAGGCCACATATATTATTTATAGCAAATTCGAAATTGATACGCAGCTCTATTGTTTCCTTTTAGCTTGCCTTCATGGCCCTAGTTTTCTAAGTTCCTTTGACCATTATATATATATATTTCTAATTTCCATCCCTGGTTTTCTTTGACCTGACCTGGAGAGACCAAGGGTTTCGTCTGTGCAATACAGGATCAAGTGGTTAAGACGAACAATTACCGAAAGCACATTCTGAAGGATGACACTGAGGACATCTGTTAGGCATATCTTTTGTTAAAAAAATGTTCATCGGAACATGCAATTTAACATAAAACTTATATATTTCTTTTATCACATGATTCGCCTTTCTATTATCAAACTATAATATTTAATAAAAAATAATAATAATTATAGTAGTAATTATAACCCTATTCGTTTCTATTTTGATAATCAGAATGGCCAAACATAACGAGAAAAGGAAACTTGTTTTCTGTACATTGGTGAGATATCCCTGACAAAGTCGTGTTAGGTGGCTTGTATGAAGTGTGCTTTGTTATCTCCTAGTTATATACTGTGATATGGAAGTCACACAAGAATGGTTGTAAAGATTTTTACATTAAAATTTGAAATTCTTTTAAATACATACATACATATACATATCTGTCACGCCTGTCTCCCATTAGGGTAGGCAGAAACAATGGAACGCCAAATGCTTCGATTCAAACAAACCTCTTTCGCTTCTTCCACATTCATCAATCTTGTCATACACGCTCGTCGGTTACGGGTACTTTTAATTTGGCCCTTCTTCAGCACGTCGCCTATTTGGTCGACATACGTCCGTCTAGGGCGGCCCCTACCGACATCTCCATTCATTCAGAATTTGTTTCCCCAAATTCTTTTAAAATTTAATTAAAAATAGATTCTAGAGTAATATAATTTTTTTGGTGTTATAGGATTCCGTGTTAGTAATGTGAATTATGAATCTCTTGTCAGTTCAAACTCCACGTGGTCTTCCATGGAAACTATCGTGCTGAATTCCAGTTGTATTTACCATGAGTTAACTGACCTGCTTTTTCATTCTCATCTATCATTCCTCACTGGTGCCTCATCAGCGTATATAGTTTTTTAATTAATGATAATGAAATGGTAACCCCGCCCTCGTTAACGGTCTACGCTAATGGGGCACAAGTGAGAGATGATTAGTGATGATGAAAGCAGGTCAGTTAGTCCATCGTGAAGAATTCCACGATGGTTTCCAGGGGGGAACTGCGTGTAGGTCAACCTGATAGGGTGTATTGCTAGCATTGGGTCAGCTAGACCCCTCTACTAACAATTCTTTTTCCCCCCAGCATAAACTATGAGCGCAGACGAGTTACCATTTCATTATCATCTATAAAAAAAAACAGCCATAGTAGTGGCTGGTGGGTTAATAAAAAGATGATAATTTCTTCTAAGTTATAACCACACTTACTGACTGTGACTTTTAAAAAATTCATTAAAATAATAATTCTCAATAATTGTTCTGTATTGAATATGGATGAAAAGGATTATTAATAACTACAATAATAATTAAAATATCTTTATCAAATTGCTATTTATTACAAATTATATTTTATAACAAGTCTTGGCAGCAATTTGATGTCAAAAACATGAAATATTCCTAATGTATACAAAGGTACACATCAAATTATTCGTCAATTGCACCAAGTGTTCTTTTAATAATATACTGATGCATTTCCAAGTGTCCTTACACTTCCACTAAAAAGATCTTTCACTTCACTTAATTTCTTTAACATAGGCATCAAGCTCTGCGTCCAATTGTTCAGCAGTGGGAACAGGACGTTTGCCACGACCGGCCCCACCGCGCCCTCTACGTGCACCTCCTCCTCCACGACCACCACTGCCACCACTTTGGCTTGGTCTATTCCCTCCAGCACCTATATATGAAAATGTTATAATTAGTTGTGGCTCTTATGCATAGATATAAATAGTAATTTCAATTATGGCAATGCATGAGGGGCACCATGAGCATAAGAATGAATTTTATTAATCTCCATGCTGCTGCTTACATCTATAGGCAATAGTTACAACCTTAGATCGGATGTATGTTCAGCTAGTTTGCCATTCTAAATATCATCAAAAAACAAAGTACAAATCAAAATTTTAATTCATAATTTATGTATCTGGCAACCTTAAGGCAGATATATAAATTACAAATTGCATTCGGGTATTGGTCACCAATTTTAATAATGTGTTTTAAGATAATATATGCACTATTGCAAAATCAAAAAATGTCAGAAGTCATTTAAATCAGCTCAATGATAATTGTAAACAACCATCATCCAGTGACTACAATAATCATACAGTGTGGGGAAAACATTTACAAAACCAAAACATAACCAAGTAGCATAAATGTAAATAGACAAAGAACTGGGAGACAAATTTCCCTTTTGTATCAATGACATTCTTGCAGGTATTTGTAAATCCTATACTAACTTATCAACACAGGAAAACTAGTAAGTCTATAAAGCGGAAGTTTGGAACATTGGTTTATTTAGCATCCTTGATAAGATTTTTTGAAAATTTCAACTTAAAACAATACATATTAAAGGACATATGTAACAAGTAGTTAATTTATATATTAACTTAGAAATATAATTATGTCTACAAACTTAATGTTTTTAGACATATATAGTTGCATCTCATAACAATCTCATACACCTTATACATTTGCACATACCTCTATTTAAATTTCGCCTCATTGGGCCACCTCCACCACCCATTCGACCTCTATCTTCATTTCGGAAGCCACTAATTTCTGATGTAGCCAATTGTATGTTCATTGCCCGTCCATCTAATGGTACTCCATTGTATTGTTTCATAGCCTTTAAAGCATCTGCTCTTCTTTCGAAAACAACATCAGCAGTTCCTAAAAATAAAGATAATTAATATTTTAAGACTATATATACATAAAAAAACTGATTGATTATATTATACTAATATTTTATTCAAAGTGAGCACTTTATTTACCAGTGACGAGTTTACTTGGCACTGCACTAGCATGTAGGCATGTCCTCCTGCCACAACTATTTATTACATTATTCAATTACAAATTATTTCATGACCAAAAAATCACTTTTCTTTGTAATTAGATTTTTATTACAATTTTAGTTTAATTCTAAAGATTACAACCATGAGTGAATTCTCAGTTAGCAAAGTGTTATTTTACATCATTCAATATACAGTGCACTAAATTTAAGTGTGCTTAATTTGACCGATTACATTAGATAAACATTCAGATTTTCTCCATGCCACAGTATAGGAAAAAAATGAAATTTCTTAAAAAATGGCTAAAATTTTTAAATTTTTTGTTTTGCTATAATATTGTAAACTTTAAAGTAAGACAAAATTTATAAATTTTGTCTTACTTTAAAGTTTAATGACAAAAAATGTTTACAATTATACTGTAACAATAAATATTAGGCACTGAGAGCTGGCAGGTGTGCTAGGGTAGCTAAATAAGAGCATTATGACAAAGCAATATTTAGGTTCAGTATATATATAAAAGGTTATAAAGGTAAGGTTAGGTTTAGTATATATAAAAGTATAACTTCACATTTTCCTGAAAGCTCGCATATATAAATATATATTACACAAAATCTAGTATAAATACTCTACAAGTATTATACATATAAGTTCATTAGAAATGCAGTACAAAAAGGATACACAGACTAGAGAAGATAATGTTCACAAACTGATATTATGAATGTGAGTAGATATAAGTATAGAAATTTAAACATATGCTTACCCAAAGATCTACCAGATCTATCATAATGAACAGCAGCACTTTTAAGAATGCCAAACTCCGAAAAAAGTTCTTGAATATCAGAATCTGAGACCCCAAAGTCCAAATTAGAGACTAACAACTTTGTAGGACCAGTTGTGATAGGACCACTTCTTTGAATCTTCTTGTCACCAAAGTCACTGAACATGTCATGTTTCCATGTGCTGTTTACATCACCCTGAAATAGGTCGTCCTTCATAGAGCAAGCCAACCGGCCACTCCAAGGCTCTTTGAGTATGATTACACTCAAAATGCATGGTAAACACTTTTCATATAACTTTCATTATTTTACTACTATTTAAAAACATTTTTTTTTTTTTTATAAATTACAATAAATTCTATACAAGACAATAAACATTTAATATCTTCAAATAAAAGTCCATTATAATACTAGTTCCACACCAATCACACAGCACTGATACTATATCCATATGGAAAACAAGGTGTATTGTTTACAGTTCAACATTTCACACATTGTTGTGTAAACACTACATGTGGAGCATCTTGATCCAGAGACAGCAGTTAACAGGCCAACTATGAATTGATATGTCTGTAAGATCTGCTACTTAAACCGGAATCTCCTCAAGTTCTGCACAACTTGGCATAGATGGCTGGTTCCAAAGCACAACCAGACGGCTTTTTTACGTAAAATTGCTTACAAACGCCAGACATCTGGCCAATGCCAGCGGAAGGCAAAATTCCCACTGCCGCCACACGAACATCATAACATACTATTTAATTACCAATTTTAGATACTCCCAAAGGTTAAGTTGAAAAGGCTGTAAGTAGAACTAACAATATTGGAAATTGCAACGTTGAAATTGAATACGAGGGCATATAGATGTAGTTTCATAAACTTTACTTCCAAAAACTACGCCGTCATTGGAGATTTTCGGCAGTTCGGATCGTAAATTGTTGAACCTAATAAATACAGTGATGCGTCACTGTACCACGTTTGTCCGCCATTTGCAATTATTTATTCAGCTAATTATTGGATTTACCCTAGTATAATTCGTTGGTTTGGTTATGCTGCCGCGATTCCTGCCCCGTAGCACACCACCAGGGCGACCATTACGGAAATTTCCACGGCCAGGTCTTCTATTTGAATCAAATTTTCTCCCTGCACCACCTCCACCTCTGCCCTTTTTACTAGCTTTTATTATGTCGTCTAAAGCCATATCGATACGGTCAACCATTTTAAAGTTTATGTTAAAATAATTTTCTTATACAACAGGAAAAATGTAGAACAATGCAGATATTTAAAACAAAATTGAAAAGACACTAGCAAGATGAACACGAAGGAATAATATAATATAGTTACAAGATGGCGACGCCGCGACAAGTTTTTTTTTTTAATTTTTCCACAGAACAAATAATGAGTATATTTGCTAAGTACAAAAAACTACATAGAAGGAATGATAAAAACAATATAGAAAATGTTATACAGCCGTATAACCGTATCCAATTCAAATACAATCTGCTTGCATACTTTCTACATAAACTGTGTGGAATATATAATCTAGTAATTGAAAATTTATCATTAACTAATAATTGACATATCAAATATTTTCTGTACACTAGCCTGCTATGAATTGACAAAAATAGCAACTGATGGTGTATCTTTCGTCCTCTTTTTACTAATTATATTTGCATAAGAAGCAAGGAGCCAAACATATTATTTACAGTTTATATTTTACTATTCCTTCTATGTTATTCCTTGTTCTTAGTATATTTGCATTACAAAGGACTAGTGTTGTCTATTTACCACTAACAAACGCCAAATGTGACGGGATCTTAAAAAAGAGTTATAAAGGCTGATTTAAAATATTAGTGATAATTATAGTTTAATGTTATTATAAGAAATCAGAGTGACAAATAAAGGTAGTTAAGGAGTTATAGATCAAAGGGGCATAAAATGGATATAGGAAAATCCTAGATAACAGCAAATTCCTGTAAGAACCTGTTAACGCATCTGTATTAAAAAAGCTGGACAGTAGACAAGCTAAGGCATTAAGGAATAAATCTGGTGGCATAAAGTCTAACCCATTTAATGCGTTGCAAGTAGAATGTTGTAAACCTCTTCTATTCTTAAAATGTCAATATATGTCCGATAAATTTTTATTTCGTGTTTTACAGTTTTGGAACCATCCATTGATTCCCAAACTGCAACTGATTTGTGATCTTATTTTGTTTTCATTATATTGGTCTCATAAATTCCCACCTTATTTATTAAAGAATTTCAAATCATTTACGGCTATACAAGCCCTCACACATCGTTCAAACCATCTTCCCATATTCAGTTCGTCATATGAGTCTTTAAATCTTATATCTAATATTAATTTTGACATTAACATCGGAAAAAAATATCTTATCGTAAATATAATTTTTAATAAAGCTATGAACTTCAAATGGGTGTTCTTTAATAAAATTTATTGAGACGCATCTAAACAAAAAACCACTAATGACGACAACAACAAAATAAAACGCCAGCAAACACATTAATTTCTTAATTATTTACCTTCATCGTAACTAGCAATTGGTATAAATACATTTTAACTAAAATTTTATTTACTCCTTTCGTTACTACTGTTTTGATTATTAAATGTAATTATTCAATAGTTTTATTTATTTAAATCTGACAGGTGATCTATTTTATATTTTTCTTCCGATCTGTCCCACAGATGTCTTATTGGTCTTCGACCGTAGATAATCAAGATACACAACAATTACTATCCAAAATTGCTAATTTTTACTCAATTGAAATTGGCAATACTCTTGCTAATTGACAAAAAAATTGATATTTCAACAATCGGATCGACTCGGCTATGTTCGGGTCGACTTGTACATTAACGACTACTAATGAATGAAATTAGTAGTTGAATAATATTAGTTGTTAGACAACATTAGTATTCGATTGACATTAGTACTCGGATAAATAAAATTAATAATCAAACAATTTGAAAAGCATTTGAATAATCCGATTGATTTACTCAGTTGAATAATTAGTAGTCGGATTAATAAAGTTTCCCATCACTATTCTACAGACATAGTCTTTTTAATTTGTTTCTCTAAACTCTAATCTGTAAAATAAAGTATACGGAATAGATTTGGGATGTTATTTATAGTCTCTGTAATCTGTGATGTTATTTCCTTCGTCCTTTTTTTTAAATAACTTCTCATTGGAAATTTATAAAACAAGACATCCATACGTATACATTAAACAAAGACTTTTAAAACCTATAAGTATTTTGTGACTAATGAAGAAGATATGGCGGCTCCGCCTTATTATAACGCGGATATAGAAAATACATTACTGAAAATTAGGCTGTATGGCTCAGTACCTTTGCCTTTCCCTGAGTGGGGGGGGGGGGATAGATTAAATTACTACTACTACTTCTTTGTATTTATATTTTGTAAGTTTAAAATTAACAATTTATTTTAATATGGCCCTAAATAAATTCATGCACCCTCGTAATATATATAGAACCCCTCCAGATTTCGGAAAATTAGCGAAGTTATATCCGGAATTTAATAATATTTCGAAAATGGTAAATAGTTATTTTATGTTTTGTGTTTATTCAATAATATTATTTTCTATTTATGCTTTCATTAGTCATTTTATTTATAATTCAAGTACGTTATGAGACTATAGTAAATACTCACATAGTAGAATTTTCTGTCGCCTATATCAACTTATATAGAGATTGGAATACCCAGTTATATCAGTTTATCAAATTCTACAAATTTATATTTCACAATGTCATTATCATAATTTATAATTGTTTTTGAAATTATACATAATTGTTAGCAATCTTGGTATATCTGTCTATATGTATAAAATAAGGCAATTGTTATAAAAAAGCTTTTTGTTTTTATATATTATATTTTGTAATTGGCTATTACTCACGGTTATGTTCCCGTGATCAGTGTGTGTGTGAATTTGTCCTTCTCTGTTCGTTATAGGCTGTTAAGATATCAAGAGGTAACATACAAACACGAAATTGAGTTTATTTGTATATTACACTTAACCAACCCAAAATCTTGACACCTTACCAACCCAAAATTTTTCCACTGACATATTTTTGACTATTTATTTTTAAACAACCAATTTAAAAAAAAATATTAAATATAAAAAAATAGCCAGTCAAGTGCGAGTCGGACTCACGCAATGAAGGTCCCGTACAGAATCATCAAGTTAAAATTTTTATTTTGTGAATTAATTACAAATTTATGGTTTTCTGATTTTTTCCTTTACTTGTACTACATGACATTGCTTCTTACCAACTTTAATTATTCTTGTTTAACGAGAAGTACTTTATAGGTTTTAATTCCCTTTGCCAAAGTTAAAATATGCTATATAAATGGAACATAAATGGCTGTATCTTTAGATTGCGTTGATTTAGAAGCTTGATTTTTTCACTGTTCTAAGAGATTGCAGTCCTGAGTATATGATATTAATTTCAACTTGATACCTCCATGCATTCTTAAGAAAAATAGTCTTGATAGACAGGCAGACAACAAAGTGATCCCATAAGGGTTCTGTTTTTCCTTTGGTGGTATGGAACCCTATAAAAGCAGTTTATAGACAACAATTCCTTTCTAAATAATCTTTCTCTCTAAATACCTCATTAATGTCTTAATGTGAAAATAAGTAAATGATTGTCTTTTGACTGCAATTTTTTTAATGCAAATCAATTTCAGGATGTAACTGGTAAAGTGTCTATTGATTTCAAAGATCCTAATGCACTCAAAGTCTTGACAAAATGTTTACTCAAAAATGATTTTGATCTTGATGTAGATATACCCGAAGACAGATTAGTTCCCACACTGCCATTGAGATTAAACTATATATTATGGATTGAAGACCTTTTAAATGCAATAGAAAAGATTAATAACATATGGGGTTTAGATATTGGTAAGTTACTTATAAATTCTATTACTTGGCATTGAGATTTCAAATATATTTGTTTATGTTATTTCTAATTTCAGGAACAGGAGCCTGTGCTGTATATCCTTTATTAGCTGCTAGAAAAAATAAATGGCATATGATCGGCACTGAGACAGATGATATCAGTTTTCAAAAAGCTGAAGAGAATGTGAAAAGAAATCATTTGCAAGACTTAATTGAAGGTTTGCTTGTATCTTATTAATCTTACAGCATTGATTGTTCACTTGTTTCGTATTTTTTTTTATTATACTATGAAGGTGGCAAATAAGTATCTAATGGTAAACAGTTTTTTTTTTTTAAGAATCCCATACTATAGTCTATATGAAAAGTCTCAGCATCCCTGCTTATTCTACAGCCTCAGTGTTCACATGAGAAAAGTTCTCTGAAAGTGTACCATATGCTAGCATTTAAGTTCTAACATGTCACAATAAATTCCTTGTGTAATATTGTTACCTCATTGGAAAGTTATTACATAAATATCAATATGATGCCTATGGCCATTTTCTATCATCGTATGGCTCTCCATCGACAGGGAGTTTACCCTCATACTTTACAGCCTACATGGTCGCGTACAACGCGGTTTCAGGTGTGTTTTTCCCACAAACACTCAGGTTATGGAATGAGGTCCCTGCTGAGGTTTTCCTAAGAGACTACAGCATGGGGTTCTTCAAAACCCCCCAGGAAAGAGGTTTCTTCAGGGTTGGCAACGCGCGCGTAATACCTCTGGTATTGCAGGCGGTAGGATACGGTAATGGCTTACCATCAGTTAGGATGTCAAGCACACTCTATTGTTATTATTTGCAAAAAAATCTGCATATAGTCCTTGATTAATTACAGATATAGTAGGAAAAAATGTTATTAAGTCCTTTGTACACATATGTCTATTGATTCAACACAATTTATTTTTAGTGAGAAAAAATTTAACGTCTTCTGTCATCGAACAATTATTTGAGGATGAATTCAAGCAAGTATTTGACTTTAGCATGTGCAATCCACCTTTCTATAGTAGTGTTCAAGAACTGTGCGAATCTCGAAGTCCTGCCAGGTAATTTGTATGATTTGAAAATAATCTGATATTTTATATAATCCTCAACTGCAGTTTCATACTCAATATTTAAAATAATAAATAAATAAATTTTTATTATTTATTTATTAAAACTGAATGTGACTTGTCTCTATAATTGCACATGATCATAGGTATGTGTTTTTTTTCTTTAATCAATGATGATGGAATTGTATATTGATATCATAGGCTAGGTGCCTATGATATTAATATATGCTGGTGGGGTACCAGTGAGTGATGGTAGGTGACGATGATTGTTAATCACATTGGTTTCCAGGGAAAATCATGTGGATGTTGATCTGATAGAGTATATTGCTAGTAATGGAGTAGTTAGACTTAGTAAAGTAGTTAGATTACTAATAATTCTTTGCTTCCTCAAAGTAGATACTTTACACTATATTTCTTTGCAGACTTCCACCTAAAAATGGATTCACAGGATCTCCTCAAGAGCTTATTACTGAAGGTGGAGAATTACAATTTTGCAGAAAATATTTAAAAGAAAGTAAAATTTACAAAGATAAAGTACTGTAAGTGTTACATATTATATTATTTTTATTTTCTAGTAATAAATAACATTTGCCTATAGGAATATTGGTAATCAAAAAAATACTGTAGCAAGGGGTAATGAATTGATTGTATTTCTAGAAAATCTTTTTGTTCCAAAAAGAACATTTTGTTTTTGGTATGTATATATATGTATAGATCAGCAAGTTTATTTGTCTTTGTTGATACAGCATATAATAAGTATTGGCTGCAAGTTTTACTGTGAAAATAAACCACAGCTTTGGAATGCCCCAGATTTTGCAAATTTTAATATTGTTTTGCAATTGATACATACCTTGTTTTTTTATGGCAAAATGCACTTGCACACTGAGAAATTTCCTTAACATTTCAGTATTTATACGACAATGGTTGGTCACAAATACAATTTGAAGGAATTACTACAGGATCTCAAATTGGAAGGCATAACACATACGTACACAGAGTTCTGCCAAGGGCGTGTGACACGATGGGGGTTAGCTTGGACTTATCAAGATTTTGATATCTTTCAATTAGGTAAGATTTTCATCATCATATTAGCCGTTAACTGCCTCTGCCACAGAAACCTAGGCCTCCCCCATAAGGCTGTTTAGGCAGTAGTTGCCATACTTCGCAGGTGGCTTGACAACCGTAATTAGATTTTTAAATAAATGCTGCTGCCGATCCGTCGACCATTAAGTTCACTTAGTCATTTCTTATGACGCTCACAGGAAAGGAAGCGTAGGTTAAATTTATAACTGTATTATTTTCAAATTACCTATACCAAAAGCTTCAAAAATATAGTAAAAATGTTTCTTTAGTGTCGGCAATGCGCGCGTAATGTACCTGGGGTTGCATGTGTGCAGGCGTTTACAGTACGATAACTGCATGCGGTCCTCCTAGAACCCATTATAGCTAATTTCTAGTGAATGTGTCACACCACATCATACATATTTATAGCAATATTCAGAGGATAGTTATAGTCGTATGTCATCATAATATATACCTATACTTACACTCCCCTCTATCTCCCTCCGAAACCTCCTTAGAGGAACCTCCTTACCATATACCAGATTTAAAATAGACTTTCAGGGATAAAACTATGAAAACCACATTTGGCGTAATAGTTTTTACATGATGCTGAAACCAACATACAAACAAAGTTTCTACAAATTAATGGTTTGGCATTTATTGTTCTTATTAATACTTCCCATATATAGTCTAATTACAGTTTATTACATATATTCATCGCAATAAAATTTGTATTTTTAGTGCCACCAAGAGACCAGCCGCGTAAGAAGCACGCGCCTATTGTGTACTTATTACCTCAAATACCTAACATCCCTTACAATGTGGATAATGTAATAAATAAATTGATAATTATTTTAAATACCTTAAACATATATCACAAGGTACTTAATAAAAGGGGTAATAATATAATATTGGATGTAACTGCGACAACAAATACCTGGTCAAACCAAAGGCGGAAAAGAAGACTTATGAAAAAATTAGAAACAAATGACTGCAAAAAGACAAAAATAGATCATACAGAATATACAACATCTAGTACAGAAGACAGTAATAGTAATGAAACTCTTAATGAAACGAATCATTTTGAAAAATCAATCCATGCCACTCTTAAAGACGAAGATAACGACTTGAAACCTCATACATCATCTAATGATAAAGAAACTGTTCCAGTCATAGAACCAATAGTACACGCAATATTAAAAGTATTAAAAAAAGAAAATGATATACTCATGGAAATGGAATATTTAGATGGAAGCGCAGGAAAGGAGGGTCTACATCAAATAGTACAATATATAAAAAATAACTGGAAATAATTTTGATTGTTTTATTCTTGAATGTTAATAAATTTTACTATAAATGTGAAATTTATTACAATTATATGTGAATAACCAAATTCTAAAGGAAAGAGCTCTCTTTTTTTGATATCCGCCTACACTATCAGTTAAACAAGTGAAGTACAAGTGACTGAGTTCTATCCTCACAACAGTAACAAATAAGTAAGATGATGAAATATTGCTATTTTGGTTTATTTTCTTTTTTCAATTTTGTAGTCATTTTTACTTTAGGTAGGTATAGTTAATGATAAAAAAGATTGTAATATTTATTTTTATGTTACAAGAGAAGGCAACATTAATAGTCTATGAAAGTTTGAGTTGTTCCGTTCGATTATGGTTGATATTGCAGAGCAAGTAATCACGTTGATATAACAAAAGTTTATTTCATAAGTGGCACCTCTATGGACAAAATTAAGTAATTGCTCAATTAATGGATATACTTAATGTAATAATAACTACAAAGTTTGTTGATTAAAGTATTAAATTGTTAGTTTGTTGAATAAAGAATCTATCGCATCATTTAATTTGTAAGTTACTGCATTGAGGATCGAACTCGATGTAATCCAACTGAGCGTAATGTTATGAGGTCGATTATAATGAGTTTTCATACAAATACAATACAATACAATAACTGGCTATTCATAAATATCCGGATAATCAAGTTATTAAAATTTTATTCATTGTTAATCATTCCTCATTGACTCATCGCCAGCACAGTATAGAACACGCCAAAGATAAGACACTAGGAAATATGCAAGGATAAGAGACAGAAGCAAGCGATGCTTGTGTGTGTGTAGGTCACTTCTCGCTAGTCATATACACGTCGCATTGGAATAATCTGGTTGATGATGGCTCGATCAGTGCCACAAACCGAAGGATTTAGGATTTACATCTGTTTGATCTAAATTTTCTAAACAACTATACAACTTGGACAAATAATAAAAAAAATTACAAACAAGTCTTTTCTTAATTATCCTAAACTTGACTAGGTTATTTGATAATAATACATATTAAAATATATTTATTTTAAAAAATAGTCCAGTTATAAATTCAGTTACAAAAAAAAATGCATTTTTGTTTTTATTTATTTATTTTTTATCCAAAGCACAAAATACATATGTAATTGGAATTATGAAGTAATGTAATATTACTGAAATTTATACCTACAACCAATTTGTACAAATTTATTAGTCTCAGCAAAAAATAAATATTCCATTCTAAATGGCCACTTTTGGTTTTTATACAGGCTTAAGAGAAATAGGTTTATAAAAAAAAAATGCTTAATACTGTAGTTCTCTTTTATCACGTCTTCATCAGTCGGAAATAGACTATGTCAGAATTATAAAAATAAGTTTTATAGTGTAAATACTTCTTGGTAGTTGTTTTTATTGTACCTGTCTGTTACTGAAATGACACCTTAATAAAATTGTCTTGCTACTAAAAACATCACTCGATTCCTATTATTTTTTTCCTCTTTTTTTTACAACACGGGGCAAACGAGCATGCGGCTCACCTGATGGTAAGTGACTACCGTCGCCCATGATCACCCACAACACCAGCGGCAGGTGTGCTGCCGGCCTTTTAAAAAGGATTATACTCTGATATTTAGCGCAAACTCTATATATAAAAATAAGAATATAGAAAATCAGTGTAAAAAAAAATATAAAAGACGGATTATGATGGTCAGTAACATAAAAAGCGTATTATAATGGCCAGTAATACGCCACAAGGTCTTTAATCTATCTAGCCACGAATGTATATCCATATCCATTGGAATCTTGCGTAAATCCTTACGCCAGATTCCAAGGGAAATTTCGCCACTGCTTGCTCCAAAGACTTTTTAAGAGACTCAATGTTAGCGTATCGTTTAGAGAAAGCCATGCCTTCTAAATTTGACCATAACTTGAAATCACTATCAAGATTTTTACAATGATTTTATATAAAATGCATCTTTTTAAAAAAAAATAACTGGTTAAATTAAAAAAATATTTTTATAAGAAATTAGCTATTTTTCGCAGCTTCGCCTACATGAACTGGTATATTGAGTATGAGCATGAATGTATTAAATTGGGGTATAATTTTATTCAAATCCGTATATCAGTTAAAGTATATAGAATAGTATATCTACGTTATACTAAATATATGTATACTTATAAATATATGTATGTATACTTACTATAACGTAGATATATATACTATTATGTAATTATAATTAGAAAAAAAAAATTATCTGGCAATCGTGCTTAAATGTTAAAATTTATAAATAAATTTTTTTTTTCTTATTTTTAGTATACATTTTAAATTTGCAAAATTTTGGAATAAAGAAATAAAGCGAGTGTATATAAATTTACCAAATTGTTTTTACCATATTTTAATATTTTTAAATGAAGACTATACATAGTCAGCATTAAGAATGCCTTTTATTCCATCGGTCATGTCGTTATAAAATCGTATGAATATGCAAAAAAAACTATAAAATTTTGGGTAGAAATTAAAAATCACATCTGGCAATGCTGCCAGCGTCTTGATTGTTTTTGCAACTCAAGTCAAGTACTTGTATCCATTATCATGAATAAATTTAAAAAAACTTATTTTTTGTAGATAAATTTTGTTGTAATTAATTTTTTTCATATGTTACTGATTCTAACAAGATAATTTAGTAGTATAAATTTATTATAGTGGTTTAAATGCTATATAAATTACTATAATTAAAGAATTCCGACAGTGATAGACAAAATGGAATCGGAATCGAATCAATCTGAGCAACAACCAGAATCTCAGCAATTGGAGGATGCTGCAGCGATAAATAAGTCAGTACAAGATATCTCTTTAGCTAACCCGCCTTTAGCTACCACAACTATCGAGACTAGTACTATGGTGATACCAGGAGCTGTGAAAGAACTTCATAAACCGTGCCCAAGGAAACCTAAAAAACGAAAACCCAAAGTGCCCCGTGATGTTACAGCACCTAGACAGCCGTTAACAGGTGAATACATTTGTATGATTTTTTGCATATTGCTAGTATATTATATTTTATTCTATTATTTAGTTGAACTATTTTTTGACAATATTTCTGGTATTTTCTCAAGAATCCTCAATTCTTCTTATAGGGTTTACTCCTATTGATCAATTTTGTTTAAATTTTAGTTTAATAATGGTTGTAGTTGTGTTTTGTTTACAGAACAAAAAAATTTTTGTGTTGTAGCAAAATATGTTTACAATATAAGGTGTGTATAAAACAAGTTGATGTAATATTAACCCTCCCTTCACAATTGAAGTAACTTTTTTGTAGAGCAATATATACTTGTAACATACTTTTTATTCCATTTTATTAAGAGTATGATTGTATGTATTATTTCAGGATATGTGAGATACTTAAATGAACGCCGTGATCAGTTACGTGCTGAGCAACCTGACTTAGGGTTTGCAGAGTTAACTCGACAGCTAGCCAGTGAATGGAGCAAACTTCCAGCTGAAGAAAAACAACAATATTTAGATGCTGCTGACCAAGACAAAGAAAGGTTTGTTTCTTTGTGATTAAGAATTTAACATTTGGTATAGTGTCCAAAGTATAAATATTTGTGTGGCTTGCAGTGTGTTATTTGACCTATCACAAACATGAAAATTTTCTTTTATAAAATTATTTTAGAAGAAATTTATTACTTTTTATTCTAAAAATTTAAGTATTTATTTCTGAGGCCCCTGATCTATTTTGTGTTGATAGTCGATATTACTTATTTCTTCAATGTTTATATACAAGTAATGCTAATTCAATCCTCTTAAGTGTTAATTGTATACTATAAACATAAGCAACACCATGAAGAGCACAGAATACACTGCAATACCCATAGTATTTCTAACATGTTGTAAATATATCTAGGAATGGCAATAGTTCTTTTTGGGTATAGTCCTAAATTTCATATCAGAATGTTCACTTATGCATTCATTTATAATCTCTGAAACAGTCATCTGACTTTTTTCTCCAACTTGAGACAGAATAGTATTTATCCTAATGAGAAAAATGGATTTGGTTGTTCACACCCGTGATTATATGGGGTTAAACAATTATTGCCAGATCTTCAATTTGGACATGCAAAAATCAGGGTTAGTTTTGAAAAATAGTTCAACCATAATCATATCTATTCTAGGGAGCTTTCTACTATCATCTTTAATCAATTTGAACTCCATTGTACTTTATATGATCATTTAAAATAATTTTTCACTTTTTGTCACTAAAAGATAAGAATATTAATACTATATTATATATATATATATATATATATATATATATATATATATATATATATATATATATATATATATATATATATATATATATATATATATATATATATATATATATATATATATATATTATATAATGAGGAAACATACTGATGAATCATACAAAATTTCCAGTGACATTCACTGTAAACAAGCAGGTGACGGCACTCCAGATTCAGCCAATCCTGTGTTTTTGATCATGTGGTCAAACATAAATTTTCCATTATTTTATTAATGATTTTTTATAAAATCCATACTTATTTTAAAATTATGTGGTGGCTACATTGGTTTAAAAAATATTTACTCTTAAATTAACAATAGTTTGATCTATATTTTCATTGAAGTTAAATACTCTATTAATATTATAAATGTCAAAGTTTGGGAATTTTGAAAGTTATATCATCATACTTATGCGCTGAACAGATTTGAAAGAGATTTTGTACACATATGTCTTTAATTTATTCAAAATATTTTATAATTGTAATGCACACAAGCAAAGCAGTCTGTTATCTATGCAACTACCATATAAACTCCCACTAGATAATTATTTTATTGAATTTGATATTATTCTCTTCCCTTATTATTTATGAATTAACTTTTTTGTAAAGTTAATATTTTTTTAAAGGTACATCCGTGAATGGGCAGAATACAAGAAAACTGATGCATACAAAGAATTTAGACGACAACAAATGGAACAGAAAGAGTCAAGCAGTTTATCTAAGAAAACTAAACATAATTCAGCACAAGATACTACAGTAGCTACTCCAAGTAAATTATTATTAAAATTATCATTTACAAAATTATAAATATGAGGTCTGTCCGGAAAGTTCGTATAAAAGTGTTCTGGAATGCGAGAAAGAGGAGTGGGGAGGCCAGGTAAGCGCAGGACCCCTTCCTTATGTCCCTAACAATGCTTCAGTTCTGGTCTGACCGCCGTGCGGTGCGAACTGGCTTGTCACGCCATCTGTGAAGTTACCTCTTAACGAAACCCCGTCGGCATGGAGCCCGCTTCCGTTGAAGAGCAGCGCGTCGTAATCAAGTTTCTCTCGAAACTCGGCAAGAATGGCCGTGAAATTTTTGCCGATCTCAGAACAGTTTATGGGGATGATGCTGTGAAGGAACCAACCGTCCACAAGTGGCTAAAAAGATTCAGAGAGGGCCGAGACAATGTTGATTGTTTTTTTCGATGTTCGGGGGATTGTCCATCAAGAATTCGTCCCTCCAGGCCAGACAGTTGATGGAAAATTCTACGTCGATGTGCTCAGACGCCTCAAAGCTCGTGTGGCACGAGTTCGTCCAGAATTGGCGCGAGAGGGGCGTTGGATTCTTCACCACGACAATGCCCCTGCCCACACCTCTCTTGTTGTCCGTGAGTTTTTGAGTAAAAATTCCATTACGGTGACCGAACACCCCCCTATTCGCCGGATTTGGCCCCGTGTGACTTCTTCTTGTTCCCAAAAACCAAATTGGTACTTCGGGGGCGGCATTTGGGGGACATAAATGAGATAAAAAAAGCTACGACGGGGCAGCTGAGAAACCTACAACCAGAGGACTTTCAAGGAGCCTTCTCACAGTGGAAACGGCGTTGGCACAAGTGCATTATGTCACAGGGGGAGTACTTTGAAGGGGATAAAATTGATTTACCTGAATAATTGTAAAATAAAATTTTTAAAAAACTTTTATACGTACTTTCCGGACAAACCTCGTATATTCAGTTTATCACAAACAGCCTAGATTCTGTAAACATTTATTGAACACAAAAAAAGCTATCATAAATGGATTATTTATCTGAAAAATATAGGTATATAGGTATAGTCAGTTAAAAGATATATATATATATATATATATATATATATATATATATATAAATATATATATATATAATATATATATATTCCACGATTCATCACCTGTATCGATGTCGTAAACACGCCGAGACAAGCCTGCATTCATGGCAGATTCATGGAAGATGCACGTGTAGAATCTCGTGAAGGCTACCTGATCCAGTATATGCTGAATCTCTTGATATGTAACTCATCTATTGTCTTGGATCAAATTTTTCACTGCTAGCAAATTTTCTTCCGTAACAGCCGTCAAACTTCTTTCTTCATCCCCTAAAGTTAGTCGACCGCGTTTAAATTCATTATAGTTGATAAATACACGGTTGCCTTAGAAGCGTCTTCATCCATGAATACCATTTGAAGTCTATCGTACGATTCGTCCGGTTTCAGGCGACATTTAAAATCGTAAAAAATCATAGCGCGCAAATGTTCTCTACACAAATCCATTTTTCATTAGGACACGGTAATTTTAATTAGCTTGAAAAAAATGTGGAGGGAAGTTTTGAATTTAGAACGTACTTATTTTTACTTACAAGTAATCATATTTTTAAATAAATTATAACTGGCCAGTCTCTTTCTGAGTGACCTGGTATATATAATATATATAAAACATAGTATACTGTTTATGAGTATACTGAGGACCAAGATGTTATGTCTTTGTACCTTGTAATTTCATTGCCATATTCCACCCTTCAATTGGAAACACATTCATAAACTACTACTTCATAGCAGAAACATAAATGGACACAGGTACTTAGATGATGTTTGTATAAAATCTCCTTCTTGTAAATATATTTATGAATGTAGGCATATAATTTGCAAAAGACAATCTTAATTATTATTTGGCAATTGTACTTTTTAGGGACTCATGGATAGAGTAGGTGCTTAATTCACTTTATTTTTTGGTAAGCATGTTATAGAATATTTTGAGCAATTCAGAACCAATATTGGTATTATTTAAAATCAATAGGGTCAGTTTATCTCAAATTGGGTCATTATAAAAAGTCATTGTCTTTTTTCTAGAGTAAAATAATACTTGGAGGCCCATAAAATGTTATAAAAAGATTTATATAATAGTATATCATGACTACAGGTCTGATTGTATACAAAGATAGTAGCAATATGGCCCATGAATGTGATTAACCAAAAAGAGAATGTACTCCGTCATAAGCATTTCATGGAGATGCTATGTTCATTTACAAAAACATTAAATAATAGAATTTAATAATGAATTATAAATCTTTGATTTTATGTTTAAAGAGTGATTTACATGATAAATATACTTAAACACTTGACAAGTCCTGTTAAATTAAGTATTGTAAAAATTTCTAAAAGCCGCTACTGTATAATTATATGAAATTCTATGATGAAGATGACATCTTTTAATGTAAAATTATTTTCAGGCGTCCAACCATCGACTGAACAAAGTGTCGCTCCCGTCAATGGCTCTGCTATGGCTGTGACCCCACAGATACAACGTCAACAAACTCCACCTAGACCTAGGCCTTGCATAACGCCAGCTTCTGTAAGTTAATGAGATGAATATATTTGATTGTTTCTATTTACTTGAATATTTATTAGTATTGAAACCTAGTTTTTACACACACATATTAATAGACTGTGATAAAAAAAAAACCTGTCTTTTTCCATCTAATTTCATCCTTTTTATGTTAAATTTAGTAACAGGATGCAGTCAGATTGTTAGCTCATTTGAAACCCCTGATGTATTTTTACGGCTCTAATTATTTTCACTCAATAAAGTAAAAAAATACCAAAAAAAAAAAAACATTTTTATACAAGTAGTTATTTTTCTTTAATAAGTTTAATTTGTGGTTTTATCTGAAATAAGTTAACTATACAATAGTTATTATATCTTTTAGAGAAAACAATAAAAAGTATATTACTTGATCCAAGTTACTCTTACAGCTCTTACATGTATTCTTTCCTGATGTGCTGCATAATTTGCATTTGTTGTATTATTTTCAGGAAGACTTTGCTGGTGGGGATACTGACATTCCCATATTCACAGACCAGTTTTTGCAACATAATAAGCTAAGAGAATCTGAATTAAGACAGTTAAGAAAAGCCAATTCTGATTATGAGCAACAGGTATGTCAGTAACTATTTTTGTTATAACTAATGAACATCAATCCTTTAATTCTCAGATGTCATTATCTAAATAGACTTAATGTATTGTTTTGAAAATATTCAATTGATCAAAAAGATTATTTCTAAAGTATCTTTATAAGAGTTTTAAATATATTTCAACACATAGAAAACTATTTTGGATATGTTTTCATTGTTCCTGTCAAAAATATTTTTGTAACTTTGTGGATTTATAAAATGTCAATAATGCGCTTAATCTTGAATCCTTCATTGTTTAGAATGCAATTCTGCAAAGGCATGCAGAAGAAGTGAGTGGAGCGACAACAAGACTTCGAGCTGAAACGGCGGCTGCAGTTGAGCGGACCGCTGCTTTACTAGCACACAGACGAGCACTGGTTGCAGTTTTAGTTCAGGGACTTCAATCTCTCGCTTTACCAGGTTTTGCATATAATAAAACTGCCTTACAATTACAACAATACAAATATGCATATTTGATCACACAATAAAATATTTAAAAGGATAAGCTAGATGTAAATTGTATGTCCATGTAAATAAAATTTGATTGACTATAATTCCAAATAGTATGGTTGTGGTGAAATTAATCCATATATCGGCGCATATATTTGATTCCAAAATAGCGGGCTATGAATCTAAACAATTTTTACAATATTTTGTTACTAAGTCGGAGTAAATCCTATAAAATTGAACAGTTAAAGAAAAAAAGCAATGAATATATAGATTAATATAAGGAAATTGAGATTAACCCAATTTTCGCAATCCTCGCGATTACATAAGGATTATGTAAGATATAATAAGGCTCATTATAAGATACACTCTTAATTATATCTGTAGTTATAATTCTGTTTCGGTAGAAAGTGTGTAATCCTTGGAATCTGCAGGTTAAACATTTCCAAAAGAACTGAACTAGAATGTTTCAATGATTATCTCAATCAAATAATAATTGTGCTCATTTGTTTCCTAGGAGGCCCGCCTGGAGCGACAGAAGCTAATATCGATGAATATATGGAAAAGTTGCAATTACTGGCAGCAGAGAATAAAACTAATACAATAGTTAAGCAAGCTCGTGACATACTTACTAGAATTGAATTGCCTATTAATTAGAAGTGTAAAAGTGAAATAAACACGATATTCTTGAATCATTGTATTTATTTATACTTTCAATCATATAAGATATTAAATTACACTCGTTAGGTTACAAAACTACTTATATGTACTACTTTCATTTCCATATACCAGCCGTGTATTCTAAAAACCTTTAGAACGGTCAAGTTACGCAATTTTTATCATGAAATTATAATTATAAACAAGTAAATATTATTCAGTAGACTACAAGTACTATAATCAGAGATGGTGTAGTGACTTCTGCACATTCATTGGTGTAATCATAACATTACATAGATTTAGTATAACGTACTAAATAACACCAACAAACAACTAGTCTGGCCTGGTTAGGCCTGTTATGGTGAAGTAAAAGATGAAATAAAAAATCCATACGAAAATTGAATGCTAAAATACAGGACCGTAGCTAGACTTTTTGGTAGGACAGAGGCCATAAGTGACTTCAAAAAACCGAATCTGTCTAATTTTCTTGGGGCTTTCATTTTAAGGTAGAGCATTGCCCATTCTCCCCCCCCCCCCCCTACCACCAAGAGCCATGATAAAATACCATTAGGCTTAAAATAAAGCAACTGTTACAGGTCTCGTTGGAGATAAATTTAGGGTGAATTGGGCAAATATGCAGAAAGCTCTTTTCTATGTGTTTAGGGCAGTCATTCTAAACGAAGCCTTATTATTTTTACGATAAAAAGATGTATCCTATTTTGTTAATTAGGGTATAGGACATATTTTGAAGGAAAAAGTACAATCAATAAAGTAACCCTCTGCCAACCGTATAGGACAATATCATCCGCGTTAAGTTTGGTCTTGATGCATATCTTTGTAAGAAAGAAAGGACGGAGCCTCGAAACCTGTAAAAAAAAACTTACATACGCGCGTATCTCATAGGTAAACTTTTGAAAGGCGCTTATATGAAAAATAAATCTCCAAAGCATTTCGTATTAAAACTAATTTATATCCAAGATATCGATTTTTTAGTGAAATCTTAGAAATAACGGTTTATGTAGAGATTACAAAATTTTATTTCACCAGGAGGTAAAGTATTCATGTCAAAAAAAAGATCATGTAAGTAGTATATGCTGTTATAGGAAATCACCAGCTCATTTTCAGTGTAGACTGTAATTATTTGTCAATAAATATATATAAAATTTTATATATCTAAATGTTATAAAGTTAATTAGAGACGATTTACTCTTATTTTGTGTGTAGAGTAAAATCCACGCGTACTAAGTCGTGAGCAAAAGTTAAACAATAAAACAATATTTCCAAAAGTTTAAAGTGTTATTGTGGATATATTTTAAGACGAAGAAAAATATATTTTATTAAGTGACATTTAATAAAATAAAAGGTTCAAAATTCGCTATAAATGACGGATACGGATACAGATCTTTTTTCTTTCTCGGATAATCACGATATCTGATATGGATATCTGGCACATCACTAATGCTTACCTATTTCGCTACATATTTTGAATCCATGGTTATTTACTGAAAAGTATATCATTACTAAAATACATCACCCATATTAAAACATGATTTTTGTATGAGGAAAAATATAGTAAGTATATGGGATTACAATAGATTTCCATCGTAGCTTCTGGAATAATTGCCTTATAATTCAGTCTTAACAAAGTACATTCACAATAACAGTTTATTTGGAGCTATCTTCATCAGAATCTGGTTCTGTGCTATTTGTTGCAGTGGTATCATATTCATGTAATTTAATCCTCCACATTTTTATTAATGTGTCCCATGACCTCCGACTGTATTTTGTAAATTTATCTGGCGTTTTTGGGTGATCTTTAGTTCGCTGATCACTGAAATAATAAAATAAAGGATATATTTAAAAAAAAAAATCCACATATATATATAAAGAATTTTAAAAAGAGGAATGTTCAAAAAAATGATTATGTATTTGTATATAGGTTGCCTCAGAAGTCGACATCACGTCAGAATCGGGTAACAGGCTAAGTCATAACAGTTATCAAAAAATATAAAAAAAAATTAAGGTACATATTTTAAAAATTATAGACATTAAAAAATCGACAACCTGTGATAGCTATTTATTCCTGTTACTATTAGTTTTTATGATTATTTTTATTTATGTAATCTCGAATACTTATTTAAAGTCATCTACTCCACTTTGGAAGTATATGTCACTTTTTGCTCAATAAAAGATACAAAACTAATACTTAACCTAGTTTCATATATGATTTTCATAAAAAAATCTGAAAAAGAATGTATTAGGCGATTTTGGCAAGTAATTTTAAAATTGGAGCATTTAATAAAGATTCTAAAATGGTATGCCACTTGCTAATTATTATTTCTTAAATTGCAGATATTTTCTTCTTCTCCAATAAAATCCAGTATTGAACACATTTTCTTATTTACTTAAAAATTATTCTAATGTGTCAAAAGAGACAAGAGAGAATTTAGAAAGTACAGAGTTAATTTAAAAATTATCAGCGATATAAATAGTGATACTGATATGATAAAGACAAAGAGTCATTTTACAAAGTGTGAGCAAGATACATAGTGCCCCTAGTTATTTGCTATTGTACACAAAATACTAATTAGTATGTTACACTTATATTAGATTTTTTTTTTTACATTTTACTGATAACTATTATGACTAGGCTTGTTACTCGATTCTGACTTGACATCGACTTCTGAGACACCTGGATGTCTTTACCCATTGACCTATTTTAATTGTATTTAATATCCAAATAATTTTATGTCAATAAGATATTGATCAATTGACTTACATAGGCACTTGTTGTATATAATTGTAATATCCAACTGTATTTTTCCCATAATCAATTTGCTTTTGACGCCTTTGAAGTACAGTCGTGTCTGTTTCTAGCTCTAATAGCTTTTTTTGAGGTTTTCTGAAAAAAATACAGTTTATTTAGTTATTTCAGTAAAACACAAGTGTGGTTAGTTAATATAGTTCAAATTACTGGTTCTTTAGAAAGGACTTCTGATCATGATCCATGCTTATATGCACCAAAGGGAGACTTTGTACAAAAGTCGACTGCTTGGGTACCTCTATCCCATTTGTGTTTCTACCGTAAAGCAGTTGTGTTTGCATAGCTGTGTTTCGGTTTAAAGGGTGGGATATGGTGTGAATTTACAGGGTACAGAAAAACTACATCTGAGTCCTCAGGAATGGCAACACATGGGGGGTATCATGTTATGTCTATGGTACTGCTCATGTCTATAGGTGACGGTTACCACTTTTCATTAGGTGGGCCGTCAGCTTGTTTGTCATTCTAAGTTGTAAAAAAAAATGCAGTTAAAATATAAATAACAAATTACAAACTGATATGCTTACATAGATCCCTAGTGACTAGGCAATAATATGAGAAATTCATAATATGATGTCACATATTTTACCGTGTATCTGAAGATTCACTGTTATTGTTTGGTCGAGCTCTTTTGCGACTATTATAATTTTCTCTATCTATTTTCATTTTCCCCTTCACTGCTCTTCGTACTGAAAAATTTTTTTTGTGATTTATAACATAAAACAAGAACTTCGCAAGTAGTAGCTATCTATTTTATTAACAACTTAAAGATGTTACATATGAATAGACAATATACAATTTAACCTGTAGATACTGTATGAAATTGATTTTTAAACTTTATTTATTACTAAGTATTACTAATAAATTTCAATTGCACTAAGACTCATAGTTGTACTCATAATTACCTACAAATGTTTGTAGTGATGTAGGGGATTGAGCCTGCAACCATGAAGTGTCACAGTGTTAAACCACAACACATCAAGTTTATCAGTTATTTAAAGCATGAATTTTACACTTCTATAATCTTGTTGTCTATATAATATATATGTAATCCCCCCTATATTGGGCTTCTCCCAATTGATTGGATTGTTAGTAATGGGGATTAGTAGTCCCATTACTAGCAATATACCCTGTCGGGTCAACCTACTTGTGGTTCCCCCTGAAAACCATTGTGATTGATTTATTGTTAAATTCATCACAGGTGGGCTAACTGACATGCTTCATCCTCACTTATCATTCTGGCCAGTGTATACCGATAGCGCAAGGTTACTATTCCATTATCATCCATTAAACAAAAAAAAATCCCCCCTATAACATGGTACTCTTATAAGCCTTTTCATATTGTGCCAATTCCTCCTATAACATGGGTATTTCCCCGTATAATGTGGGGATTGAATAAATTCCATGTGGTCCCACCTGAAAACTATCATTTACCATTAACACAGGCGGAGCTGCCATTCCATTATCATCCATTAAAAAAACATTCACTATTAAGATCCCTTAGTAACCTTTTATTACTCCCATGAGAAAGAAAGAGGTGGCTCTTTCTATGCTGGCTATCCACATGGCAGGATGTGCATATATATATTGAATAAATGTTATTACAACATATTTGAACTTATAAAATTTGGTCTACAGTAGAATTTTTTTGCAAAAAGGTTTTTAAGTTTTTTGTTCAGCAAAGAAAAATGGCAACTCCAATCATACACTATTCAGTGAAAATGAAATGTAATCAAGATAAGTGTTAATAAAATTATAGAAATGTAATAGTAAAATGAGATGGTTTCAAGCTAAAACCCCTAAATAAAAAAATATTCTAAGTTTACAATTCGTAAAATAATTAAAAATAAAATGTAATATAACATTGTTATTAAAAACAGTTACAAACTAATTGACAACTATCTTCTTTCAGAAGTGTTACAAAAAAATTGAATTCTTAAATAATGTGTATATATATATATATTTCAATTTCAAAATTATATGTATACCATTCTTAGATTCTTCAGTCTCTTCACCAAAGCCTTGATTATTATTATTACTGTTCATTCTCTAAATAATATCAATTATAAGTGGAAAAATCTGAAAAAAATATAATAAAGTCACATACTAAACTAAATATAACAAAAAAATCGTTGTGAATTATTACAGCAATTATTAAACTAATATTACTGATCAATGATGATGATTGATGATTTGTGAACCTAGTGAATATTTAGGTACATAGTAGGTTTAGTACACCAAAGTGTACTAATACAAATACTATGATTGTGAAGGCATTGATGGTTGTTTATTACTTTACATAAATGGGAGAAAGGCAAGACGACGATAGGAAAGTGCACTTACATCTTTAAAGTTCTGGATAGGTGATTGTTTTCTTGAAGGACTTCCCTGGGAAATACTATTACTTCTATATATGGATGATAAATGAATAGACAATGAACATTTATGGGGCACAATGTGATAATCTGAGTGTAAATTAAACAAACGCTAACTTCCACAAAAAAATGCACTTTATTAAAATTGTTATATCAAAACGTGTATTTTGTCATATATGAAATGCAATGCCCTATTTGTAAATAATGTAAATATGAAAAATAATAAAATTAAAAAGATAAATAATGAAGTTTATCTAAAACACAAGATGGTAAAGAAGAAAAATATCTTTGGATTGGGCGCGAAAATGTCATTTCCTTTTGTCATAACATTTGTCAATTTTGTCATTGTCAATTTTTTTTTATTTTGGCATAGATGTTACTTAGCATGCCGCTAGAAAAGTTATTAAAAGGAATTATAAAAATGTTGGTATTAGTAATCATGAAATTACAAAAAAGTCCTAATAAATATAAAGATATTGTGCAATTTTTGCAAATGTTTTTATTACAAATTAGGTATTACCCTTTTAGTTTTAATTAGGTATTACATCTTTAGGAAATGTCACAATTGTACAACATCCATAATAATCATAGACGTCAAATTAATGTCAAATCTTGAGAATACCAGCTTTATGGTTACTTCATAGAGTACCTAGTATGTACATATTTTTTTATAGCTAATGATTATTACTCTGTTAATTACACATTTATGTTGAATATAATGAAATTTTCTAATTTTTACTAAATTTCTTCTATAATTTAATTTATTGAATTTAATATAAAACTACTAGACATATAAACCATTTTGTAATTTCAAGATTTTTAAATATTTAGGTTGGTGATTGTGTTAGAAATCGCGCCGAACATAATAATATTTGTGTTTTATTTAAATCTTGAAACTTGAGAATGAGTCAGTTTTGAGTTTTTTTTTTTATATTTTCTCTTTTACCATGGTAAGATAAATTTAATTTATTAATTATTTATAATTTATAACTAATAAGAAATTATTTAATATTTTTTTTTATTTTATTAACAGAATGAAATCGAAATAAATGAGGCTTTAGCCTCTTTAGAGATATTAATGTCTGAATTTTTTGCACCAACAACAAATAATTATAGGAAGAGAGAAATAGAAGGCATGTTAGAGAATTTTTCTAACCGCAGAGACTCTTGGAAGCATTGTTTAGTGTTTTTACAAAAGTCACAAAATCAGTATGTTTTAATGTTTACATTAACAACTTTAGAGGCAAGTATATCCGTTGTCTTTTATAAATTACAATTGCTTTTTAAATATATAACTATGAATTTATAAAAAAAAAAAAAAAAAATAAAGTCTCACTAAAATATTTAAATGCTGTTTATTATACAATCACATTTTATAAAATTTGTTTGCTGTATTGTCAGAGATTAGTGGCATAATATTTTCTACTGCTACTCTAAAGAGAAAAATATTGTACATGTAAATTTTTTTCAATTTTTCAAATAATTACAATATTTACACTTCTCAGAATATAATAAACAGACAGTGGATCAGTTTAACAGATAATGAAAAGACAGAAATAAGATTGACATTATGGAATGAGTTGATGGCCAAACACGAGGTGATGCTATATTTTATCAGGAATAAACTTGCTGCTCTTATGGTGTCGATAGCAAGATATGATTGGCCAGAACACTATCCTGACTTTTTTAGTAATATAGTAGAGGTATGTGAAAATATTAATAACTAATTATAATTAGTTTAATTATGATATAATTATCTATAGGTAATAAGATTTTGTATTTTATCAAAATTAAAGTAAAATTAAAACTATGATATAAATATATAAATAATTTAACAATTTATCTATTTATTTTGTTTGCAACACATCCTGCATAGAATATACATACAACAAATCCATTCAGAAATTGGGAATTACAAAACAAAAGGATTACCTTCAGTTTGTCACTAGGTTTTTATGAGTTCATGCACACAATAATATTATAAAGATGTCCTCTATAATACTATCTTAGATAAATAATGAAATCTTTGATTTTGATATCATTGTTAAGTGGAGAATAAAATATCTAGTGTTCATTGAGTGTACACCATGGACTTGCTTTGGCAACAATTGGGTGAATTGAATCCTCAACAATAATTAACATAAAAAAAATCTAAATATATGAAAAAAAAATCTGTACACACCAATTCTTAAATTTTTATAATGGATACTATATTAGTAAATATTGATTGTGTTTTTAATTTGATATAGCTTATAAAATGTGACGGCCGGCGCTGTCTGTTGGGTCTAGTGCTGGCACAGGCTGCGAGCGAGGAGCTGGGTGCTGCACGTGACACAGGCATCCTGTTGCCTTCGCAGAGACGACTCCAGCTTGAGAGGCTTATGTTGAAAGGAATGCCTCAGATGTTAAGTGCACTTAGTGGTGAGAAATAATTCCTATTCTTATCATCTCTATATTCAGTTTTGTTATTTTTATATGTTGTTGGTGCAAGAATTAAAAAAGAAGCAACATTTTCTTTTTATTCTTATGCAAAGTGAAGAATGAATTAATATAGAAGGAAAACTAGATATAAGTCCTATTCCTATTAATATTATAAATGCGAAAGTTTGTCATCATAAATGGATGGATCTATCCATTCATCCAAATATTTTTTACTTTTTCTTTCAAAAATATACTAAATAAATTGTAAGTAGGTGCATAGGTACTTACTGACACAATTAATAGTATATTTGTTTTTCTTTTTTTAAAAATTCCGCGCAGGCACCACTTTGTAATTTCACGCATCTGGGCATGTGCCTAGTTTGCCTTAACACGTTCACGCTGAGGCCGACTTCGATGTATTTTGCTGCGAGGCGGCGCTCTTATTGATGCTACGCTTCATCATTGAATATGTGCCACCGGTGGTATGTGCCGCCAGAAAAGACAGTTTAGTGCGGGCCACCGGTGGTACGCGCCGCCATATAAGACAATCTAGTGTGTATCGCCGGTGGTACGCGCCGTCCAATGAGACAGTCTATCGCAGGCTACCGGTGGCCCGCGCTAGACTGTCTCATTCTAAATGTATTTAAAAAACGAACAGTTTCGTGCCTCTAGTCAAACTGTTTATAATTACTCTTCTCATTCGTTGTTTTCTTAGTATAATATTTCGGAGAGTATGGATGAAAGAAGAATTACGAAAAAGATTTATGAGTAAGAGTGAACGAAGATGACGGTAGGGTAGGGTCCACCCTAGATGGACATATGTCGAGCAAATAGGCGACATACTGAAGAAAGGCCAAATTAAAAGTACCCGTAACCAGTGAGTGTCTATGAAAAGATTGATGGATGTGGAAGAAGTGAAAGAGGTTTGTTTGAATCAAAGCGTTCCATGATTTTTGCTTACCCTATTGGGAGACAGGTGTGACAGATATGTGTGTATGTATTTTCTTGTAATTGTTTGTATTTATAATAAGTTTACTATTGTAATTCTATGGTGGAAACAATAAAAAGTCTATCTATCTATTTATCTATATTAAAAATTAAATCTAAACCATTCATATATTTTTTATGAATGATAATGGAACCACCTGGAGGTCAACCTAATAGAGTATATTGCTAGCAATGGAGCTATTGTATCTCCATAACTAATAATCTCTTTCCCACCAAACATTCATATTTAACCTTAAAATCTTTTCTCAAATTGCTTTTTTTTCTGGCACAGTAAATTGAAAGATTGCAATAGAATGTCAAGCAATTGGGGAATATCAAAATTATTTTACTGGTCGGTAGTTGGAGTAATGATATGTTGATGACATTATGGGATATGAAAGTGAACACAACTATCAAACATATGGAATTCTGTGATTCTGTTTTTTTTTTATTTTAAATTGTTATTAGTGTCTATATATATGTATTTGTTACATGTTACTATATATATAACTCAGAGTTTCTTTGCGTGATAGAATCTGAAACGAAGATATCCGCAAAAGAACCAAAGTAACCGACTTAGCCCAAAGGATAAATAAGCTGAAGCGGCAATGGGCTGGTCACATAGCTCGAAGAACCGACACCAATGGGGAAGACAGGTTCTTAAGTGCCAAACCCATACCGGCAAACGCAGTGTATGACTTTTTAATGGCTGAAAATGGAATGGTAACCTCGCTTGCGCTATCGGTATACACTAGCGGGGCACCAGTGAGGGATGATAGGTGAGGATGAAGCAGGTCAGTTAGGCCACCGTGACAAAATTAACAATAAATCAATCACGACTGTTTCCAAGGGGAACCACGAGGAGGTCGATCTGACAGGGTATATTGTTAGCAAGAGGACTATTAAACTTCATTACCAAGAATCTCTTCTCCCTCCATGTAGTGTAGGACAACCCTCCACTAGATGGAGTGACGACCTCAAATGTGTATGAGGCCGTCAATCCTTATGGCAGACTATGGGGGAGACCTACATTCAGCAGTGGACGGATAATGACTAAAATGATGATGATGATGACTATATATATATATGTGTAAAGAAGAAAACAAATTACATTTAGAATATGACCTGACTGTTGGGATAATGATAGCAATTAGGTCCAATGTAATGAATTGAAATGTAATGTATCTATGTTCTTTAATAATTGGAAAAGAGAAAAAAAAAACAAACAAATATACTATTTCAGGAATTTTAGAAAAGAATGCTCAGGAAGGCCACTCTAACCCACCACCATCCCCAACAAGTGGTATACCACAGTCATCTGCTCTTCCAGATTTGTTAGCAAATGCTTGTGATGCTCACACCACTGATAAGTAAGTCATTGTGACCTATAAGATTATTGTTCAATTTATCTTTGTATATATATTTGGTAATTATATTTAATTTTTCTGAATAACTTATAACTTTTGTTATATCTTTTTAGAGCTCTGAATAATGAAATAATAGTAAAGTGTTTGACAACACTACAGCATTTGTTTTCGTGGCTGCCACTATCATCTCATGTGCCGCCGTCTCTTGTCACCACTGTTTTTTACTGGGGCAGCATAGCTACACAATCTCAGGTATATAAATAAATCACTACACTTTCTATACTTTTATCTGTTATATTTATAGAACTTTGTAAAAATATTAACTATATTATGATATTTTTATCGTGTAATATTTTTTTATTTAACTTAGAATGGCAAACAAGCTGACGGTCCACCTGATGGAAAGTAATAACCGTCGCCTATAGACATGAGCAGTACCATGGACATAACAGAGTATGCTGTTTCGCCCATGATACTCCCCGTACGTTGCTATTACTAAGGACTTAAATGTTATTCCTCTGTACCCTGTAAATTGACTGCCATATCCATATACAGCTATACAAACATAATTACTTATTACCTAACTTTGATTTATTTAATTGACTTTGTAATTAGGCATTATAGATCACAATTTAAATATAAGCTGCCAGAAATATAGAAGAACAAATACAAGATTTCAAAATTCCGAAGCAAAAAATTAAGTAGTTGCAAAGTTTTTAATGGTAGATTTAATGCATTATTTTCTATGATTGAAGTTTTAGTTCGCTAGCAAAGCATTTTTTTAAATATTCAGTCAGAAACAATGAAAAATGTTAAATTGTTTTTGAAAATCGACAGATAATTTAAATTACCCACTTCGGTAAACAAAATTTAAGAACGATTTCAAGATAAAACTGTGCTTGTGCCTTGATCTTTTAAAATCATTTGGAAAGTACTCGACTTCGTTTCGTTTATCATTGTTACTTGGCCTTCATATAAATAGTTACAATTACTTTATTTGTAACTAGCGACCCGTTCCGGCTTCGCAGGGGTACAATACTGAACCCACACTTATCCCTAAGAGATAGACATATACCATCGCGGACTTTTTTGTTGACCTTTTTTTAGGTGTACAATACTGTAGTACATTATTTTGATCTATCTCGTGGAGTTCAGCCAGCGTTTGCAATGTAAGCGCAAAAAAAATGTGTTTATTCACGACATCACATTAGAAACCTCTAAATTTATCAGTGTTTCTTCACTATATTATGCATGTATTATACATATAAACCTTCCTCTTGAATCACTATTAAAAGAATCGCTTCAAAATCCGTTGCGTAGTGTTAAAGATTTAAGCATACATAGGGACGGACAGACAGCGACAGCGACTTTGTTTTATACTATGTAGTGATTCTATGCAAGGCCTAATTCCGTGAGCGTGGTCCACTTTACCGTGTGCAGAGCATGGAGGCGGGCGTGGCGGGGCTGGGCGGCGTGTGCGAGCTGTTGTACCGGCGGTACGCGCCGCCGTCGTCGGCCGCCACCGCGCTGCGCCTGCACCACTGCGCTCTGCGCCTGCTGCGCCACCTCACGCACCACGACCGCGACCACCACCACCACCACGGCCCGCACGTGCTGCGCGCCAACCACGAGTATGTAACGTGACGCCGCCCACGCATTTATTCACATTCACATACAAAATATTATTTAGTTTTAGTCATATTGTATCCTTCTGATATTACTAAAAATTAAGACCTTAACAGAGCTGGCAAGAAATACTGATTTTTTACCAGCTGACGGTTGCAATTTAAATATTTTTTTTTTTTAATTAAAACCTGTATGAATTATAACTATTCTATTGAATACAAATAAGTAGGATAGAAGCAACACTCATATACTTTCCTTTGTGAATGTGGCAATGCACTCAAAGTGTGCCCTTTTTTAATTTCTCCCACATTCCCAGCATCGGTTGGGAGAGTTGTTATAATAAAGTATATATTTGCGTCTAACAAATAATTTTACGATATATGTAAATCGACTCACGCGACACGTGCATACGGCATGCACTATTGTTTTCAAGAAGGAAGTAAAAACGATTTTTGTTCTGCCTGGATATATATTTCTAAGGGCATGAATTAAAATTAACGTTATAAGAAAACTTCAGTATTTAAATTTGTATAACGTTATGCTTTCCTTTATTTTGTTACAGCTACCTGAATAAGTTGGCAGAATTTTTGAAATTATTTGTGTCTCTGCATTTCAAAAGATTAGAGGCTGAGCCTGAGTTTGATGCAATTGAATTTTTGTCTTATCTATTCCAATATACATTCCAGGTAAGCTTCAAGTTCTCATTTGATACTCTTAAACTTAAAGGAAAACATAATTTTTGTATTTGCTGTGCGGTTGAATTATTTCAGTCAAATACATTTTTTTAAATATTGTCTTGTTTTAGGTACCTACATGTGCGATATTTGTTAATTGTTTAGATGTATGGATACAGTTTATTGACATACTCAAGCCTGAAGATATAGTTAAGTAAGTAATTTAATAATAGGTTGTAAATTATTTAAAAAAAAAGTAGTATAACAATCTTTTTTTTTTCGCTGCTCTTAGGTATTGGGAAGCTCTGCAGGCGCTAGTAAATGGAATACTCAACAAAATACAGTTTCAACACAATAAAGCGCAGCTTCAGCACTTGGATAATGACGTATGCGATGATGATGTTAGTACAGATTACATATTTATTGTATGTCTTAAGCTTCGTGGAAAATATTAAATAAGAGTTATACAAACTATTTCAATAATAAAAAAAATTAAATACTTCGGGTTGGTATAGTCAGGTTATCACACACAAGCCCAAGAGGTTTAAGTGGTCTAAAAATCCAGTTTTTTTTAATGTATTTATGCATGCTAATTAAATAAAAAAAAAAAAAGTTCACTTTATTATAAACTAGTCACTTTTAATATTTTTATTAATGGAAATTTTATTTGTTTAAAATAATTAAAATATAGTATTTTAAAAGCTAAATTAAATATATACCTAATGCAGGTTATTATAATGTTATAGGGTGAGACCGAATGGCACACATTTCTGAAACATTGCATCGAGTGCATAGCTCGAGTCGCAGAACTAGCACCGCTCGATTTTTTCACTTCTGTGGTAAGTTTGACGTTAACTCGAAAGTCGATAATAGTCCGACAGTAAAGTCTGCTTTATATAGGATATTGGTGCTGGTTATGTATGGAATCATAAATGATTTACGATCGATGAAAAAATGATCGATAGAATCGATGCAATTTGTATTTGTGAAAACTGTCAACTGTAATTAATATATATATTTTTTTTAATGATCTCTAAACGGTACAAGTTTTTGGGATGGCAATTTGTAGTAATAATTGTTAATTGATCTTTATTAGAGAGAGTGTTTACAGTCCCATACAATGCTTATATATCCAATAATTTTGTTACTAATAAACATGTAATATGTATAGAGTATTGAACCAAGTTTTATGCAGATTATACATTCATAGTAATATTATAAATGCGAATGTAACGTTTTCTCTATTAGCTTTTCACGCTTAAACCATTCAGCAAATTTTGATAAATTTAAATAATGATATATATTGGACTTTGGAGAAGTGAAAGCTTTAAGGAGTGTGACATAGGAGATAAAAATTATTATGGGGAATCAATAATTTTTTAAGAAAGAAATATAAAACTTGGTTCTATACAGACAAAGTTGTAGGTGTAAAATATGACTATTGTCTGTTCTAATGTCACAACAACTATTTCAACCAAATGAGGGTTACGGATAGATAATATTTATTGTTCTCTTCAAAAGATTACAGTAGAAAACAGTTTAGTAGAAAAAATAATTAAGATTGAGTTCCACAAAAAAAAAAAAAAAACTTCAATAGTGGCAAAACTAGTAAATTTGATTTTAAAATTAAACTACTGAACCGATTCTGATGTAATTACTATGAGACCAATCTGTAAGTATATTCTTTCAGATAGAAAACAATTTTCCAAATCGGTTTACAACTGATGGAGTTATGACGTAATAAACATAAAAAATACAGCCGAATTGAGAGTCTTTTTGAAGTCGGTTGAAAGGTACAAGAAATGTGTATAATTATATACGAACACTTTATTTTTTATGAAATGTGCCGTGCGTGCGTGCGTGGGCGTGCGTGTGCGGGCGTGTGCGCGCGTGCAGACGGAGCAGTGGCAGTGCCTGGCGGACGTGCACGCGCGCGCGGCGGTGCGCGCGGCGGGCGGCGGCGCGGCCGAGCCCGAGCGGCTGCTGGCCGCGCTGCTCGACCTCGCCACGCTCACACGCCTGCTCGGCCGCCTCGCGCCCGCGCTACTCGCCGGTACGTGTAGTACGCCTCTTACTACTACCACCGAATTTTCATACTATACGAAAGTCTGTAAATGTAATAAAGATTAATAATAATAAATAAGTTGATGATTTATATGATAAGTCACCAATTACAAGATTAATACAATTTTGTGCTTAACAAAATGCGCGCCGATTAGAAACTAAAATTTGTTGAAGTCTTTAGTGGAACATTCTACAGATTATTGATCTAAAATTGAAATTTCTGATGGTAAAATTAATTCCTGTATAATTATTCGTATTATGGAAATTGTATGATATAACAGTTGATGATATAACACAAGAACAATGTACAAAACAATGGACTAAATTAATGGAGTAATAATACTTAATCCTTACTATATTTTAAATGTGAAAGTGAGTTTATTTATTTGTTGCTTTATAGCACATTAACCAATAGTTATAAAAAGTATACATATACTACATAGAATGGAAAAGAATATAGGCTATATTGTATCCCAGTCCGTAAACATATCCTGGTCACGCGGACAAAGTCGCAGGTAGAAGTTATTAACACATAAATTCGTCTGCATAGTACCTCTGTCCTACTTGTGATATTGCCGCAAAGCAGGTATGTTTTCATGACTATGTTTCGTTTTGAAGGATGAGATATAATATCGTAATTAGTAGTCTTCAGGAATAGCAAAGTGGTGGTGATATTGTATTCTATAATGTGCATGGTGCTGTTCATGTCAGGCGGCGGTTACGACTCCATCAGGTGGGCTTTCGGCTTGTTTGCTGTATTAAATATCATAAAATAAGAAAATTACAGTTTTTTTTATACCACTGAGGTGGGAAACAAGCATACTGCCCACCTGATGGTAAGCGGTTACCGTAGCCTATGAGCGCCTGTAATACCAGAGATATTACGCGAGCGTTGCCGACCCTGAAGAAATCTCTTTAACCCCCTTTTGAAGAACTCATGCTGTAGTCTCTTGGGAAAACCTCGGTAGGGAATGTAAAGTGAATATAACACATATTCATGTGAATGCAGAGGCGGAGAAGCAGCGGCGCGGCGGCGGCGGCGGCGGCGGCGGCAACAGTAACAGTGCAGCGGCGGGCGGCGCCCTGGTGGAACGCGTGGCGGCGGCGCTGGCGGGCGCAGCGCTCACGCGGCCGCACCGCGCCGCCGCCGCGCCGCCGCACGCACGCGCACTAGTGCAAGTGTGAGTCGCATCCCCTCAAATATAATAACATTCATTTACAGTACATACTCGATTATTCGAACCTCATCTGCACGGTTTCTCAATTATTCGAATTGTCAACCGTAATAGGCTTTGTAGCTTTGTAGAAAATATGCGAGTTTCTTTCTCAAGTATGAAAATGTATTGTATATATAATATCTAAAATCTCCATTATTAAAGAATAAACATAGATTTCGATTGATTTTTGCTGATTCAAATAAACACATGTACGCGCAAACAAAGTTAGTTGTCTATCTAGAGTAAAGAATAAAATATCCAGAGGGAGGCTTTGTACAATAGTCGATTGCTTGGGTACCTCTGTCCCATTCGTGTTTCAACCATGAAGCAGTTGTGTTTGCATAGCTGTGTTTCGGTTTGAAGGTATATGGCGTGAATTTACTGGGTACAGAGGAATAACACCTGAGTCCTCAGGAATGGCAACGCATGGGGGGTATCATGAGCGAAACAGTATACTCTGTTATGTTCATTGTACTGCTCATGTTTTTAGGCGACGGTTACCACTTTCTATCAGGTGGGCCGTCAGCTTGTTTGCCATTCTAAGTTGTATAATAAAAAAAAAAATGTATAAAAATTGCTTTTCTTCGTATATTCAATTATCCAGGTTATCCATATAAATCATAGTCTGGTTAATCGAGTTACTACTGTATTTATTTTAAGACGTACAATCATATGCAGAGGAGTTGCAGCTAATCGGGTTTAGTAGTTGCATTGCTAGCAATACAACCTGTCAAGTCAGTTCCACAGTCTCCCTCGAAAATTATTATGGTTAATACCTGAAGAGTTCGTCACAACTCGCCAACTGACCTGGCTTCATCCCTTGTTGGGTGGTAAAGGGATTGTTAGTATGTCTGAAAGCAACATTACTGGCAATATATTTTATCAAGTTGACCATCACGTGGATTTGCCTGGAAACCATCGTTAATTCTTGTTAAATTCGTCACAATGGGCTAACTGCCCGGTTTTCATGCTCACCTATCACCTGTGCACCTCGCCAGCGTATACTGATAGCGCAGGCAAGGTTACTGTTACATTTTCATCCATTAAAAAAAACACCCCTCATTAGTACCATGTCAGCAAATACTCCGATAGTAGGTAAGGGCCATCGTTCCATATTCATTTGTTAATAAAATATTATTATAAATATGTAAGTGCATTACTTTGTTGCTACCTTAACATATAGCGCCTCAAAGGTTTTCAGTATATAATAAATGTTGCCTAAGTAGCGTATGTGTAACGCTGTACCTTTAGGTCGATAGTCTATTAATATATTTATACAATATATAATTTATCGATGACAATGCCACAGACTATTTTTCTGGACGTAAGAAAATATAAAATTTTCCGTGGAATATAGTGTGAATGTCATCTCAGAAGAATTACATTTTTACTTGGCCTATATATTATGTTCGTTGATTTATGACAATGACAGATTCAATATTGACTTGTTATCTTGACTGAAATAAGAAAGTGTACCGAATTCTTAATTTTGCAGCCACGCGGAGATGTTTGCGTGCATGGGAGCTTGGTGTTGTTACGCAAGCGAGTGTGGTGTACCTGTTCGAACCATGGAAGGAATCTTCGCATCTGCCGTACCGTTCCTGATGCCTCATGAAATACCTGTATGTATTATTTCTTGGCCGTGTAGTTCCAGCATAGAATAATCCACCCCTTCCTTTTCCGTGGGTGGCGTAAGAACCGAGTATGGGAGGACGAGGGATGGCCCGCAGCGTTCCTTTTAAAACATTTTTAAAGCCTGACTGCGGTTGCCAATTCGCCTGCAAACGTGGCAACTACTGGCAAAACCTCCCTAAAGGGGAGGCTTATGTTCAGCAGTGGGCAGTTAAAAGCTGATATGATGAATATTATTTGTTGGCTTCCTATACTGACAATTAACTGATTAGTTATATAAAACATTTTTTTTTATTTCATTACCATTTGTATGCGTACGATTACCAACATTTGAGACTGGACTATAATATTATTAATAATGGTAACAGGATTAAACAAAATAATTCCAGTGATATGGACTTTTGCAAAATGGAGTCAAATTTAGTGAAAATACAATAAGTTTTCATTTACTAAAATTAAACAAAATACATCTTGGATTAAAAAATGTATTTAAGCTAAATATAGTTCAATCAAACTATGAATAGAACCAACTGCAGTAAAAATTTTAACATCACTATTGGAAGGTTATGTTTATTGGCATTCCGATGGCATTGCATAATTACTATATTGCATTGTATTACCAAGCTAAGACTGATCCATCTAGTGCGTTGAAATAAGGCTAATATCCTCTTTTTAAAGGGACAAGTGTCCAGCAGTGTGAAGGTGATAAGTTGTATCGAAGTTATGTAATATTTAATAATAATTCAATGCTATTGCAGGAACCACCATTATTATGTCACGCGGCAGCACACCTACTACTCAGTTTATCGAAGAATGTGAAATTTATTCACGACCCAATAACGCTAGTTGGCGATTTATATAATCACGCGCAACGTTCTTTACATTATTTGGAGCCTAAGGTGAGTGGGACCAAACAATAATATATTTTTCATGTTTAAAAATTTATAATATTGTAATGATGTGATTTATCGTTTATTGTTAATATTTTTGAGTATTTTTGATCTCCTCATAATATGTAGACATCGTATTTATGAAATGATGCATTGCGCAGAATGAAACGACGTGCGATGTTACTAGCAAAAGTGTCCAGGATGTAGCCTTTTAAGTGGGTACATGTCTTTTAAATTAGAGATTTTAAGTTCAGTGGGCGATTACAGACATAAAAGTGGGGTTATTGTAGTATTATATGGTTATTTTAAAGTCGTTAAACTATCTGGTATCCCGGGAAAAAACTGTGTCACTGCTCTAATACAGAAAGTCGACATAACAGTTTCTTATAATTAGCACAGTTCCACTGCTCAGGCAAAACTACCAATCATGAATTCGATGCATCCTCTAAGAGCCTAAGTTAGGGCAAAATCGGTACCGTGTATAGAATAGTATCGACACAAAAGGTGTTGTATATTCGGAGATATTTTAATGCATAACTCCGTAATTGATAATCTTACAATTTTTATATCCATGATGTAACTAAGAACACACTCAATCCGAATAGTAGAGATTAAATCCCATCGGACCAAGTTGTCGGAAGTATTTTTTTTTTACCTATTAATATAATTTTACATGCTTTGTATGCAGACAGCGGCGGTGGTTCGCGAAGCGCTGCTATCACTGATGCTGTCGCGCGGAATGGGCGCGGGCGCGGGTGCGGGGGCGGGGGCGGGTGCGGGCGTGGCGGGCGCAGAGGCGGCGCGTGCGCTGCTGGCGGCGTGGACGGCGCCGCTGGCGGCAGCCGGGCCGACAGCCACGTTGCCGCCGCTCACCACCCTGCTACATTCCTTCGCGCACGCCTCCACTCCTGCCAAGAAAGTCAGTTGCTCACCTATTCGGAAAATATCCTCTCTGAAAATGATGGTCATCTAAAGAGTTAAAAAGCTCAAATTACACAAATCATATTAGGAATCGCTATGTATAATCTCCTGATATATATGTATTGATCTGTTAATATTGTGTCCTCGTCGCAAGTGGTTCTAAACTTCGCTGTATATAAGCATTATTCAAACTCTATTATGATTTATATAATGTAATCTTCCTAGATATATGATAGGTTTAATTGATGTTCTCAAATGACTTCAAAAATAAGTTGTGCTCTGTTCTACACTATATGTTTTATCTTGCGAGATATCTTTGTAAATTCTGAAAATGTTATTGTTGGTTCCTATTAAGATTGTAGTCTGTTGTTGTATGTTTTTGAATATTAAATTTTCTAAATTATTAAAAAAGGACATCTAACTTATTATATAACCAAAAAGATTTCATTATTGCTTTATATTTAACAGATAATAGCAGAAGGCGTTCAAGGTGCGGCGGAAACGTGTCTCCGCATGCTATGCGAGCCGTCATACGCTGCCGCCGAGCCGGAAATCACAGAGTTCTTCCTCGCGCTCTTCACGGCACTTCTGCCGCAGTTAGGCAATTTCACATACACAGCTATTGATGTGTTCCTCGAAGTTGCGCAAAGGTATTTAACTCAATTATAATTTTATCAAAAACAAATTAATTTTTTATTGCACTTAATGAATTAAATATGGATAGTACCTGTTTTAGATTATGAAGTATATACATTGGTAATCTAAAAGAGAGCACATATAATAACCTATATGTAGAGAGAGATAGACAGTAGGACAATAATTTGCACAATACATATATGCTCGAAGCTAATTTGGCGAGAGTATGAACAAAATAATTTTAATTATTTTTACACATGTACACATTTACAAAACACACACATTAGTGTAATCTTTTTTTTTATTTCGTTTTGTGATTGCATTGCAAGTTTGTCAGCACGTAAAACGTTATACTACATCTGTGCTATCTGCGGCCTTTTTTAGTACAAAGTCTTGACATTTTGATTTGTAGTTTTTATTATGCTAACCTGTATAGGTTCGTATGCTGTGTGGGTAGCATAGACTTAGTATAACGCAAAGTATAACGTATTTACTCGTGAGGATGATTTCGCAATTCAAAATTATTTAAATTTATTTGTCCACATTCTGATGGATATTCTTTTTTATAGTATTGTATTGTCGTTGTTTGTTCATTGAGTAAATGGAGCGAAAGTCGTGTCGCATCCATTGCAACAGACTGCATTTTCAGCATAATAGTGTTATTTTTTGTTATATTAATGAAATGTTATTTTTTTTAATGGGTGAAAATAGAATGGTAACCCTGCCCGCGCTATCGGTATACACCGGAGGGGCGCCAGTGGAAGATGATAGGTGAGAATGAATGCAGGTCAGTTGGTCCACCATGATGGTTTCTAAGAGGAACCGCGTGGATGTCGACCTGATAGGGTGTATCGCTGGCAATGGGTCAGTCCCTTTCCCCCCAATGAAATGTTGTACGTCCCGGGGCGCAGGGGCGGCGGCGACAGCAGCCTGGAGCGGCTGGTGGAGTGCGTGCGGCTGGGCGTGGAGGCGGGCGGCGGCGGCGTGCGCGTGCGCGCCGTGCTCGCGCTGCTGCACCAGCACGCGCTGCCCCGCGCGCACGCGCACGCGCACGCGCCCGACCTCGCGCGCGCCGCGCACCGCCTGCTGGCCAGGTGTCTACACGGCTCTACTTCATGCGCGATCATACTGCGCTACTGTACTACTTATGAATTATACTTACATTATATAGATAGAGCGTCGGACCTCAAAAACGGGTCAACTTTTTGTCAGCTAATTGTCAAATTAGATAACTCTTTTTTTTATTAATTTTCTGTATACTTACGCACACAATTTATTACTTTATAAAGGTAATGAGTTTTTATGCATTATTATAGTGGTGATGGTAAAATTGTATGAAAAATTGACCTAATTTTCTCGAAGCATTTGTATGGATACATAATATCTATGTAATCTAAGGTGTAAGTATATATATATTGATCTTTCCGTTTACTAGTTGCATTGGCGTAATTAATATTATTTTGGAGAAGGGGTGGACCTTTTAACAGCACATATGTAGTGTATTGAAAACATGTATTTGCTCATAACTGAAAGTTTCATTTCGTATCTTGGGGTTGGCACCAGACAATTTTTAAGGGGCAAGGTCCGTCCGTTCCTCCCCCTCGTAAATTCGCCTATGGCTAGTCATAATTTATGTATTCCCCCCAATAGGTCGTGTTTCAACCGTGAAGCAGTTGTGTTTGCATAGCTGTGTTTCGGTTTGAAGGGTGGAATATGGCGTGAATTTACTGGGTACAGAGGAATAACATCTGAGTCCTCAGGAATGGCAACGCACGGGGGATATTATGGGCGAAACAGTATACTCTGTTATGTCCATGGAATTGCTCATGTCTATAGGCGACGGTTACCACTTTACATCAGGTGGGCCGTCAGCTTGTTTGCCATTCTAAACTGTATAAAAAAAATAAAATGTATGTAACCATGACTGTGTATATGGGTGGCAGCGTGTTGATCCACCGGTGGCGGTACTTCTTCGTGCAAAAGTGCGAGGGCGAGGAGAGCGCGCGGCGGTCGAGCGAGCTGCGCGAGGCGCTGGCGGCGCTGGGCCGTGCGCTGCTGCAGCCCGACCTCGACCTGCTGCGCATCAACATTGATACGCTGCACGTGCTCAATAACAAGTGGAAACTGTATCACAAGGTCGCCCCCTTTACATTATCTGAATACTTTAACGATACCTTTAAAATATATTTACAAGACATTAAAAACTTTGTACACCTATAGAGAGCTTCGTTATTAGTGAGTAACGTAGATGGTATTTTATTAAAAAAAATATATATATCTTCTACCTGCGTAAAGCCGGGCCGAATCGCTACATACAAATATTACTGATTTGATTTGGATAATCTTTAAATTCTAATACACGATTTATATTAAGTAGTGCAAATCAGCGCGCTTCGTAGCACATTGTACAATGCGATATAGGCACTTTGTTTTCTCTTATATTTATTATTATATTATTTTATACTTATATTTTTACCTTTTACTTTACCACTTTTCCATTCAAGATCTTATCATCATTTACCATCAAGTACAAACCAAAATTGTAAATAAAAGAAAAACTTAAATACCTTTTTATTGGAGAAACTCTCGCCCAGTAACAAGACGTAAGTGGTTGTTAATAGTAGATTGTAAAGTTTTTTTTTAGGGCTTTTGCCTTCATCAGGTATATCAGCCCTATCATACCTTGAACTGATTTCCCAAATAAAACTTTATCTACTTTCCCTAGACAAGGAAAGTAAAGAATTAATGGGCATTAATCATTTACAGAGATATTTAAAAATTTCTGATTTGGTTTTAACTAACAGGGTGTATATGTAGTAATATTATATATGTAATAACTTGTGTAGGTGATATTCCGCACGGAGTTCCTAGCACAGTTTCTGTCTGTGCTGCTGGCGACGCTGGCGGAGGGCGGGTCGCGAGCGCTCCTGCGCGAGGAGGTGATGAGCGCCCTGCACGCAATGGCGGCCGTCGACTTCCCCACCTTCCGGCAAGCCTTCCTGCCGCATTTCCTCAACACGCTGCCTGGCCTCTCACCACATCATGTTGCGGAGCTTTCTAATTTCCCGCCCGATACGGTAATAATGTATTTTAGGTATTTTTTATACAACTTTAAATGCCAAACACCTGATGAAAATTACCCGTCCGTCCCGACCGTCTTTGTCGTCTGTAGTTCCGACAGGCTAACCGATGTTACTTCATTCCTTCATTAATTTAATCGAGGAATTGTTTAAAATGATACTCATAGCCACCTTTTATCATTGCACCGCTCGCCATCGACAGAGAATTCCTACTCACAAGCTTTAACCTAAATGGTCATATACAGTGCGGTTTCAAAGGAGTTTGCTCCCGGCAACGCTCAGGCTGTGGATTAAGCTTTAAAAAGGATATACATATTAAGGTTTCTTCAAGATCGGCAATGCTCATATGACACCTATAGTATTGGGAGCGTTACGATAACCGTTTATCATTAGACAGCCTATACTTGTTTGCCACATTCCTGGTATAAAAGAAAAACAATTTGCCTATCATCATTAATTGATATTACACAAGCAGCGTATTCTATAGCTTAAGCGAGATAGTACCTTTTTTTCATACCCAATAGTAGTGTAATTTTGCTGATATGAAACTACAGCCAATTAGCAGCAGAAACGAGTGGGACAAAGATACCCCTGCAAACTTCTTTTATATAGATTTTATTATAAAATGACTGGATGCATATATTTCAATTTATTTATTATAAATGATCTCTTCTACTAAAACTTAAAAATATCTAAGTTGTAACTGTTATAACCAAACATTCCATTCTGGGCTGTTTCAGTTACTTGCACATAACATTTAATTTTCTTGACGATTCAGGATTTGCCGACATTCACTCAAAATATCCAGCGGCTTATGAATGACGTGAATTGCTACCGAGCATACAATTCACTCGCACCGGCCAACATGCCAGCGTAGCGGTCCAGCCAGATTAATTTCCAAATCATGTGATATCTATCATAGACAGAGAGTTTATAATATGCGTGTAAATTAAATCGCGTAATGTATGATGTAAATGAGTCAAAACATTGCATTTTCTGTTTTCATTGTATGTATGCTTCTTATATGTAAACACTAAATGTACATTATATTCAATGGCTAAATAATGTCTATATCAGCCATTAACTGTCCACTGTTGAACATAAGCCTCCTTTATAAGGAAGGTTTTGTATTTGCTACGCTTTGCAAGCGTGTTAGTAACCGGAGGTAGGTTTTTGTGGTGTTTTAAGAGGGACACTGATGCCCATCTTTGACCATTAAATTACCTTAGTCACCTCTTACGACATACGGGAAATGAAGAGGTGGCCCATTCTATTGCATGGGTTTGACATTAAACATTAAATTAGTCATTGATTCCAAGTAATGTGATGATATAAGTAAGAGGTATATAATAAGTAAATTATATTTCTGGTCACATCATAATTAAGTTATCGTTCGTTATTTTGCTATCTGTACTTGACTGTATTTCAGTACGAATGTAGCTTTTAAAACATAATATAATATCTAATTGAATTTCTGTATTGCGTACTACTTTTAGAGTCATTATAGCCTCTAATTTTAGATTATATGGATAGAGCATCGAACCTAAAAAATGGATCAACTTTTTGTCTGCTAATTTTCAAATTAGCTGACACGTTTTTTTATCAGTTCTACATACTTGCGCAGAAAACGTATCGTGATGTTTTTTTTTTAATAAATAAAACGAGTGTTTACATATTAAAAAGATGCAGAAATTATAAGACCAAATAAATATAGAAGTTATAAAAGAATCACTCGTCTATTTATCACGCAAAATTGTATGAAAAAGTTGACTAGTATTTTTGAAGAATTTCTATGGAGACACTCTTTCTATATAATCTAAACCTCTAATATTTATACATGGTGTTTAAAATGAATTTCATTATTTATCAAAACAAATACGATATAATTATATATAATTCTTTAGTTTCCTATGTACAATAACCTCAAAGTATTTGCATCATGTTTTAACATAATATAATAGTAGTATTTAGTTTTAATCTTCCTAAAATTGTTTTTAGTTACTTGCAAATACATATTCAAATAGGTAGGTACTTAATATTTATTTTTTGTAGCTTTTTAAAAAGACAAAAGATCTTAAACATTAGTTAGAAAAGTTACATATCAAATTTGTTTGCATTTTTTCAATTTGCATTTAAATAAATGCAAATTAGTATGAAACAATGTGGCATATGAGCAATAGAGAAATAAGCTGTCTTTCATTACTATTGGCCATAGTTTCCGTTATTTAATGATTGTAAGTTTATCAGAGTCTAATGATGGCATTCACTGCTCTTGTTTTGGTTAATAAATTAACGACAAATTATGGTTTTGTTCAGTAGTTGATAAACTACATTTTTTGTTGTGGTGCTATGAAGACCTATATATGTGACAAAAGTTCATAAAAATGTTCGTTAATCAATCACGATGAATTTAGTATACTCATGAACCATAACACAGGTTACTTTTATACTAATTCATGCAGGCCAAGGTATACAATTAGTATGGAAATAAAGCCACAATACTAGTCATGACTGTAGTCTCATTTAAAATTTAAATTATAATAAAACAAATATTGGGAATTTTATATTGAAATAGGTTAAAATGGGCAAAAAAAATTGTGTCATTTACGTAAAATAAATATTGTTTTGTAAAATTTTATGGCCGATAAGGGCGTTGACTGAAATGCTTTTCGAATTATTTCATGAATATTTCAATTAAGTTTTATTACTGCCTATGCTATTAAACGCTTTTATAATTTACCGTAATGATATGGATATCCGCGTTTATAGGCAATGTGTTGGGTACAGCATAATTTTACCATTGAAGAAACATTTAAAGTATCTTTTTTTAAAACACTTTAAATTTTCCTAAAACTGCAATATTTTGGTTACTCAGTTTATTTTGACGGTAATTTATAAAAAGCCAATGCTTTTATTATCCTTTATTTATGGTATATGCGGAAATAAGTATGTCAAAATGTAAGAAATTGTGGCCGGGGAATGATGTAGGAATAATTACATGTAGTTGGTAATAAAATTGGGATAAAAGTATAATGAAAATTATTCATGCATTTATAATATTTTAAATATTGTAATGAAGAATGAAATGGGGTTTGTAATTCAAATGTTTTTTCAATGAGTGCTTGTTTCGTTAAATAGGTCTTCGAAATTATGTTATGTTAAAAAGTGTGTCAGTTTCTATGATGTAAATTTATATATGAGAATAATGTATTATAAAAGAAAAATAAAGTGGATTTGAATAATTAAAACATGACTTTAATATAATTTTCGATCATTAAGTCTATACTCAAGAATTATTTAAAATGTCTGTGTCTCACCAAATACAAAATAGTAGAAAATATTGAAAGAAATCTCAGGCTCTAATCATTTCCTAATATAAAAGTAAAATATTAAAGTACTCATAGAAATGTACCCACATTAAATACCACTCTCACCAGGTTCAGTTCACATTGGTATTACCAACCAATCGAAAAAATTGCTAACTATAATATTAGATTTCTGCAAGATTGGAATATCTAAAGGTAATGGAAGAATGAGTATTTGTGGTGTGAAACCATGCAGCATTTCCTTTTAATATCATTATATTATTTAATTCATTAACTCGACGAGTTAAACAAACAGTTTCTTTTGGGGTTAATTCCTTGGACAATCATAGTCCCTGCTATATTCATATTTAATTCAATATTATAAAAATAGGAATTAAATAATTTCTTAGAGAAACCTATCTATGTCCTATTTTCTACTATGTGACAATCACAAATTTTACTTATTTCCTATAACCATCTTATCAACTTTTATTTATAAGCCTTAAGTACTGCACCATTTTAATTTATTTTAAAAACTAGACTATCTTGATGATGCCTCAAGTTAATCGCTTTTTTAATACTTCCTTTAATATAACATCATGACTGGCATATAGACTAATATTAGGTGTGGCGTCTACCCATCGTACTCCGACAGCGTCATCTCCAGCATGTAATTTTAGAGCCCCCACAATGGTTCCATTATCATCATGGAAATTGTAGGCTATTGTTTCCATCCAGGCGTTGTCCGTGTTGCGTCGATCATCCACATACCCTTTATAAACGATTTCACCTTCATTAAAGAATTCATGGAATTTTTGTGCCCATGCCTTTTTTTCCTCTGAAAATATTAAAATTTAATTTTAATCAAGTATCATAAAATGTACACTTTGATATTTCAGAATAAGATTTGTCTTATTCTTAACTGAAACTTTTTCAATATTGTATAAAAGCATCATTCTTTATCATTAAACAATGAGAATCTATAGTTAACCTCTATTTTATATAAGTAGTAGTTAACCAGGAAGTATGTCATGAATTACGAGAAGGAGGAACATGCCTACCTTCAGACATAACTAATGAGTTAATAGCTTCCTCTTGGAATTCTCTAACAGCCGTTGCAGACACTTTTTCACCAGGGTCGACCATACCTCCAGGTAATGCCCATTCTCCTGTATCACCACGCTTGATTGCTACAAATTGGAGGATTGGTCTAAAATGTAAGAAAAATTGTCAAAGGTAATTATTATTATTTATGTTATATATATTTATGTCCATAAATAAAGCTTGTTTCATCATAGTCATTTGCTTAAAATTATTTCTGGCAAATAGTATTCCAAAACAAAGTTAATACCAATCTGCTTGAAATACCTTTGTTACAGAATTGAAACAATAATCCCTATCCAATTTATTTACAGGATATATTTGATAAATACCCATAGACAAACACAATTCTTTAGTTACAAATATTATGTAATATACAGATGTACACTCCATTTTTATTATCTAAATATTTCTGTTAATAGAATTTTGAATGGTAAACAAACTGTTAGCCCACCTGATAGAATATAGTAATTATCACTGAAAAAATAAGTATATCTCTAACAAGAATAAATAATTTTTATTTTCATTTGTTTCTTTACCTATTATGCTCATCAATAACTATTTTGCCAGAATCAAATCTTTTCCATCGTGTTACAACAGGATCTGCAGCATGGTTTGGTCCCCATCTCCCAAGAATACCTCGTCCACAAATACCAGTGCGTCCAATTGGATTTTGAGGATATCCATTTATAATTTGATAAGGTCCCATATAGCTCACTCTGCTTACTTTACCATCTACAGCATTCCATTTTGGACAAAAATTTGAATTTCCTAAAACATTTAAATATCGAATTAATAAAAACAAATTATTTCATATGATCATTACTATATTTATGGACTATTAAATCGAAAACATCTTACCAATATCAGGGTCAGCCCATGGTTTACCATATAGTGAAGCTTCTGTGTAATTTTGAGGTTGATACTGTTTATATTCACTGTTCCAAATAACTTTTTCATCGGGTACTGGAAACCTTTCTACATTAGAACGTGGATATATACCACCCCGACACTTAAAATGGGTTGATAACATTGTGAAACTAAGTTTTATCATAAATGCACAGGTTAGTAAACAAACCTTAAGTTTTATCATTTGATTTAATTTTGTTGTATCGAATGAAACAAATGAAAAAATAAAATCAAAACAAACTTAAAGGTGTTGCCAGCATGGTACGAAATATTAGGGCTTTGAATTAAATGGCTATTTAATATAATCTATTTTATAAGCCATTTTACTTATAATTTTAGAATTATGAATATATGTTCACCTTGTTACTTGTACAAAATTTACAGAATATGAATGCTACTAATATTAATGAAACTTTATTACTTAATCATACTTAAACGGCTGAAAAGGTTTGATGGAAGTTTGATACACTGGTAGGTTATATCCTAAACTACTACATATGATATTTACTAATTCATAATGGCAAAATCGCGGGAATCAGATAGTATAATATAAAAGCAAATAAACCTTGTAGACTGTTGTTGTAACGAACATGCAAGCAAATTCGGGCAGTTGGCAAAAGACAAGAAAAGGAAAAAGGGCTAGAAAAGATTAATTTAAAAGAGCTTTAATGGCAATACTGATGTTATGATTTGAACATAGATTAGGAATAGTAGGGTATTTGACGTTAGCAAAAATAGTCGTATAAATAACAACCAATCGCTATTGAAAAAAAAAAAAGAATAGTAGGAAATAGTATTTAATTCTTAAAGTTTGCATTACATATATTTCTTCATTTTACATATATATCTGTCACGCCTGTTTCTCATTAGGGCAGGTAGAAACAATAGAACGCCAAATGCTCTGATTCAAACAAACCTCTTTCGCTTTTTCTTCATTCATCAATCTTTTTATACACGCTCGCCGGTTTTTTTTTTTTTTTTTTTTTTTTTTTTTTTTTTTTTTTTTTTTGATTTGTGAAAATGGTATGGTAACTTGCTGGGATTCAAACAAAACCTCTCATTCGCTTTTTCTTCATTCATCAATCTTTTTATACACGCTCGCCGGTTACGGGTACTTTTAATTTGCCCCTTCTTCAGCACGTCGCCTAATTGGTCGACATATGTCCATCTAGGGCGGTCCCTACCAGCAATATCATTCTTACTCGATAAATCTCTGTCGTAATTCTTCTTTCATCCATTTCAATGTGTCCTCTCCAAATGGCCAAACCAACGCAATATTCAATTTTTGTTACTACACCGTATTTTAGTCCACAATTCTCTCTAATCACACTGTTTCTTATTCTGTCTTTTAATGTACTACACATAGTTCTGAGATTTCTCATCTCTAGAGCATTTTATGAGTTCCATGCTTCATCTTCCATACGCACGATTCGCATCCATACATGAGTGTTGTTGATATCAGTACTCCTTGAATTATAGCAAGACGAGCCTTGATACATTTTTGCTTGCTATAATTCAGAACAGTGCACCGTTAACACTATTTCCCGTTTTCACTCTCCTTTTAATATCTCTCTCACACTTTTCATCTTTCATAAACAATGAATCCAAATATAGAAACTCACTAACTTACTCCACTTTTTCATTTCCTATAATTATTTGAAATGCCTTTAAATTTTCATTGCTTTCAAAAACTATTACCTTCGTTTTTTTCGCATTTATTTTGATACCTTTTCTTGCATACGCTTTATTCATTACAGTCACGCTATTTGTAGTAATTCATACTCCAAAAACGCAAGCAGTACTTGGCCGTCGGCGTATAAAAGTCTTAAATAATGACTCATTAATTCGGAATCCACAGCCAGATTCCATAAAATTGAACAACTGTCCATAATAGTTTGTACAAAAGTCAGATTGCTTGTGTCCCATTCGTGTTTCAACCGTGAAGCAGTTGTGTTTGCATAAAATTGGTCAAGCAATTGTCCTTAATAGATTGAACAGCTAGGAGATGCTACACAGCCCTGTCTAATACCACATTTAATGTCAAATCAGTGCGTATAGACTCCATTTATTCTGACACAGGCATTCAGATTAGAAATGGTTTGATAATAAAATTTAATCCGTCATTGTTGAAATATTTAATAATTAAGATTCAATAATCGTCATTATCAGGTACGTTAATTCTTATGTCCTACAGTTTTCTTCTTCGTGTAGCTTTTTTGATAGCAGGTTTTTTAAAAACATCTTCTTCTTTCTGTTCCTCTTCATCTGGAAATAAATACGCACATACAGTTATATAATTATATAGTATAAAAAGTTTTTTTTTTATACCACTGAGATGGTAAGTAAGCTTACAGCCCACCTGATGGTAAGTGGTTACCGTAGCCTATGAACGCCTGCAATACCAGGGACCGACCATGAAGAAACCTCTTTATGCCTTTTTTGAAGAACCCCATGCTGTAGTCTCTTGGGAAAACCTCGACAGGGAGCTTATTCCATAACCTGAGCGTTTTTGTGGAAACATATCTGTAACCGCGCTGTACGCTACCATCTAAACCAGTGTTTCTCAACCTTTTTGATGTCATGCCCCACTTGAACATTTGTAAAATGGCCCCATACATAATTTTTCCCGGCAAAGTTTACTTGACGACTCTTATTGCCCAGTTGATATTTTGGTAACGTCAAACGAGATTATATCTAATAAATATTTACAGCATTTTTTTAATTTACTTTTAACAAAAAAATTGGCACCGATATCTATTTATAGCATTGCATTTAAATGGCTCAGAGCAAGAAGGTTAAAATCGCTTCGAGTCCATTTTTTAATTGCTCCCCCTTAACTATCAAATTACCCCCCTGTGAGGCGTGGGCTCCATGTTGGGAAACACCGATCTAGACTATAAGGTATGGTGGAGAACTCCTTGTCGATGGCGAGTTGTACAATGGTGTGTATAAATATTTTTAATTTCGTTTTTAATTAAAGACAAATTAGTAAAAAATGCCTAACCTGATTCATCACTATCATAGGATACGGCTTTCCTGGTCCTCGTGGGCTTTCTGCTCGATTTTCTCACTGACTGGGGAGTTGCATCATTGTTTGGTGGTTCATTCTAAAAAATAATATACATTATTTGTGTTATAATTTAAAATGTTATTATGTTATGTTATATGAATGGGGACAGTCCTAGTTCAACACTTTTTTATTTTATTTAGAACAAAACTGTTTTATATAAAATAAAAAAGCATTGAAATAATTTATAATATGTGTGTTAAGACTATATCTCTCAAAGTCGATTCATGGCTTTTTAAAAAATTTAAGAAATGTTTTATAATAAACGTGAGACTATTTACTTTATGATATGAATATGTATCTATTTAGGGAAACATTATACATTAAGTGATGACCACAATTAATTTAGGAAGGGATGATTTAAAATATAATTAAGTAGCTGTTGCTAGTTTTCAGTTTCGAGAGGAACCGTGTGGAGATCGACCTGTTAGAATATATTGTTAGCAATAGGGGCAGTTAGACTTCTCTTAATATTGACAGTGGAAAGCACAATATTGCGAGTCCATACCTCGTCGGGGCTGCTTGAGGAACGTCGGCGGGGGCGGCGCGGCGCGGGTCTGCGTCGCGGCGTAGCGCGGACGGCCGCCTCCGTCGCCGCTGCGCTCGCCGCGTCCCCCTCGCCCTCCTCGCCATCGCGGACAGCAAAGCATTCCTCGATTTTGTCCCCTAGTTCCGTCACTAATGTCTGTAAATTAAAGCGACAGTAATTAATAGTTTTTAATATAAACGTTTAGAAGTTGGTAGCGTCTGTGAAGCTTTGACAACATTTGCTAGTATTTAAATTCCCAAGTTTCTATATGAAATTTATAATATAAAAAGTTTCAAAACAACGAAAACAATATTATTGCCTCTTATATTTCTATCATGCCTGTTAATCAGAAAACGTTGTTTTGAATTAATAACTATAATGAAAGTAAACCGTACATGTACCTTTATCTCGTTGCGTGCCATTTTCGAAGTACTATTCATGAGTGTCGTAAAACATTCCATGACTCCATTGCAATGTAGTTTATCTTTATAACAATCTAAGTTTTCTATGAGTTTGCGGAGCGATCGTTCGTTGTAGTTGAACAATGAAAGACAGTATGCGAGGTCCCGCCATTGTCGTTCTTCAGTAGACAGCTTGAAACGCTGACATAACTTTTCGACTAGAGCCTCCATTTGACGATCTTTTTGAATTAGTGATGTTATGTATCTGAAATAAATTGATTGATTTAGATAACAAAGAATATTAATGTAGTTAACATTTTTTATTTATTTGAACAGTCTTGTAGAATAAATGGTAACTGTTAAAGGAAATTACTCACTTCATAATGACCCTATATTGTTCCTCGGGGACATTCAATTCTGGATCGCTCAACCTCGATATAATGTCAGGCATCACATTGTATAGAGCATTGCCTTTCTGGGACAGTTGCTTGAAAAACAGTCGCGTCATGTTAGCGACGCGTGGATCTTTGTCGGCGCAACACAGCGCCATATCTGCGATTTGACCCTTCACGCGTACCATCTCATGAAGCACGAGGAACGAAAGCATTTTAACAGCACACTGTCTTACTTCTAGCTCTTCGTCACTTAAGCTGGTGATAAAAAGCAATTACTTAGGGAATCTATATTAATATTATAAGTTTAAGTAAGGATTGTTAATCCATTAACATTCGGGTATTGGGTATGAATCCCTATTAATACAAGGAGGGTACCAGCTTGCTATATCCATACTAGGCAGACAGCTTGCTATAGTATTACATTTTAAAATTTTCTTCTCTTACGCTGTTGTATTGTGCTTTGTTCTTGTAGTCGCCTCTTACGACATTTTGAGAATGAAACTAACTGAGGAGATGAATCCAATGTGGCAAGAGTACTAGATGTTTTTCTCATGTTTATCAAACTTTGTCAAAGTTTAGTTTGGTTGGTCGTTTAAAATTAAAATAAATATGTAGGTCTATAATTAAAAAACAAAAAGAACTAAACCTTTGGTTTGGTCAGGCTAGTGAATGACTACTACAGATTAAGATGGCTTTTGCTATATTAATTTATTAAATAAAAAAATAAATATTTATTATGAATATTAATAGTTAATTGATAGTAATTAGGTGTTTACTTACATGTGATAAATATGATGTGTCCAAGGTTGTGTAAGATTGGGAAATCTTAGAGTGAGGTCGGCAAAAGCGATGGTCAGGTTTGTCCTCAGAGATACGTTCTTTGATCTCTTCAGAACTGTCACCATTAGTTGCAATCCTTCTTCGCATACGGAATTTGAAACTAGCATGAATCTGAATATAAAAAGTTTAATAGCTTTTTAATATTAGGATATCAGTGAGCGATGATAGATTAAGTAAGAATGGAAACCACAACGTTTCCAGATAGGACCACGCAGAGGTCTTTTTGAGGTATATTTTTTATGCAATTTAGAATAGCAAAGAAGCTGATGGCCCGCTTAAAGGAAAGTGGTAATCGTTGCCTATAGACATGAATAGTACCATGGTCATAACAGAATACATATACTGTTTCGCCCATGATAACCTTCATGCATTGCCATTCCTGAGAACTAAGACGTTATGCCTCTGTATCCTGCAAATTAACTGCCATATTCCACCCTTCAAACACAAATGATTCAATGTAGAAACACGAATGGGACAGACATAGCTAAGCAAACGACTTTAGGACAAAGTCTGCTTCTGGTAATATTACTTAAAATGAGAATTAGTTTTGCAATGAGGGAGGGAGGTTGGCGGAGAGTAAAAAGTATTCGTTGATGGTTGTAAACTAGTGTACTTTAGATTTTTTTATACTACTGAGGTGGCAAACAAGCATACGGCCCACCTGATGGTAAGCGGTTACCGTAGCCTATGAACGCCTGCAATACCAAAGGTATTACGCGCGCGTTGCCGACCCTGAAGAAACCTTTTTATACCCCTTTTGAAGATTTTAGATATACATGATAAATACTTTAGTATTAACTAGCTACAATATACTTTTATAATAACTGCTATGTGCTAATATGCGATATATAATATTAGAAAGATATTCCATACATTCCGTTAGTAACTATCCACTCCCCGCGCTAGTGCGGCAGTGCTGTGTTGGTGCTTACGAAGTGTCGTACGTACCTAGTGAAGGTGAGCGCGGCGGCAGCTTGCAGCGGCGGAGTGCAGCGTGCAGGGTTAGAGAGTAGCCAGCGCAGTAGCGGCAGGTAGCGGGCCAGCGTTGTACCGTCACCTACGATGTCTCGCTCGCACACGTTGCGAACGTATTCCGCGTCCGCGTCGTCCGCTACCGCCCCTTCTAACCCGGTATCATCTTCCGTCATAGTAGTATTAGTCTACCGAATTTAATACATAATAATCAATATATTGTTTATCTATTGTACCAACTTTTTCCTGTATAATTAAATGGTATTCCCCACTTACGTCTTCTAAATTACATAACTTTAATGTTATTTACATATATTTTGAAGAGACTGTGTATGTACAATTTGCATATGTGCAAATCAGAAATGGATTGTTAGTATACCAATCATATAAAGTATGATTTGTAATATGGTTTTCACTTACTGAAGGTGCTTTGTTGGAGGTGACACTGGCGGAGCGTTGCCCGCGCGAGGAGGCGCTAGCGCCGCTGACGTTCATAAGCGTTTGTCGACGCAGGTCATCAACCCGTCCGCGTCGCGCCGGTGTCGCGAACGTTCCAGCCTTCTTCTTTTTCTTCTCTTCTATTTTTCGTTCCTCCCGCACCTAAAATAGATATAAGAATAAAATAGATACATTACTTCTTAATATGAGTACATCAAACGTAACATTTTATGTCTGTTAATATTTTTTATTTACCTGATTCCTTCTTCTAAGTTCACTGTACACGCTTATGTCGAGATATATTAACTGCTGCAGTGCAACTTGACCCAAGACAAATATAAATCGTATTAGTAACTCTATGGGCATGCTGGCCTCTTCTTCGCTGTCATTATCATTTACTGTGGTTTCCTTTATTTTTTTATACATTTCTGCTAATAGCTTTGTACATAGGACATCCGGAGTGTCACACACAGCATAAAAAAAGTCTACTGAATTAGCTGCAAATGACATGAAGCTATTAAATTTTAAGTAAGCTTCCATTAGACTGTCGTATACGGAGGTAAATATGGAATGGTCTGCGGGATATCGCTGATTCTTCGTTGCCAATGATAAAAGTAGTTGCACGCTAAGGTTTCTGTATTCATATTCGGCGGTGAGACCGTGGGATTGTATCACTTCCAGGTTCGCGAGCGCGACCGATGGTTTGGCTTTAGCAATCATCACCAGAAGTGAGAGCGCCGCGTAACTCTCCATGTCAGTCGTTCCGTCGATTTTTTTAAGGAACATTTCCCAAAATACCTAAAAAGATGATATTTATTACTTAACAAACAGACTTTCTGTTTACTTATCGATTAAATTTCATATACTTAATACGAGGTCTGTCCGGAAAGTTCGTATAAAAGTGTTCTGGAATGCGAGAAAGAGGAGTGGGGAGGCCATACAACCCCTTCCTTATGTCCCTAACAATGCTTCAGTTCTGGTCTGACCGCCGTGCGGTGCGAAGGTTGTCACGCCATCTGTGATAAACGAAACCCCGTCGGCATGGAGCCCGCTTCCGTTTAAGAGCAGCGCGTCGTAATCAAGTTTCTCTCGAAACTCGGCAAGAATGGCCGTGAAAGCAAAGAGTGGAAGACATCCGGGGAACCACGAACAAAAAAATCAAGAAAATCCCGCTCAAATGTCAAGACAATGTTGATTGTTTTTTTCGATGTTCGGGGGATTGTCCATCATATCGTCCCTCCAGGCCAGACAGTTGATGGAAAATTCTACGTCGATGTGCTCAGACGCCTCAAAGCTCGTGTGGCACGAGTTCGTCCAGAATTGGCGCGAGAGGGGCGTTGGATTCTTCACCACGACAATGCCCCTGCCCACACCTCTCTTGTTGTCCGTGAGTTTTTGAGTAAAAATTCCATTACGGTGACCGAACACCCCCCTATTCGCCGGATTTGGCCCCGTGTGACTTCTTCTTGTTCCCAAAAACCAAATTGGTACTTCGGGGGCGGCATTTGGGGGACATAAATGAGATAAAAAAAGCTACGACGGGGCAGCTGAGAAACCTACAACCAGAGGACTTTCAAGGAGCCTTCTCACAGTGGAAACGGCGTTGGCACAAGTGCATTATGTCACAGGGGGAGTACTTTGAAGGTGATAAAATTGATTTACCTGAATAATTGTAAAATAAAATTTTTAAAAAACTTTTACGTACTTTCCGGACAAACCTCGTATTACATACAACGTAAAAGTAAAGGTGTAGTGGATAAATGGATAAATCCGAATAGTTTCACTGGTATAAAAGTCCTTTTAGAGGTTGCTTAGTCTTTATATATCTCAGGTATTGTACAATACAAATAAAAAATGTTCTATTTATTGATCAAATTTAGAAAAAAAATAATTTCGAAACCTTTTGACTTTACTACATAATAATAGTTATTTAATTTTAAAAGACTTGTTTGTCGTTTTAGTAAAATCAATGCATATGTGCGCTGTCAAGGGTTGAGTCGATTTGGTTGCTCGCGAGTGTACGAGGTTTGTCCGGAAAGTACGTATAAAAGTTTTTAAAAATTTTATTTTACAATTATTCAGGTAAATCAATTTTATCCCCTTCAAAGTACTCCCCCTGTGACATAATGCACTTGTGCCAACGCCGTTTCCACTGTGAGAAGGCTCCTTGAAAGTCCTCTGGTTGTAGGTTTCTCAGCTGCCCCGTCGTAGCTTTTTTTATCTCATTTATGTCCCCCAAATGCCGCCCCCGAAGTACCAATTTGGTTTTGGGGAACAAGAAGAAGTCACACGGGGCCAAATCCGGCGAATCGGGGGGGGGTGTTCGGTCACCGTAATGGAATTTTTACTCAAAAACTCACGGACAACAAGAGAGGTGTGGGCAGGGGCATTGTCGTGGTGAAGAATCCAACGCCCCTCTCGCGCCATTCTGGACGAACTCGTGCCACACGAGCTTTGAGGCGTCTGAGCACATCGACGTAGAATTTTCCATCAACTGTCTGGCCTGGAGGGACGAATTCTTGATGGACAATCCCCCGAACATCGAAAAAAACAATCAACATTGTCTTGACATTTGAGCGGGATTTTCTTGATTTTTTTGTTCGTGGTTCCCCGGATGTCTTCCATTCTTGCCGAGTTTCGAGAGAAACTTGATTACGACGCGCTGCTCTTCAACGGAAGCGGGCTCCATGCCGACGGGGTTTCGTTAAGAGGTAACTTCACAGATGGCGTGACAAGCCAGTTCGCAATGACCAGAACTGAAGCATTGTTAGGGACATAAGGAAGGGGTCCTGCGCTTACCTGGCCTCCGCACTCCTCTTTCTCGCATTCCAGAACACTTTTATACGAACTTTCCGGACAGACCTCGTATATGTCAACTTTCAAAAACAATTGAAAATTGATTATTTAAAAAGTGTTCTGCTAGCGAAATTATAGAACATGTTGCATATAAATGTACTACTAAAAATTTTACACCTACTTATTTTTATTATTTGAAAATCCAAATTTTTAGTGATAGCTTTGTAAGAACATTATTTTTTAACCGTGACTTTGTTCGTGTTCTGGGATATATTTATTGATCGGGATAAAAAGTAACTTGTATCCTTTTTCATCCCATATAGTATATGTAGGTATCAAATTTCATAGTGATTGGTTAAGTCGTTAAGGTGCTATAAGGCAATGAACAAACAAATTCACTTTCGCATTTATCATATTAGTAAGGATTATTGCATGATTTACGTTTTAGTTTACTAGTAGAGAACTTTTCATATAATCAGGCAGAAACATTGAAAAACGATAAACTGTTTTTGAGAATTGACTGATAATCGTGACGCTGCCACACTTCGTAAGGAAAATTTACGAACGCTCTTAAATTTATTCAGAGACAATTATAGACTTACTATAAGGAAATATGTTATAACACTGATGTTTTACAATGTACGGGTACCGCTCGAAGGATCAAAGGAATGTACAAGTAGAGTTGTTGCATGGTGAATAAAGCAGAAGTGTTGTTGCTGGTTTATAACACGATTGCACGTCTCACAAAATATTGCTGACAATAAGAATGTACTAGTAGTATGTAAAACAATAATAATGTACGAGTACATAACATTTATTATTTAACCTTCTTTAAGTATAAATTACATTTTTTATGTGAAAGGAGAGATGAGTAAAGTTGACATACCAATAATCAATACTAGTTGATGCAGAGACTTTCAATGACATTTAATGACATATAATATATAATGTAGAATATATATATAAATTTATTATATTGTTAAAAATTTGCACGCTGACATAGAGGCAGAATGTACACGGGAAATATAAACCTCTATCATCTAAAATTACCTGCATTTTAGCAAAATAAATTCATTTCATTCATTCATTCATTTCATCTCACCAAATGTTATAGAGAAGATGGGGAGCTTCGTTTCAATTTTACACTAAGACCGCCGCGTTGGTCAAACGGGTGTGGGGGTGTGGTGAGGGAGCAATCAATCAATCAACAGAGACATCTCATGCCCGCCAGATGATGTGTGGGCGGGCGAGGTAGGGGCCTCGGGGTATATCCCACTACCCCCGGCTTCAACTCCGGAGGCGACGACCTCCGGGTCGCTGGGTTCTTCAGCCGGCATTCACTGATGGTCTGTGTATGCCGGCGTGGTGTCTTCATTCTTGAAGGCTTCCTTCTTCGCTCTTGTTAGACATGATATAAATGTATTTATATATATATATATATATATATATATATATATATATATATATATATATATATATATATATATATATATATATATATAATTATATTTATATTTTATAATATATATATATCACGATCGCTAGTCGCTTGTGCTCAGGAGGTCCCTAGGCGTGGGATGGCCATCCGGCGGACGCGCATGCAGCGGCGCGAGGCCCCTCAGGTGGAGATGGTGTCCGCCGTCGGCACGGGCGAACATTTTGCTCGCCATGCCGACGACGAACTCTTTGGCCTCTTCTTCTTTCTTGTCTCGTCTTCGTTTTCTTTGGACCTCTAAGCCGCGGGCGATCACGTCGTTGCGGACGTATCTGCCCGCTCCCGTGCACAAACGAAGAGCGATATTCTGCTGGGCCTGCAGCCGGCGCCTAAGCGTCGGAGAGCACAGTGCATACCGAGCGGGTGCGGCAGAGGTAAGCCGTGAACGGACTTAGGTCTTGTAAATGGAGACCCGTGTCCGTAACGGCAGCCTGGATGTAAGTACCGGTCGGAGAAAGGCGCGCGCCGCGCGAGCCTGCGCTATGGCTCGCTCCACCTGCGGCACCATTCTCAGCGACCGGTCAATGTCGACCCCCAGGTATCGCACGGTGCTCTCGCACGCGATTTCCTTATTAAGGAGCCTTAAAGGCGGCGGCGGGGCGAGGGAGCGGTACTCGCCTGTATGACGGCGGGCGTGAGGTCGGTGCGCTGGAGCCACAGGCGCACGAGGTGGTGCAGCGCGAGCGCGGCGCCGGCGTCGAGGCGCGCGGCGAGCGCGGCCAGCCGCCGCGCCGCGCCCGCAGCGCGTGCCCGTTCCGCGCGCTCCTCGCCCTCCACGTACATGGCGCGGTACGCCCGCTCCACCGCCTCGCGCTTGTCCTGCGCAAGCGCACCAATATCACTATTTCAATTGCAAATATTTAAGAGCAACGATAACATTTGCAATGATAATATGGACTGTTAGTCCATATTATCGATGACGAACTCTTTCGACCACTGTTATCGAATCGTATTACCATGACTATTACTATATTAAACGGAAATAAAAACATTAAATTTTTAAAAGTACTAGGTCGTTATTTAAATACACTGCTTGATATGTGAAAAGATCGTGTTTAGTAGCGATTATTAGATATGATAACATAGAATCTTAGCCCCCAACAATGGTAATGCATGAGGTTTCAAAGTACTGTTCTGTGATGTCCTGTTCATGTTTATAGGCGACAAGTATTGATAAAAAGAAGTTAGATTTGATCTTACAGATAAAATATATATTACCAAAAATATAAAAGCTCCTTCTAACCTGATCAGGCGACCATACGAGCATTAACATATTAACGACTCCTGTCTTAGCTGATTCGATATTGAAGTGGTGAGCAGTAGTGAAGAAGTCTATCGCCTCGCTGACATCTCCAGCCTGTTTTGACATCAGTAGTGAATTTATTAGAGGTACTGCTTCAGAAACCATACGACTGAAGTGTACAGACTCTTGCAGGAATGCTATTATGTTCTCTTTCTCTTCAATTCTCTTGTATAGCGCTATTTCATTCTCACATTGCTGTGTATGTGTTATCGAATTTCTCCGATCCGGAATAATGAAAATATTTCGTAGCAAGGCGATGAAATACTCTATCTGAAATAACAAAAAAATGTTTACAATGTTAATGTGTTTCTATTGAAAAATTTTACCTACCAACAGAACCAAATTTCTTATATAAATATATCTCAATTTATAAAGAGCATAGTGGAATAAATATAACTTTTTATTTAGGTTTATCTGTACTAATAGATACAAGAACGAATTATTAATCATACCTGATCACTTTTTTCCATATCCAATCTTAAAAGTTTTGCATCTGGATATTGTCGCTCAGTGTGTTTCACAATAAGGTAGGCTTTGTAATAATTCTTTTCACGGATATTTTTACGTATCGCTTCATATAAATTTTCTAGTGATGCCTGTGAAAGCTCTGGTTCGTCTTGCGTTAAAATATCCATTTTTTCTTTTATTATCTTTACTACATCTTTTTCTATTTTTTCCCACTTTTTGACAAGATCAGGGTCCGGCCCCGGATTTAGTTTTTTTTGAAGTTCATCCAATATTTTTTCTTCAGTTTGCAATTGTTCCTCTAGCATTTCCAATTTTAGTTGAGCCGAAAAAGGATTACATTCTAAAAAGACCTGAACAAAAAGTCCCGAACCGTAAATACTTTATTAAAGATAATTAGTACATTTATTATAGTCATTGTAGTTTAAAATTAAAAGATAGATATAATATCATATAAATGCTTCTATTTTAATAAATTACAAATTATTATAGCAGATGTGTGGCAAATAGCACACAAATAGTGTCAAGAATCAATATTCTTTTTACCTAGAAAACGCATTTGCTTGCTCAGACTAGCAATTTAAGCATGAAATAGAAAGAATCCAAAATGTTTATATAAATTTTCACAGTTATAATACAATTGTTTTCCCTGCGATTTTTATTGTAAATTATTTTAATCAAATGCGTTTTTTGAATAGAAAGTATCATGTATGTTTATTCTGTACATGATCTATTTGTGTATTTATTCATGCAAGAATACAGTAGATTATAGCTATATTATACATGTTTAAAGTAAAATAAAAAGTTACTTTGAGTAGTTGAATAGCGGCTTTCCTAACGAGCGCGGCCTTGTCCCGCAATCGTCCGATGGCACGCTCCAGCACGGTGCGTTGCCTACTCACTGGCACGCAATTTTCACGCTGCAGTCGACACCAAAATTGCAGCACCTAGCACGAGCCATGAACGACAACTATCATGAATATATGAAATGATTGTTAAAAATGGGGTGGTGGTTGTGTGGTCCCAGGTACAAAATAACTCCTTTCTATACCTTGGGTGTCGTAAGAGGCGACTTAAGGAGGGCTAGGAATGGACAGCAGCATCCCTCTTAAAACATCTCTTAAGGTTAATTATGTTTGCCAATCCGCCTGCCAAGCGTGGCAAAACTCTCCAAGAGGGAGGCTTATGTTCAGCAGTGGACACTTAAAGGCTGATATGATGATGATGATGATGAATGGGGTGGTTAATCCTCATTATATATGACTTTAACTTTTTGGTTGACTTTAACGTGGGCTCTCTTGAATACCATCATGGTTAATTCCTATTGTCTATGGGTCAATTTACCAGCTTCATCATCATCTGTCATCACTACCTGGCGCCTTGAAAGTATATCTCGACAGCGATGACGGGACTACCATTCTATTTTTACTCATTAAAAAACCGTCAAGAATAAATCAAATAAATATTTTGTGTACCATGCTGGGGCAAGTTTCTTCCTTACCCTTACCATTGCGTTACAATACCCGGTAGTGAGGATAGGAGGAGCTCAGATTAGGTATATAGAGTAAATAACTCTATGTGTAAGAGTAAATTATGTACCTAAATACATCCATACATGTACCTAAGCATACCCATACCTTGTGTCTAACATATGCGGACAGGTCGTGCATATGTTCATAGAGGTCATCAAGGAAGTCGTCACGTTGCGCGCGCTGCTGGTCAGTCAGTCCCTCGCCGCGGAGTTCCACGCTCAGCACCTCGCACATCATGCCCAACACGCTGATGCGGAGTGTGTAAGACTGGTGATTAGTAAAATCCATTATTATACAATTTATACTATAATTAATTTATCATTCTTCAGGTAATGACTCTTGCGTGAGAGGCAGAAAGAAGAGTGCCAAAGACATTCTATACTTAGATACATGCTTTGTGGAGTTTCATAATTCTTTGAATAAAAATAAACTTAATAAGTGATTCAAAAACGTGGTTTAAAATTTTTTTTGAGATCGTAATTGTGCAGTTCTGCATATTGAAGTTTTTCCTTGAAAATTTGATAGGGAGACTAGAAGCAAGAGATCCTATATATAATAACTACTTTTAATGTCTATTAATTATTTCATTATAAGAAAATGAACAGATTTAAAAAAAAAATTTACAAGTCATCGAGAAGTTGTGTATGAACCTAATTTATATAAATGGCGCATGTTTTATCAGTCTATTATTTAATAAATGGTGAAATTTGCTAATTTTGGTATTTGCTACATATTTCTGTAATATAAAATGGGTAAATATAATTACAAATTTGTTTTTAAATGTTAAGTTTAGCCTCCGGTTGGTATTTGTAATTTAAACTGTACAAAAATAGACATAAAATCAATCAATGTACCTCATCACTTTCTAAGTAGGGTTGAATAGTAGCTATCGCCCCAGTCATTTCTTTAGGAAGCTCTTTTGTAAGTTCTAGCAAAAATGCTCCACAATTTTTTGCAGCACCTTGCTCTGTGCCAGCACCTGCATTTTCTTCATCTGTCGATGCTAATGCTTCTGCAATTTCACGAACCTGCAATTTATTATTATTTAAAAGAAAATATTTATTTCAATAAAAACTTAACAAGATTAATATTATTACCATTTGTGGTCCAAAAGTTCCGAGTCCAAAATCTTTGGTCAGTTGAACAACTCCTGCACATATTGGGGATACAGCATGCTCAGCCATTTGAAGAACCTGCGATTAGAAAAAAAAAATATAAAATTCTGTTCTGAATACTGTGATATACACCATCGTAATAAGCCATTAACATCATATACGGGCCTTTTCATATTTAAGAAACATAATATTTGTTTAATTATGGTTTTATTTCAAGTTTTTCTTCTTATACCATTCCATAAATAATGTTACAAATTCTTATCCAAGTTGAATCACAAGCAGTCAACCGTAAAAACTCACAGTTTACTAGTGAGATGATTGAATACAATATTGATTAGGAATTAATTATATACCACACCAAATTCCATTGGAAATGATGCAGTACACAATATGTAACTTGGCCAATAATTATTTAACCAGTAATTTTCCTTATTTTTAAGGAGTCAGATGAGCTCATGATCAATCTGTGGGATTACTTTTGAAATAAATTCCAATAGATTGATGTTGGAATTGAAATGTTTCACTCTCGAATTGCAATACTAGCAACATAATGATTTCATACTGTTCTGATGCAAACTGATCCCAATTTTAACTTAACTAATTTTTTACACATATATTAATTTCTAATTGTTATTTTATGAGTGTAGTACAACACTGTCATTGATATTGTAATGTAATGTAAATTGGACTCTCTTTTCCGCGCTTAGCCTCTTATTTGGGCCGTTGTGCGTATGAGTCGTAGCTAGTACAGCCAACCCAACTCCGCCCTGAAGAACAGAAGCTTCCTGGGATCTTCACAAGCCTCACGGAGCGACCTTACTGTTCCGAGGATTTCTAAATGTTGATGGGCTAAAGCTTTACATTCCAGGATTATGTGAGTAGTCGTTTCTTCGGCGTCGAAACAACTTCGACATAGAGGGCTGTCTGTGGCTCCTATTGTGTATAAATGTTTGTTTAATGCACAATGGCCCGCTATTATCCCTATGATTATTTTGAGGTTTTTCCTATTTAAATAAACGTTTTGATAATCGTTGATTCAACGTTGGCACGATCAATTTTGATTGTCTGCAATCAGTTGCTTCTATCCATTTTTGGTTTTGTATGTCAGCGGATCTTTGACGAATCCATATTCGAAATTGCGAGAACGGAAGAAAACGGATGGATACGGGCCTACCACACTCGTTTCTGAACCTCTTCTAGCTAGTTCGTCTGCAGCATCGTTACCATAAGATCCACTGTGCCCTCTTATCCACTGTAGGGGAACTCGGTTATTGGAAGATATCCAGTGAATGGTGACATTAAATTATTAATTTGTTGTTTGTCTTGTTGTTTCGTAGTGCTTTTAGTACCGTTGCGCTGTCAGATAATAATCTAATGACAATACCATTTATTCCTAGTTTATGTACAGCCGCAGCAGCCTCGGTTATTGTTACACATTTGCATTGAAATATTGAGGCCTATCATTGATATTAAATTGGATTGATATCCATACATATTAAGTTCAAGAGTTGGTCTGCTGATGTGAAGTGGCTAACATCATCAATAAACGTCTTTAGGTTGTCTTTTTATAAAATTATAGGCATGTTTTTAAAAGCCTTATATTGTAGCATATAGGAAAAATCCTCAGAGAGAAGTTACAAGCCCACATGTTAATGGAACAAACAAAGAATTTAATATGATGTTAAAGCAAATGAATAATCAAACCTGTTTACAAACTTCTACATTCATTGTTTGAAGTAATTATAACAATTACTTGAAACAATGAGTATTAAATTAGAAAGTATTAATAGAATTTAATTAATTACCTGAACCAGTTTAATTAGGCAGGATGTTCCATGGTTGTATTTTTTTATAAGGACACCAAGAACTTGAAACACTGTTTCTCTTATTACTTTATTTTTTATTATTTGCTCCTCTAGTGCTTTGTAACAGGGGTCTGCTACCATTCTGCAAATACAAAGGTATAAATAAAAATGTAAAAACACATTATAACATTTAATTTAAAGCAAGAAATGTAAGGATTGAAGCCAGTTTAATATTTTTTTTAGGTTGCGATCCTGTAAGGCAACTTACGAGACAAAATTGTCTTCAGCGAGTGGTGGGTCCCACAGGCGAGATAATGGTTGTTGGAGTACTAAATGCAAAGTAATAAGAGCAGCTTGCTTATCAGATTCCGTCCATCCACAAAATTCCTCATCATCAGTTGCTTTTTTGCCTTTCTTGCCCAATGTCAATTTTGTTGAGTTCTAAGTAATAATAATTAATGTTATTAAACTAAGAATACTCAAAAGGCTGAGTTGTATATAAATAAACATATATTGTTGATAAACTAGTATTTAGGGGGTGGGGAGGGGGACATGTATTTATCTAACAAATGTATTTGTTAGATAAATACATGTCTATAGAGACAAATGTATCCACCAAAGTATTTAATTTAATATTTTTGTATATTGTGATGTTAGTCAATTAACCAAGTCATAAGTTTAATCACTACAGATAGTCAATTTCATTAAAAAAAATATATCAAATAAGAAGTGTTAGATAAAAATGATTATATTAAGTTTTAATGAATGATATTTATGTCACAGCTAATATCAAATAAAAATATGAGTATATAAAATTATATTAAACATTTCATCAAAAACTATTAATTAAAATGTTCCAATAACATTTTAGTAAGGCCATATATATATAATATAATCAGGCAATAATTATAAAAAAATCCATACATCAGCTGCTAACTTGGTATCTTTTGTCTTCATTACTTGTGTAAATAGGTACATCGTCATTTTGACAACATTAAGGTTCTTGATACGAACATCAGTATCAATTTCTTGGTCCTGAAATATGAGCTCGAGGTGGTTGCAAAGGTTTTTTGCAGCTCGGACAATATGGTCAAAACCTAAAATTGTAATAATATAAAATATTACTTTAAAATGCTGCCTAATTTTGATGTATAATACCATGAAAAATATTGCTATAATTGTGATAATATGTCATTAAATTGATCAAATTTATTATGAGTGAAGTATATATATATATATATATATATATATATATATATATATATATATATATATATATATATATATCTCCAATATACTTCTACTTCCTTAATTATATATTAGTACCAAATATCTTCATTTACGTGTTTTGTTTAAGTGTTGATTAAATGATAAATTAAATTGATAGTGTTACAATATGTATATTATATGAATGTATGTTATGCATTTTATATATTCGTTTTTGTAGCAAATATTATTATAAGTACTTAGATGTAAGGTGTGCATATGATTATTAACATGTTTTATTAACATTAGCATTTTTCTTTTTTTATTAGTTACATTTCTTGTGCCAAATAGCTGCCAACTTTTTTCTTTCTTCTCAAGTCAAAGGTTGTTTGGAAGAGATTGCTTTAGTGATCTGACTACCTTTTATAATTCATAAGTGTAATATATATTTATCATTGTATTATTCTTTAAGTGGTGCAATGAAGAAGAAGTGGTGTAAATAAATGAATAAACTTGATTGCAGACATACCTTTATTAATGATGTTCCATTCAAGTTTATTGCCATGAACTATTATGGAAAAGTAGGTGTCAAAGTGTTCCAGTATATAGTTTACACCATCAGAGTTGTATGCACGAGCAGCATCTGTAATGTTCAAATAAGGGTCTTCTTATATATTCTTTTAAATAAACCAGGCAACAAGCTGTGAAGGTAAATCCAGAGGATAAACTAACTAAAAGAAGGTCTGCGATTAGTTGATTATTATTCTAAATGCTTAGTGTTTTATTTATATAACTCATTTCAGTTTGGCAGTCAAAAAATAGGTATGAAGCTACTCCCCATAAGACAGATGAATTAAGACCAATTAGTAAAGGTAGGGGCAAAGAATACCCAACTTAAGCACAGACATTTCAAAGTAGAATGTTCTTAATATCTGGTTTGTATTGTTAAGATTAAACCACTCAAAGAGTCTGGCAAAGGGGTTTTTAGGAAACTATTTAAACAAACTAAATAAGCACATGGACCAAATAAGTCTATGTCCAGAGTTGGGCAAAATACATGCTAAGTTTTGATTAAAAAACAAATTACAAAATACTGACTTCTATGTATTTAAAATATGAAATACCAAAATATTTTAATACAAAATGATTTAATTTTAAATATATTTAATTTTTAATATTAAATAATTTTGATGTTTAAATATAAATTACAGAATACAGTCAGCTATTAAGTAATGTAAATAGAATTACATCAATATAAAATAGATATTAGATCAAGAAGGTTAAATGTATTTACATTAAAATGTATTTTAAAGTCATAAGTATTGGAAATATTAACTACAAAATACCTCAGTATCAGGTATCTGAACTATGTAGTACTGATTACATTTTGAGGAAATAATTGAAATTGTATTTCAATTGAAATACAAATTCCAAATATGGATTTGTGTTTTAATTACAAGTAATTCAAATATTGGCCAACCCTGCTTATGCACAAAAAATATTTTTAGATTCTATCACAATAAAGAAGAAATGCTACAATACATAATTTGTAGCTGCAAACCACTCATGCACAAACAATATATCTCTTTTGGAAAATACTTTATATCCTAAAATATACACATTGCTATTAACCGCATCTTAAAATTCCTATTACTGATAGAAATTAGCATTGAACTTTAAAAAAAGGTGAGCACATTTAGATCACAGAGACAACAGAGTTAAAGTTGTTTCAACCTATGTTTTCAAGTTATGTATAACAAAGTTTACTACTTAATATTAATACTTAATAATATTAAATACCTAGTGTTCTACTTTTTATTTATATATTTCATTTTAGTTTGGCAGTTGTAATTAGTAAAATAGGTATGCACAATACTTTGCATAAGACAGATAAAGTATTATAATCATAACTCTGGCAGATGTAGAGGTCAAGAACAGTAAGTAGTATTTTATTAACCATGCAATCCATATTAATCAGATTAATTTTCAACCCATTACAATGCAATGAACACTTTCTAGAAAAATAAACCTAATAAATATACATCATATTGATATTTTATGCGAAAATAGTTGGATGTATGTAATTGGTGAGACCTAGAGAAACCTATTATTATTAGATAGGCCGTGTTCATTCTGAAAGCGACATCAAGAGTATCCAGAATATGTGCATGCACGAGATATAAAAGTGCAAGAAGTAAGAAGTGTATAGAAGGCTAGAGGTCTTTGGCACTTGAGTTCTTTCTTACTATGCCGCAAGAGATTGATAGATTTTATGGATAGATTACTTGCCTTGGAGTTTTGATAAAAGAAGACGTGGTTGAACTACATCTTCAACATGATATTGACCTGCATGTGCCTCAAGTAATTCATCTTTTTGCAAAGGTATAGCAAAATCAAAGTGACTCATTGTGTTTATAATTCATTTAGTATGCATGAAAAGTTTAAGACAACATTATATCAATATATTAAAATTAGAACTTGAAACAACACAATTTAGAATCTAAGTTAAAAGTCACAATTGAAATTATTTTAATTTTATATAAACAAACAATAGGTTAGCGCGGGCATGTAACAGACAAATTTAAAATTTGAATTATTATTTTTATTCTGTTTATTCCAAAGGCAAAGGGGTTAGCCCACGCAGCTCATGTCGATTGCAATGATTTAAATTGACATTAACATAGGCGACGGTGACCACTTTCTATCAGGTGGGCCGTCAGCTTGTTTGCCATTCTAAGTTGTATAAAAAAAAACATTCAGACAAGAATTACATGACAACGATCAAAATAGTTCTATGTAGCATAGAATAGGGATAATGATTTGAAAATAAGCAGTTCATTAAAAATAAGTTTTAATCTTCGATATCATTTACATTCAATGTTAATATAACGGCTTGTGTAAATAGCAAAGCAGATTTATTTTATTGCTCCTAAAATTAATGTTTAATAGATTTTTTTATTGATATTAATATAATATTTCATAATACATTACATTAATTTCAACCTCATAATAAATTATTTTTTTATGTTAGCAATATATTTGACACGTTGGTTACATGTCACTTGACGTTTCGCTTTTACTTCTGCCAGCGCATAATTTTTTGATTGTTAATTTCGCCTGGTATTGGTTCCATTGAATTCCTTACCGATTTTTCTTATACTGTTGTCTAAATTATAAAGCGTAATTTGAATTAAAACAATGTCTGGAAAAGGTAATAAAGCATTTACAAAGGAAGAGGAGTTGTTGTTACAGGATTTCAGTCGAAATGTTTCTACAAAATCTTCTGCATTGTTCTATGGGAATGCTTTCATCGTTTCTGCAATTCCAATATGTGAGTTTATTTTATAATAATTGTATAACTCCATAATAATAATAATATTATAGCTATTTTATAAAATTTAAAGTTTATTTCATAAATATATAGAAAATGGTAGATTAACAATATAAATTACGTTCTTATGTTGCAGGGTTGTTTTGGAGGGTGCACGCTCTAGAAGTGACCACGTCTCTGGTATGGTTCGCGTTAGTAACAGGAGCAAGTACTTGGCTTCTAGCTTTAGCATACCGTAACACTAAATTCCAGTTAAAGCACAGAGTGGCAGTGCGCCGAGAAGATGCTGTGGCCCGTGAGATGTCTAGGAAACTCGCTGATGATAAGAAAATGAGCCGGAAGGAGAAGGATGAAAGGTATTTTACTATTTCATATATTAAAAAAAATATCAGAATACTAAACTGCTCCCCATTTAGTTATTGATGGTAGAGTTTTATATTAACCACCTAGGTAAGACTAACTTGCCTATTTCCTTAAGATAGGTTCAGATCTATCACTGTTTATCATCAAGCAGTGAATTATTCTATTTTATTATGGATGTAAAAGTCTGAAATAAATATTATTTTATCTACCTTCCTTTATTGGCAATCTGTCATTATTTTTATGACAAATATGTCAAGTTTTATATCAAAAATAATTCACTAGTTGTGACACTGGTAGTTTACCAGAGGGAGACTTTGTACAAAAGTCGATTGCTTGGGTACCTCTGTCCCATTCGTGTTTCAACCGTGAAGCAGTTGTGTTTGCATAGCTGTGTTTCGGTTTGAAGGGTGGGATATGGCATGAATTTACTGGGTACGGAGGAATAACATCTGGGTCCTTAGGAATGGCAACGCATGGGGGGTATCATGGGCGAAACAGTATACTCTGTTATGTCCATGGTACTGCTCATGTCTATAGGCGACGGTTACCGCTTTCCACCAGGTGGGCCGTCAGCTTGTTTGCCATTCTAAGTTGTATAAAAAAAAAAATAAAAAAAATACTACCAGCTACTTGAGTTACTTTATTGTAATTTTTATAGGGATCTCTAATTTTTTGTTAAATAATGTATAGTCTGTTACTTGCTGATAATATAGTTTTCTACATGTTTTATTAATATAATAGTATTTTAAAAATTGGTTAAGAAGTTTTTTAGTTAACTCATTACAAATAAATATCAAATTTATCCTCTTAATATAGATAAATTTATAATATTAGTATAGATAAATAAAATATGTTATTTACTTCTATATAAAAATTTGTTTAAGAATATCTTATATCTGTTATTATTTCTGTATATTATCTGTCTATTAGTCTTGTTAACTCTGTATTGTTAATTTTCCAGAATTTTATGGAAGAAGAATGAGGTAGCTGACTATGAGGCAACTACCTACTCCATCTTCTACAACAATGCTCTCTTCTTAACGATTGTGATTCTAAGCAGTTTCTACCTGCTGCGCTCATTTACACCTACTGTGTATCCTTTTGAAAAAATACAGATTTGATTATTTTAAGTTATAAGATAACAATGGGTAGTAGTATTAATAATATTTGTGAATAATAAAATCCATTGATTTTATTTATATAGTTGTCTGCAACTTTGTGTGACATAAAATAGCCTATGTTCTTCTCAATGCTAAATAATTTGTGTATATCAAACTTTATGACAATTGATCACTTTCACATTTAGAATATTTAGTAAATTGAAAGTTACATTTTTTTTTGAGAAATAAATTTTCTGAATGTCTTTGCATTCAAAGGTGACGATATGCAAGGGGGAAGGGGGATGATATGCAAAATTTAATATTGAGAAGTTCAAATTCATTTTACATAATATTATTATAAAAATCAACAACACAATGAAATTTTTAAAAGTTATCTCTCTAAAAATTTCAATGTGCTTCTAAATACATTCTATAGTGGTTTTCTGATTTATAGTTAATTAAAAACTACTAAAATTTATTAAATAAGTTGTAGGATTAACAAGATAGCTTAAAATAATGAATAAAATGAATGTGTAACTATATAATTGTTATTTAATTTAGGTGAGTTGTGATTTATAATTTTATTAAAAAAATATTGCATATTATATTATACAATTTCTTTAACTAACCATATACAGTAACTACATTGTATCTCTCACTGCTGCATCTGGACTCCTGGCGCTGCTCTCTACCGGTACCAAGTGAAGAGAATGGATTTTGTGAAAGTGAGTGTGCATGTGATGCTGAGTAAAGCCCAAGTGTTCTTTACGATTATCAAGACAACTTGAGCTTATGTATTTATATGCTCATAAATTGAACATTGTTAGAATATTTTTTTAAGAATAATTTAATTAATAATAAAACAAGTGTTAAACAGTCTTTAGTTTTATTTACATTTAAAGTGAGACTTACAAATAAATGGTCCTTAATTATATCTACCGAGTAATTATACTGATAGCTGCTGATCGATATTATAAGGGTGGGTTATGTTTATTGTAAGATCACAAACAGCTTTTATCTTCACATTATCATTTTATAAAGTCTGTTCTGTGTAACTGCAGTCACTTTCATATTTACTGCTGCTGTATAAAGTATTGGCCTATCGATTTGTTTTTATAATAAAAATTAAAGTATGTGTAATTGTATACAAATTGGAAGTGACTAGAAAGATAAACGAGTCTCGCAAAATTGTCGCACTTATAATATTACACAATTTTTAAAGGGTCTTGGTAATTTACATGCTTAGTTTAGAACACTTTAGGCGGCAGCAGAAAACTTTTTCGTGTCGTTACGGCTGTATGGCCTTGTATGAGGCGGTGTGCAGACTTCGCACATGTTTTGTGTGCGATGTTTGTAGATCGCTTGCGCCAATGCTGCGCTGCCAAATTCCACTGTTCGCGTCGGAACGCTGGTTTGTCAGAGGCTCAGTACATCATGCCGACGTGCAACGGTTCCGTACGTTGGAAATAAACGTTTGGGTTGCTGCTGAAGGTGGGCTCGACGCTCGTGTACACATTGCCCTCCTCCGGTCGCACCATCACGCCTGTAGTCATACACAAATACTGTCAGTATAAAGTTCAGTTAATTAAAATCTGGTCGTCACCAAGATTATCTAAATTTGTAATTTTCAGGTGATGAGAACGACTGTAGTCAACCAAATTAATTCGAGAGCAGGTGGTAAATACTACACTTGATTATGGTTGGTGAAATCTATGTATGTTGAGTATTATGCAAGGCAATTAATGCCTTTGACTACTCGATCTTTTACTTATGAGTGCTATTTATTTTTGCTCATTGCTTCGTATGCTTTAATTCCAGAAGTAGGAAAACTAATAAAATATTGAATATAATAAAGTGTATACAATAAATTATTGAAGAAGAAAATAGTCGACTTTCCAGGTGGTGCGTCAAGAAAAAAACATCAGATTTTAAATTAGCCGTCTAGGAATACAATTTGATGCTGTAGTTTTTGCGTGATTTAAGAACAAACCTACAGAAACTTAGTAATTTTGTCTGACTGACAGAAAAAAAATCTAAAAAATATTTTTTTGGCATCTATTAGTCTTATAATTTTTTCTTAAACATCTCCAACGTACAGACATCATATAGTTACAATTTTATTATATAAGTAAGTTTATAGAACATATATAGTGTGGTGATTGAAATAAGAATACAGTGTGTCACAATTCCTTATCATTTTCAGGATTTCATCAGATAGGCAACAAAGCATAACATACTAATGTGCGTGAGAATAAAATCTAGAAAGATCTATATGTATCAAGCCGCCTAGTCATGTGGTAGTAGCGTTTAATACGAGTAGTTACAGTAAATATTCTTTTTTATGAGAAGAGATCCGTATTCGGCAGTAGGAGGATAATAGTTATGGTTAAGATAGAGGCCATTATGAAGCGTAAATAAATTGTGAAAATATTTAGTTATCATACACATCAGGGAAAATATCAATACTATATATAAAATATATTTGATATATGTAGTATTGGATGAAAGAATTAATAAATATTTATATAAAAGTTTACTTCTACAAACCTACCTACTGTTTAGAAATCAACATAAAATACGTAGAAATTAAATAAATTAAATTTTACATATTTGCATGTAAAGCAAAAAGATACATACAGTATTTTTGTTACATAAGTAAATAAAAATTTGTTTATACTATTAGGTAGAATGTAATCTTATTATTAGACAGTTTCTAAATTTTAACCTTATAATGTTAATTATATTTAAATAATTATATTATTATAACGTTAATTATATATAGAATTTGTTATATAAATAATATAAAAAAAAAAAATTAAAAGTGATAAATAAAACCATCACAGGCTTGTATCAAAAAGGGTAAAATCTTATTGCATAGTGGATGGAGGTTTATTTTGCAAAGAGCTGAAAGCGTGAAATGGTGTGCAATAATTACCTGATGGAAATAGGTAATGATATGGCGAATAATTGTACTGGTAGTGCATTAAAGGGTGCAGAGGATAGTGCGGTGGAGAGCACAGAGGGCGTGAGTGTAGGTGCGTTGAACCCGCGAACATCGCTCCGTATGGATCTGCGAACAGAACACGGGAAAAAGCGATCAAATCGTGGTGCACGCAAGCGCTAGTTCTTACTGTTAGCGCACTTTAGATACTTAACTAACCGGCTGGCTGAGCGGGCGGATCCTTGCGGTCTAATACAGGCGGCGGAGCAGGCGCGGGTGCTGCGGCAGACACCATACCATACTTCACTGGCTTGAAGTGGAAGAATGATGGGGAATAGCCGGAGCCACCGGCACCCAACGAGCTGAGCCCTTCATCACGGTCCGCGTCCCATCGGCCTTCGCGACCCAACGCCGCTAGTCGACGGCCTTTCGGCGCAAACATTAATGCGAAAACTACTGCACATGTTGCTAGTAAACCAGCTGCCACACATGCGTCTCTATGACGCTCGGGTGCTCCAAGTGCTGCTGCGACCCAGCAAACCCACACGGCTGCTGTCGCTCCACCTGCTCCTGCTATATGTGTTGCTTCACGATAGTTATCTCGGATACTCCGTGACCTGAGGGCTACACCGCACACTACCGCTATTAGAAATGCTGCATAGGACAACGATAATAAGAGATCAGATAACGGGGCGTCACATCGGATCCCACTGGATGCTACTCGGGGAGGTGAGCCACCGAGCCATTGTGCACCTATTGCTACTTGTATCATAACTGCAAAAAATAAAAGAAGTCCTTGGTACGCGGCTGGTAAATACACTCCACCGTTTAAGCTTAATAAAAATACACATTTGACGAGGAGTGATGCGAACACAATGACGTATGCGACTCCAGTACCGAAACGTACGGCTCCACAGGTAAATATTGTAGGTGTAATCGTATAAAGAGCTGCTGTAGCTGCACATGAAAATAGCCCAAACAACAGTGTCTGGCCCAGTAATAGGTGGCGTTGACTTGGAGCTTTGCGGCTGGCTCCCCATACAACGAAAGCTTCGAAGCCACCTAGTGTAGCCATAGTCACACAAGCTAGAGCTAATATTGGCACAGCCCAAGATTCCAATCGTAATATACCCAGCGTAGGTGGGGATAATGCTGTCACTAGGGTATTGTTCGACTGTTCTGGTGGTGGTGATAGTGTAATAGCTTTTGAGGGTGTAGGTGGAGGGAGTGATGAAGAAGTTCGCTCTGGGATCATGAAGTATTCGGTACTCATTTCTAGCCGATGCGCTTCAGTACGCGCAGGGCGACGTAGAGGCAATTCTGTCTCAGGTTGTAGTTCTTCTTCTTCAACAGAAAGACTTTGTTCATCGTATTCTTGGTCGTAAGTTTCTTCGTATTCCGCGTCAGTATAATGTTGTGCCGACGGTGCATTGCGCGGTGCATAAGCGGCGGGTACACGCGGGGCGAGGCGGTCACCAAAACGTGCCGCATTAGCTGAGGCTAGCGCGGCTAGCGCCGCCGTAACCATCAGGGCGCGTACCCGTACTATAGCCATTAGGGCGCAGGGGCCCTCAGCTGCCTGAACTTCTCTGCAGACACATCCGCGCTAGGCTCGTTGTCCCTGAAAACAATAAACGTGAGCATCAGTAATGCAGTAATTTTTATTCTCGAATGGCAATGCGGGCTGTGACAAAAAGTATAAAGGGACAAACCGGTTGAACATCTTGACTTGCATGGGCTGTCTACTATTCAATATTTTTATATTTATTTTGTGCATGTATAAAAAGAAGCCCCTACTTAGAACAGAGCTGTGTCCTCCCAAGTATACCTTGGTAGATAATTACATAAATAACTTCAATTATCGAGATTGCAACATACTCGTAACAAGTAGAATTTTTTATAATTTACGCAATATAGACATTTCTATATTTTGGTAGATACATATATAATTGTTTCTTCGTATGATATGTGTGTAAGTAAGGAATGTACCTATTGGTTATTGGTGATATATGAATAGGTATTTTTATCTTTTTAAAAAGCAAATAAAGCTATAGAGACGATAAACGCTCTAAAAATATTTCAAACAAATAGCAACATGGTCAATTGGACATCAGTGAATACATCATATATAACGCTCATGGTATGTACACTCATGCGTTAAGTTATGGGGTTGTGCCTCCATTGTCTGTACCCTATAGTTTTACAGCCTTGCCTTTTGTATTATGGAATATGAAGAGAAACTGTTTTTTACTGAACCTACTGTAAGTGAAAAGCGAATGAGGCTTGTCGCGGTAGTGAGTTGTAAAGTATCAGGAATATTTTTTTCTTCAATGAATTAGATATATATTTTTTTCATCTCATCTTTTATATTAGCCATTATACTACATAAATACCTTAATATTTCGATATTGTATACGGTTTCAACCATTCGTTTACAAAATGTCGGTGATAAAGGCTTATAGGTTACGTTTAGGTACCTTACTTTATACCTAATAAAATAAAGCACCGTTGGTTGCGATTCATCATTGCGATAGGAATATCCAAGCCATGGCGCTGCTGTATAAATATGCATTTCCTCCTTATAAGGAAGTACCTAATTCCGAAGGGAGATTATGCAGACAGGTTCACAAACCGGATCGTGACTTAAAACTTATTATCCGAAACAGTATACAGTACCTATACAACTGTGTGTAGTACTGTACTACAATAGGTGTAGGCAGATTTGGTGTAAGTAACGGTGTGGACCACGGATACTTGGAGCGAGCCAACAATCTCTCAAGTAAACGATCTCGGCAACGGTACAACATGATGTTATCTCTGATCGTTACCAAATCTTCGCGTGCTGCGATATAGTCCGATGAATGTGTTGTTGTTTCAAGTTGGTTCGATATAAGATTTATTTACATATTATATCTAGTAAATATTCGCTTTGTAATGTAATTTTAATTTTGTAAATTGATTTTTAATGTGATTTGTGACAATTTTTTGTGACGATGACATGTCATGTCTAAATTAATGAATTATAAAGGCAAATTAAATATAAGAAAAAATAAAATACTGCTTCTTAATAAGTTGCGTAGGTATTTCTGTAGCAGCCTGCTGAATTAGTTCGGTACTTTTTTGTGTAATGGATGATAATGGAATGAACCCGCCTGCGCTATTGGTATACGCTGGTTAGGTGCCACTGAAGAATGATAACCTATCATTCATAGATTCATGGATGGAAATAAGTCGGATAGTCCATCGTGACGAATTCGATGAAAATTAACCACGATAATTTCCAGGGTGAACCACGTTGATTTAATATGGAATATTGCTGGCAATGGAGTTCCGTTGCCAGCAACATTGCTAGTAACAATTACTATTAATCTCTTTTCCCCCGCCTCGGTACTTTTGGTCGTCGGCAAGTCCTTCGTTAGTTCAAGCTGTATCCATTATTACCTAGGTCTGATAAAACATGTTTACATTAGACCCGCAGGACTATAAAATTTCGTTGAACTTCCTTCAGCTATTTTCTTGTGGCGAGGTAGTAACATTCAATTGAGAACGTTCTTCTAATATTTTTGTCAAAGAAAAGTTTATTTTACGAGTACAGAATTTTGACGTATGAGAGCGATTTTTATGTATTACAGCGGAAGATTGAATCTGTTCTCTTGTTTGTTTAAGAGCGCAAATTCTTCAAACTGCCAGTTGGCTTTGAAACATTATTTTTGCATTTGATAGCTCATTTTTTGGGGAAGATAGGCTATTCAACATCCCGATATGGCAACGGGTGATGCCGTGGGATACAGCTAGTAGTTTATAACCCAGATGCTGTACACTAGAGAATGGAAAGTCAAAATTTTGCTATGCTCACCTATCACAGTATAGGTGTCGCAGACAATAAGAGTTAGGGAAACAGAGCGTTGTTCGTGCGCGGCCGCGCGCGTAAAAGTAACAGCACGAATACTCGGAGTGAAACTCGGTTGAACTGATTGCGCTGAGACTCGACTGCTGTTCGCTGCTGCCACGTCACATTCCTGTGGTATTGTTTCACTTGCATTGTCAAGATATTATATGTGATGCTAATATTTCACGCATCCCTCTGTTTTACGAATGAAAATTATTTTTTTAAAATAAGTTGGTATATTCTACCCGTTGCATCTGAAAAATTGTATGATTAACACAGTATTCTGTACTTTTCTTGAGAACTTTACACAACTTATGTGAGATGTGCTGGTTATCATCCAAAGCCAACACGCTTTGTTATTTTACTACAGAATTTTATAAGCAGTGTTAGGTCACTTAGAGATGTCATATAAAACTGTACCAGAAAATTGTTTACTAAAGTTTATATTTCACTATATTATAAACAACAAATGGCTTGGTTTATCATCTCAGTATATAATAAAAATCTGTGGTTTACCGTAAGGTTGAATTGTTAGACCGTATGATCACCCCACCTGGTAGTTATACAAAAGAACTGTGGTAATAGCTTATGCAAATATAGTTAAAAACCTGGAAATACTTTTGGATACAAAAGAAAAATTTATTGGACGTATTATGTCAATCAAGTTAGTATAAAAGAAGGACGGAAGGTCGATTTGTCTGAACATTCTGCATTTTTTTCTCCCTACGGCAGATGGGACGATTTTAAAAAAATTCCACTCGTTAAAAAAGTGTTATAGTTGTTAGTGGGAAGGTAACAATTAATTGTTATTCTAATTATTATTAGAATATAACGATAAAACTGCTTTCTGTTTATTATTACGAACAACGGTCATTTTATTATATAATATAAATTTTATTTAGACTATTGTAATACAGTTACGTGTGCTCACACACAGTAAACTGTATCAGCCTAGAAAAACTTGTCAATTACGAAATCGAGACAATCGGAAGTCAATAAATAAAAGTAGATATTTATTGTTTATTATTCTTTTAAATTTGCAATATTTATTGCCTATGTTGTAATATATTTATGTCATCAATGTGTGTCATGTTCTAATTCGTTCTATGTATGTTATGGAGAGATAGCACATCGACATCGAATCATTATCTTTGTAGTTTAGAGTTAAAAAATTTAGAACTTAGTTCTGTATAAAAAGTTAAAAATGTAATATATTACAAAAAATCGAGTCTCGAGAAAATTTATGTGGAACAAAACTGATTTTAGAAAACATGATTTTTAACGAATTTTAAGAAGAAATCACCTTGTTTATAACAGTTTATAAATAGATGAAGTGCTTACATTAAAATTCTAAATTTACATCTTATTTGAAGTCGGTTGAAAAGGAATAATACTATTATTTATATTACGGCACATTTAAGAAGCTTAAACTGGTAACCTTGTAGACCATTCTTAAATGAATAAAATTCAAATCCCTCAATGGGCCGTGAAGATTCGCTGAAGAATCAAGCGACTTATGTATATAGTCCAAAGGACTTACAAACTGAAGTGAAAATGGGCTAGCAACATAATTTGAAGTATCTATAAATGATAGTGAAAAAGTGATGAACTCAAATTTTTTTTCTATATTAATTGTTATGTTTTCGTTTCCGCTAATTTACTATTAAATTCCTCTAAACTGTAGAAATATATGCATAAATTAGTGCTAGAGTATCATGTAATTCTTTACTGTCCTTTTAGATATATTAATATATTAGTATAATTTTTAAAACTTAACTACATTTTTATTATATTTTCATGATTATTTGTGTCATGAAGCAGCCTTTCAATCTGCGTCAATTTGCTACCATAGTTTATTTTTTAGATGTGTTCAAATTTTAGAACATATTAAAAATATTGAATATTTATATACATATATTATCTTGGTAATGTAATCTACCGTGGTTTTATTAATTACTGCATTTATTTATGATAATATAAAGTCACGTAAGTAAATTATATAACTAACCGACACAACTTTATGTGGTTTATTGTTCGGTGAATAACTTCGTATTCTGTTGATAGTTAACCATAAACTATAATCTAAGCCATATCCAAATCAAAAACTAAATACTTAAGAGTCAGTAACAGGATTATATCCAGCATCATAGTTGTATCATAAAAATAATAAAATATGAACTGGTTTACTGTTGCGTGCCAATTGATATTTTAGAAAAGGAAGAGGCCCTCAATTCGTCTGTGGTTTCTTTACATGTACCTACTACGTATTTTGGTATCGCCACATAAAAGTAAATTTGGATAATTCCTTGTGCAATAAATATGTACGTGTAGAGTTTATCTTATTGCTAATTTTGTTATAATTGAAATTGCTGTATGCAGAGTTTTAATTTCATAATAAGTATTTTAACAAACTGTAACTACATACTCACTATTTAGTCTATTATTATTTTCACTATCATAGAACAATTTAATTAATATTATCACGAATAAGTCTCATCATATAATAACGTAATATTTCAATTTAATTTTACAATAAAAATTACCTGCTTTAGATGTGCAATTATTGTCTAAATTCATGCCTTTCTCAACTCATTTATAAAGTCAGTGGCATGTGCATTGAAATTAATTATGTTTTTGCACGATACAGCAAATACAAACGACTAAATCACGTTATTATTGATTTTGTCTATCTAATATGTCATAATGGACATAACATGTGTCTATTTATTTCA